GCATGCTATAATTTTTGACCGCTTGACCTCGACCTTCATTTTTGACCTAATTTTTAAAAAATAAATTAACTTTGGTGATTACTTTTGATTGACATATGATACGGTGTTCATATTTGACAAGTGCATTACCTATGGCTAAATGTTTTCGAATGCGGTATGATATTTAATCTCGTGACTTTGACCTTATTTTCAAACATTTTATCAGTGTTGCTAACTTTTGAAGGAGCGAGATAGGGCATTCTTATTTAACAGTGTATTACCTATGAAAAGCATTTCCAAAAATTCTATGATTTTTAATCCCATGACCGTGACGTTGACATATTTTTTTTTTTAAATTTTAACATTGCTGATAAATTTTGATTGAGATTAGATTTGGCATTTACATTTGACATGTGCATTACCTATTTCAAGACCTTTCCAACTGCATACTCTGGTTTTTGACCCTGACCTTAACGTTTAACCTACAGTCTTTTTTTTCAAATTAACTTTACATTTGTAAAAACATTTGAATATGAGAAGATAAGGCTTTCATATATTAGTACATGTACATTACCTATGTCAACACCTTTCAGAAAAGTATATCATTATTGACTTCATGACCTTGACCTAGAAGGTTGACCTGCTTATAAAAATTTTTAACCTTGGCCATAACCTTTATGCTAACTAAGAGACAGGGCTTTCATATTTTTTTTCACATGTGCATTACTTGTGACAAGACCTTTCGGACGTATTATGATACTAGTATTTGACTTCATTGACTTTGATCTTGAAGCTTGAAATAGTTTTGAGAAACTATGACCTTTGCCATAACTGTTATTAATTCAATAATTTATGTCTTTTTTCATGTGAAGACAAGACCCACACAGTTAAAATATGCCATGATAAATAATGGCATCCCATCCACTAAGACACCAAAAGCGGGGGGACCACAAATTCTTTGATTGATTGATTGTATGTTGTATTACGTCCCATTCGAGAATTTTTCACTCATATAGAGACGTCACCATATACCGGTGAAGGGCTTCAAATTTTGACCTTTACTCGGCACTCAGGGCCATTGAGCAGTGAGGGATCTTTATCGTGCCAACGCCTGCCGTGACACGGGGCCTCGGTTTTTAAGGTCTCATCCGAAGGACCCGCAACTTTCACTTCAAAGTGCCGAGCGCATGGCGAAGGAACAGTTGCTACCCATTTTTTATCGACTTGGGTCAGTCGCGGCCGAGATTCGAACTCACGACCTCCCGATCACGGAGCGAGCGCTCTACCGACTGAGCTACCGTGAACGGTCAAATTCTTTGAATTTACTTGTTTAATTTCAATACCAGCACTACACAACGCCCAACATTATTTCTACATGTACTTTCCCTCCCCTATCTATCTTAATTATTGTCCCCAACTTTTGCGGTGCGACGGGATATTAAATCTCATTCGTCTGTGTATCTGTCTGTCAGTCTGTCACAATATAGCTTTAACCTTGGTCATAACTTTCGAATGAGAACAGATAAGGCTTTCATGTTTCACATTTCTTGTGACAAGACCTTTCTAAATATACTATGATTTTGACCCCGTGACCTTGAAGTTTGACCTACTTTTCAAACATTTTAACATTACATTAAATTGGTCATAACTGGTCATAACAAATAAGAAGAGATAGGGCTTTGTATTATACTTGTATATTACCTGTGAAGAGACCTTTCTAAATGCACTATGACTTTTGACCCCGTGACCTTGACCTTGAATTTTGACCTACTTTTCAAAAATTTAATCTTCGTATAAAACTTTTGATTAAGAAGATATAAGGCTTTCATATTTGAAATGTACATTACCTGTGACAGGACCTTTCCAAATATGCTATGATTTTTTACCCTGTGACCTTGATTTTGAAGTTTTACCTACTTTTTGAAAATTTTAACATTACCTTAAATTGGTGATAAAATTTGAATGAGAAAAGGTAGGGCTTTCATATTTCAAAAGTCTATTACCTGTGACAAGACTTTTCCAAATGTACTATGGTTTTTGACCCCGTTACCTTAATCTTGAAGTTTAAACTACTTTTGAAAAAAATTTCATCTTTGCCTATAACTTTTGATTAAGAAGAGATAGGGCTTTCGTGTTTGACTTGTACATTACCTGTGGCAAGACCTTTCCAAATATACTATGATTTTTGACCTCTTGACCTTGAAGTTTGACCGAGACAGTTACAATATGCCATAAATAATGGCATCCCATCCACTAAGACACTGAAAGTGGGGAACCACAATTCTTTGAATTTGTTTGTTTACCCTTCATCCAACAACAGAAACAGTTATCTTGACAACTTATATGCACGCTACATTTTTACATTTTTTAGTCATACTATTCTTTGAAGAATCTATGTTCAGATTTGATGCAAATTTATATTAATTTTATTTCATTACATTTACCTGTAAATGTTTTAGTCTCTATGTTCCAGTTTCGAAAAAAAAAGATTTCATACAAGTTTTCTTCTTGAATTAGTGGTTGATACTACAGCATACTTCTGTCGTGTGAAAATTGTGATAACTAACAAACATAGAAAAAAAATAGTCAAGAAAACAGTGTATTACTTTTGAAAATTTCAAAGTTTAAGGCCAATACCTTTCGTGAAAATGGATCAATCAATAGAAACCTGGTACTTGATCTATAAATCATCATCATTATAAAGAGACAAACCAAAAATCGGCTCATTATCTACAAGCACAGCAGAAGAAAAGTCCGGAAAACTGACTAAGACGGAATGACAATGACGGAATTATAGACAGAAAGGGGTAACACGATAAGGCCCGACCATTTCATGACGAGGACATTAAAAAGGTAATACATTATCTCAATCAAGGGATAGAAAAGGCCATATTGTGTTGTTACGTGTTCTAGTTGCATTGTCAGTGACTGTCGTGTGACTTCTGTAATGTTTCAATATCATAGGAGATGATTTATCGTAAAAATTTAATCAAGGAAATGTCGGAGGTATTTGAATTATTTAGTATTGTATTTTATTTTATATAGTTCCAGTTCTAGCACTCAAGTAAGGTAAATAAATGCTCCATCCCTATACATGTACAAGTATCATTGTTGAATTCTACTTCCTCGATGCCTTTAACTTAAAGTACTAACATCAGTACAGGACGGTCATAGGCATCGTTAGGCAATTTTGATCCGTTAAGTTAAAAGTTAGCAAAACATAATTTAATTAAGATGTCAGAATATCCATCATAATAGGGATTTCGTATTTACAAAAGGTAAATTACAAGCTTTTGGTTTCGTGGAGAAAAGGTTGGTATAAAAATATTCTGTTGCTCTAAAATGAAAAATTTTCTGTTAGAAATAAATAAATCGAAAGAAGCCTTTTAAAATGCGTGTATTTCAATTGACAAACTTCGAGGCAGATAATTAAATTTAAAATTAAAAGAACATGAGAGTGGTATGAATGCATCAGAGTAACAAAGAACAATCTACAACAAACCCAAGTACATGTGAACCTGTGTATGGTGTCCATTGAGAGTGACCATTGCTGGGCAGTTGTCTTTATCCAGATAGTAAGCATAAATTTAGAAGATGATATAATTTTACACCTCGAAATTCCTGCATTATTTAAAGCCTAATATCAAGAAACAGCAATAAATACCAAGAAGGATTGGTGGTCATCATCAGTTAAGACTAGTACATGTGTATATTGTAACCTCCAAGAAAAGAGAGTTCTGGATAAAACTGTAGGTAAATGAATTAATTGTTATTGATAGAAAATGTATTCTTTTCTTTTCCACACATAGGTTTATGGTTAGAAAAACCATATTTGATATGTGTAGTTAGATCTGCTAAGTAATTTGTCCAACAACAAGGCCTTGTATCAACCGCTAATAATAAAAACCGTTTAATGATAGAAATAACATTTAATATAAAACTTCTACAAGATTTTATATATAGGAAATACACCAGTCTTTCTTTCTATTTCAGTTAGACGTAATAGAAAATGTATTTGATATTCAGATTTGAGATACAAGATTTGGAGAGGTATAATCATGAGAAAGATCTAGTTAAACAACAACAACATCAAAAAAAAAAAAGCTCCTGAATTTTATATTTGTGGTAGATTTGTCAGATTTCCAAATGTAATCCAATACATTTTCTAGTGCGATATAGTTTCGGCCTCGTGAAATGTTCAGACATGTACCTGACCCTATTTAAGATGTGGAGAAGATAAAATTTAATTGCGTGCAAAAAATGTATTCAATATCAGATCGATAATGTTGAAGAAAAATGGGAATGGAGAACTGCGGATACCGTAATGAAATCACGTCATAACAGGACTCTACACTTTTGAATCCGCCCGTCTCTTTCCTATTTTTTTTTTTTAGTATACTAATGATATATCAATAAGATGTCCCTATAATTAAAAAAATATTTGACAGATATTTTAAAAATTTTTACCCAACTTTGACTCTTTGGCTATGCGGAAATTTTACACTTTCATGCTTTTGTTCTTTGTAAACTTTGGATTTTAAATTATACTAATGAAAATATATATTAAACGTCTTTCCTCATTTTTTTCAAATAAGTACAAAAAAATCAATCTTTAAATTTTATTTGTATTTCGATGCACTAGAAATAACATTCATTTCAACAAAAAACAAAACAAACATCAACATTGAACAAGTATATCACAGATAACAGACATGTTAACAAAATATAACAATTTATAGCACTTTTAACTTGACTTCACACTGTGTTCCGTACTGTCATTTGTGGAAACATGAATCATTCCTGTCCAAAAATTCATTCTTAAGAAACGCTGCATTTTTGTGAGCAAAAACGGTACAACAACTTAAGTTACTCATTCAAACTGTCTTAAACTTTGCGTAAGAATATGGTTTGTTTAGGACCACAGAAAACACCTCCACGCTGAAAAGACACTGTGCTTTAATGCAACCCTTGGACCCACCAGGACTTGGACTGGAAGTGATAGAAGTTATCAGAGCTTCCATGCTATTAAATACGCAAATGGACACTCAGAAAAGACGATGCCCCATACTGCGACGCTTGGATCCGCCACTCCAGGACTTGGATTTGGACCGGAAATGACGCAAGTCATCGGAGAAATCTTTGTGAAGCATTGGCGTGTACCCCTGAGGCTCACATAAATTCTGAAATAAAAAGGAAAAATATTAAATACAAAGATTACACATGACTTTGTGAATAATTCAATATAAAATCTTTTTAACTTAGTATAAGATTAATACAATTTTTAAAATGATTTTTGAAAACTTTTTCATATTTTCATTTTTTTTAAATACATGTACAAACAATGGATCGTGCATTCAAATTTTCAAAATCTTATAAATTATCATTAAATGATTTATTAGATTCTACCTTATGTGTCTCGTAGAAGGCCTTGAACCCGTTGTGCATGACGTAGACTTCCGGAAAGTTGAGATAGGGATAGTTCTCCTTGTTTAGGTTCCGGTCAGCCTCTCTCACTTTGCGACACCTGCATTATAAATAAGTCATATTTAGTTTGATATGAAAAATAGCATGAGATATTCATATTCAATTATTCATTATTTCTTTTGCTCATTCACTTTTATTCAAATTTATTTACTAGAATACTTTGAATACTAACATACTAGTCCTGTAAAAATTGGTGAAAAGAAAGACATTGTGTACTTACATTCGTGGACCTCTTTCAGAAGAGAACTCGCAGTAGAAGATGACAATATGACGTTTGCCGGCAGCCGTATTGCGCATGCTCTGATGATGTTCCAAAATACTTTGGATACCCTCTGGTCGATGAACGTTAATGGCACCCTATAAAAGCAAATAAGTCATTTTAATCATATGACACATCTTAAAGTACAAACTCACAAAGTATACTGTTCATTTGTTTTTTTTTCTCTTTCTTAATTTTAATTTTAAAAACTAAAGGGAGAAAAACTTACAGGCACATGACCGCCTTCGTACTCATATGGATATCTGCAGTCGACAATGAGGTAACTCCCAATGACGTCATCATACTTCCCGGAAATAATATCTACAACCTGTGAAACATTAAATCAGATAATTAATTAATATGTTTTAATAAAAGTTTTTTTTTCTTGGAAAAAGGGATGATACATGTATTGTGATTACCCAAAATGATCCTTTACTCATTAAGTTGTGTGAAACATTTTTTGATTCATCAAGTCACTCAAGCGCAATTTATAAGGAATTAACTCATTTACTTGAAATGCAGTACTGTACTTGTGATATTTCTTACCGTATCATTCGTGATGCTCTTCAGATCCGAGTGCTTTCCAGGAATTGTTGGAAGACTACATGTCTGACTTCCGTCTCCAATAAGATCCGACGTCTCCACCATTCTCCCCACTGCAGCTTTAATATCATCCTGGTCATCTAAGGGTTTGTCCTGTTGAAATAATGAAAAAAAAATTGTCATTCTTAAATCTTGGAGAAATTTAAATTAACAAATCATTTTCTTAAATACATTGTATCCTTGAATTGCCAAACTATTACTTTTTTCATCATACTCAAATCCCTTTAATTATCAACCTCTTTAAAATTGGATTTTTTAAAAAAAATTCAACAGGCATTTTTTATAAACTAAGTGTTTATAATACAATATACTACGTATATTACACATATACATGGAAAAAAAACTAAATTTAAAACGAAATGTGCAGTAAATTTTACTTTAGAATAACTTACACCAAAAGATAGGGACTTCTTGAGGCTCCGTCTACCATCGGCATATTTCGTTCGTTTCCGCAGACTTCCGTCGTCGGTTTCCGTTAATCTTTCTGTTCTTTTCAGTGGTCGTCGCATTTGAATGGAGGGCGATGGCGAAATGCTGGCAAATGGTCGCTCTAACTAAAATTAAACAGAAAAAATACATAAGCATACAGATTTCATGAATACTTCTTTCATACGAGACAAATTAATTAAAAGTTAAGGTCCATAAACCCTCTGCTCACTCATATAAAATGTTGCTTAAACTGATATATGTATGATTTTCCAAAAGAAATAGATTTTATAGGTAAAATACAAACAATTATAGCATAGATTGCAGGGCAAAATTGGACAAAAAAGACATTTCCAACTTGGCAAATTATAGAGGAATAATAGACATTTATGTTATGAAGAGTTACTGCTCTTATCAAAGTATCAATGAGCTTTAATTTCTTCAAGTAGAAAATTAGCTTACCAATGATTGTACTGTGGAAGTGTTGGTGTCCATGCTTGCTTCTTCAACTGTCGTAATCTGAAATATAATGAAACCTTTTATACGATTGTTTAAAAAAATCATATGATCTATTTTCTTCATAGTAATTAGACAATTTTGTTTTGTTAAATGGCCGATAATTAAATTTTCATTCGAACATAAAGAGAATAATTTAACATAGGAAAAATAAAATTATATATGAAATGAAAAAAATGAAAGTATTTTTAATATAGGCCTCATTGAATTGAATTTTTTAACTTATAATTTAAGTAAGATTTCAGTTTCATTGTTTTATTTGATGCAAATTCTTGAAATAATCTTAAATCGGTTACAATGAGAAAGTATCTCATATTCTTTTTTATTGAAGGGGTGTGTTTTTAAGCGCTAAAGATTACGATACCTCATCCATTCCAAGTCCCGAGTCTTCATCTTCGAACAGCGCCTGTTTGACATCAGAGAAAAGAACACGCCGAGGAAGAGGCAGGCACCCGAGGTCGAAGTCCGAGTCCATTACTGCATCTAACTTTCCAGGAGTATACATGTTGATTTTTGATACTACAAAAAAGAAAATAACTGTTGAAATCAGTTTAAATTTATTCCTTTGGGTAAATGAGTTTAATTAATCAAATTACAATTGCATATGTTTTCATATTAAGTCTTACATGTTGGTCTTGTTTCAGTCATTTACCAAACGAATAATTATTGATTTAGAATACCCAAGTTTTTATAGTCAAGCTATTTTCCGATTCTATGACGCGGAAATGATTTTTTCGTCTAGTAAATTTTGACATGTTTATGTGCGGTATTGAAAATTTAATCCTTTAATCCTTTTCCGTTAACTATCTTTTGCCTCGACACCAAAATTACTTTAACAAATTATCGATTTCACGGTCGAGGTGCGGGCAATATTGCACGATAGTGGTACAATATTACCTTGCAGTCAATGTTAGACGACCGCAGGCGAGGACCAATATACATGTATTCACAAACAATTTATCATATGTTTTACAGATGAATTAAGTAAATTAACATGGACTGCATTCTTTGAACCGTCTTAAAGATTATATTTTACAGATCATTAAAATAAATTAGAATATATCAAAGAAAGCTATTTTTAATTGTGCTATCGTTCCCTTTAGATACATACACGCTGCATGAAGATTTGGAATAAATGGCTGATCTTTCAGTAATTCTTATACTTTCAGGCATCATAAACAAAAATAAAAATATCATAACACATACTTGTTTATTTATTTTGCTAATTATGTTGTACAAAAGTTTCATTACATTTATAAATATATATATTTAAATCTTTATCTGGGTTGTACAGCATTTGACACGCTTCTATTGAGATTACGTCACATTTTATCGCCTAGAAATGACAATAACTGTACAAAACGTCAGGGTTAATATTTATAGAAAAAAAAACTGGTTACGATAATGTTTAGAGACCGGTTTCTGTTTTATTATAACACGGTTGACTCTTGTATTTACAGTTAAAAAATGATATATTATATAATCTGAAATTGTATACAGCATTTTAAACTGGTTTTGTTCGATTCGGTGTCGGAAATAATTTACAACATTGTCATATATAGTGTTTTAGCATGCATGTAACATGCATTTCTTTAGGTTTGAACTTGAATAAAACAAAATGTTATTTTGTATAATTTTTCAATTTACATTGTAGAAAAACAATACAAGGAATTGTACAGTGTTAGTCAGATTTTTCTTAATTTCTTTTAAATACAAGTGTTATTTTCTGATCTTTAGCGGATGCATTTTTTTTAAAAAAAGAAGGAAGGAAACGAATAATGAAGAAAAAATCTTAGTGTGTGTGTTTTGGGGGAGGTGTGTACATGTGTGTTTGAGTTGGGGGTTGTATGTGTAATGGAGAGTGGGGTACCTCTCGGTAGGGGAGGGACCTTTATAATTATAGCAAATAAGATAATGCTTAAAAAATAAAAACATGAAATTTTCAAATGGGGGGGGGGGTAGTTATTAAATCAATAGTATTCACAAAGTCGTATACGAAATGGGAGGGGGTCCTCTACATTACCACCCTATAATGTGCTTTTATTTATACAAATGTACTTGTATTGAGTTTTCGATTACTTGAAGAAACACACACAAATTTATACATCATGCAAGAACATAAATTACTTTTGAAAAGCTACATATGGAAAGAAATGTCTACCAAAGACACCCCCACTCCAAAATATATCTATATTAATTTGCGCTTGATTGTTTACTTTTCAGGAGGCTGAGGAAAAAAAATTTAACATTTTGATCAATGTTTAAATGAATTAAACTTTCAAAAAAATAACATGGAATAAAACACGTTAATTTGATAAATCAATAAGATTGACATAAAAATTCTTCATTTACAATTGTATAAGGCTGTCTCCTTAATACGATCATTAAGTATGCTACGTACATTACATACAAAGAGGAATAACTAAATTTACTAACAGTGTCAAACATTAACTTTGCTCTGTCTCAATTTAGAATATACGTATGTATACACCTATCCATTATAAAAATAATTTTATAGAGATAACATTTTTGAGAACCATCATAGTATATGAATAATAACCATCATATTATAATTACATATTTTTGCCGAGAAAACTTTCTAATAACCATCATATTTATGAAAAAATAAATAATAAGGAAAATAAATTTGTCATTTAAATTTGGGGAATGACTCAATTATTTATATTTACGAATACACGTTTCATTACTGTTCTAATATTAGCCTTCTACATTTTATAATACTTGTATTTTTTATGATTCTTGCAGTCCTGTCCCTTTTTTCAATCAAGATAAACCATATATATATTTACATCTGAAAGACATTGATCTTATTCTAGGAAGTATCAATATTTTTTCAAGTCGTCGCCAGGTTTCTGAAAAAGGCCCGGGGTACGCGCACGGTCAGGGAGATACATGTATACCCCTCATCTTATATATTTCTTTAATTTCTTTAATCGATACAGTTTTGGTGAGTGTTTGTGCATTCTTGAAGAAAAATTCACAAATTAAAGAAACCAAAACAATCTGTATTACTTTTAAAAGATTAAATATAGATAATTCATTTTGCTTAATTAATTAATTTTTCGATATTTTTAACTTGCTCTCGTACCCTAAGGGTTTAATTCATGTATTATTTCCAAATTAAATTCGATGGTGATTTTTAATTAGATTATTCGGTTAGAGTAGGTTTTGTTTTATTCGTTTGCTTATTTTTAATATTTAAAAATATATATGTATAATTTTCTTTACCTGTTCGTTCATTTAAAGAATAAATCTTGCACTGTAAACTATTTGCACTCAAACCAAAATCTACGGAAATTGAATCATTTTGAAAACTGTTCACAGAAAAAGAGACGGACGAGACAGAGAAAGTAAATTTATCTTTTGGTTTTTGAGCGGTGAACCTGATTTATATTAATGTATAATCTTAATTTTTTTTAAAGATACAATCATCTTAATGTTCATAATACTAGATACTTACTCGGGTTATGTCTTCAAAGGAACTGACAAAATGAGACAAGACGGATGGTCTTATATATGGTTCATCTTTAGACACTGACAGCGCATCAAATTATTCACTCGTCGATCTCACCTCTCAAATCGACACTGAGGCCCAAGCTAGGGGCAGTTAGCCTCAGAATTGAATGGGTTAACAAAGTTCACCCCCCTGCCGTCAGCAAGCCGCGGGAGTTAACGAGATGTCAGTGGGAGGCGAACAAACAAATGATTTAAGTTAATAATAAGTATAACATTACACGAGAATACACCCAAGCTATATGCCAAAATAAGAAAGGGGACTATGCTCAAACGGACTCCTACTTATTTCTTTTGATTAGTTTTATTAATAAAGCACAAAAATAGAGAATACGCCAAAGCTACATGTATATGCCAAAATTCAAAATCCGAGCCATGCTTAAACGGACCCCTACCACTTATAAGATTTTTTTTAAATGAATGAATGAATTTATTTCTTTTAATTAGTTTTAATAATAAAACAAAAATGCACGGATTTGGAACTACATGTATACATGAAGGTGACAATTAGTACATTTTAAGGTCTTTCAGATCACAAGACATTAATTTTCATACAAGAATTGATTATCTTATGAAAAAAAAAAAAACTGAAAATGAAATTTGAAATTATTTTATTCGAACCTAAATTAAAGTAGACGAACTCGAACTTAAAAATTACCAGAGATTTCCCGATAAATATGGCAATTCATTGCAGTCATGACAATATTTAACTGGACGGATATCTGGTTTTAAAAACATTATTATTTTTTTTAAGATGAAAATGAAAAAAAATCCACCCTTCCCAAGTGTCGGTCAAAAGAATTAATGCCCATTCCTATATATAGTACTTAAAGGAAAAATGCACATATTTTTTTTCAATATTTTCCTTCTAAAGTTTTTTTTTATTGATCAAAAATTAAAATTACAGGAGAAAAAACCAGGAGGAAATTAATATATACATGAAAGAAAAACAGTAAGCAATTCCATATGTACATGTATATGTTATGCTAAAAAAAAAAGTTAAAAAATTTATCGATTATCCGGCCCATCGGGCCTATACAAGATGTAAATTTATACATGTACATAAAGAAAAGAAAAATAGTACCATACTTAGCAATTAACAAAAAAATAAATACGTGTGTTCACTGTCATTTCACCACTTAATTATCTTCTTAATTATTTATGAGAAATTGGAGGATATGAATGTACACACCATTCCTATGTTTTTTTTCCACATGTATAATTATAGCGCAAATTGGGTTATTACACAATATATATGATTTTGAAACCGTTACATGTAAGATGTTCAATCGTTTAATTATGAAATTGTTTCAATACAAATTGCGAGCAAAGTTTTTATAAACAAAAAATGAAATATAAAAACAAATGCCAGATTTCTTTTTTATTCATTCATTTATTTACTTATAAGAATAGGCTTCTGCAAATAGGATTTCACAATAATTTATGTTTCTATCTGGATTATATTTTTCTCGCTTACTTAATGTCAATTTCTTAGCCAGCCTGTTACTTTTATATTCGATGCCTTTAAAACCCATCAGAACTTTACGAATGAAAAGGACATTATGATATACAAATTCATTTTCATATATGGGCATATTTTATTAACTGACATTGTTTAAACTGCGTTTTCTTTCTTTGGGCTTTGAGTGAGAAACGAAACTTTTTGTACTCTGTATCGACAAACAATATAGTTAAATGTATATATCACTAAAATACATAACTTACTCACAATTTACATTTAAATTGCATTTAAATATTAAATAGCAGCACATAAAATATACCATAACTTTATATAGAATAAATCAAGAGAGAGAGAATACCCTCCTTTTTTCTATTTTCTTATTTACAATAAGTTAAATTTAAAAAAATAAAAGGATTTTTTAAATTAAGATAAAAACACGCCTTACCTTTTAATCTGTTAAATACGATGTCCTTGAAATAAGCAACAGGAGATTTTCACGTGAAACTTCTGTAACAACTTTCCCACCAAAACACCGCGTGGAGAAAAACCAAAAGCTCAAAAGTTTCAAAGGAATTTCCGAAAGTTTATACAAATACAAAATATGGAGATCTTAATTTTGAGAGTTTAAACGGTTTCGAAAAACTTCTCTCTGCTGAGGTACCGCGAACGTAGAATTTGTTATTTTTAGGACTTGGACAGTTTTTATAGCGGGATATTACAGGGGCCATCAAAGCTGCCGCGCCACGTGCGGTTTTTAATTGTTAATTACAGGTAAACGGTAGTCACACAGATTGTTGGGGAGCAATTAATTCTCTTTGTTTTTACAATCGATCTGTAACGGTCCGATTGTTGTAAATCTACTTCTACTTATTACGTTTAGTAGGGGGGCTGAATACTCTAAATTTAATTACCCTAAAAAGAATTGCCAGATTTTTTTAGTTTGAAATAAAAAGTATAACTTCACCGAATATACGAACAAATGAATAAACAATAATTAAAATCATATGTTCAAATTTTCTCATTTAATTACCAAAAATTCAAATTTAGATTTCTAATATATACAACTTTAAAAAAATTGCAAATATATTCAACCAAAAAACAACAAAATTAAAAAAAATAAATAAATAAATTTGAGTTACCAAACTATGCAGAATTTTGTTATAGAAACGATGTTCGGTAAATTCCTTGTATAAGCAATGGCGCTACATGTAGTTAGAGTACGTGCACTTGGTCCCTGGCTTATTGCCTAGCAAGTTTGTTTCTGATGATAATTTAATATTTACATGTAAATGTTACACAAGCATTGTTAGAAATATCTTTAAATAGAATAAAAGAATTTTAGAAAAAATACGATAATAAATTTTCATGTTTTTCAATCCAATATTTCTTTGTTTCTGTGTCATTTTTATATAGCCTTTGTAATTTTCCTTTTGCCATAAAGTTTTAAGCCCTTTTTTTCCAACTACTGTAGAAGAAATCTGAGCTTACCAGATGGATTATAAAGAAATATACACATATGAATTAATCTTAATATTATAATTATTCCTTCTACGAAAAATTAAGAAGCACATTTAAAAATGCAGTAGGAAATATCTACTGTAAATGGGAGATATATTTTATATTATAGTACATGTATAAAGAGAACTCATTGATGTCTGTATTAGGATAGGATATACATTCATCTTTAATGTTCTAATATTACAATAAAGACTAATATGCTTCCAGCTACAGCTAACATAAGTCTTCAAGAAATATATGTTCTCTAAGATCTTAAAGTATTGACATTGGAATAGCACTCCAAATTAGTCGACAACGAGTCCGAATAAATCGGCCATGAGAAAAAACACAAGAAAAATGTACTCTCCACGATAAATGGATACTTGACACCTTGTAATAAAAAAAATCTTTTAAGGATTGCATAATCATCTCAGTTTTATACAAATTGTGTCATCTTATACAAAGCTATTGGAGGTTTTATCCAATTACATCAGGTAAAGTGGCGAAATTGGAGAAAGAAATCGTTAAATTTCTAAATGATTAGACAAAGCAATATTGATGACCTCGTTAGGACAATTAACGGTACGAAATTGACACCGTGGTCTCAGGGATCGCAGAGTGAAGGATACCCCAAGCGGAATAATTTCTGGCAAGGTGTGGAGGTTCTAAAAATTAAGGCGCGAGTTTTTCCTGTCCTGTCAACGAAAATTGTCGTAATTTTGTACTTTTATACTTATCATTAATTTTCCATAACTATTGCTGCAATAATTATAGAATTTCAAGTATATATACTGGTCAACGCTGGTGTATCAACTACTCAGATTATCAGAGACGATCTTATTAATTTTGGTAAAGTCACAAAACTTTGACGGCAATATATTCTGATATTCCAAACCATTGACAAAGGTAAGATTTTTTCTTTTTCCTAATTTCAAATTTTTAAAGCTTTAAAAAAAAAAAACAAACAAACAAAATTTAAGCTTTAACTTCTACTGAAGTCATAATATTACATGTCCATATAGAAAAGGTCAAAATTTAATATAAACTTCTCAGAAATTTTATTAAAGAACTATATCGTACTGGATAACTATGGATATGAATTATTTAATTGTTAAAATTTATCAGAATAATAAAACTGAAAATACCGGTAATAAAAACGGTTCAATTAGGTTGTAGTCTTTGATATTAATTGACATTTTTTCATAGAAAACATACTCGCTGTAAACTTACATGCATGTAAGTTGCATGTACATGTAATAAATCTCCGAAATGTTTCTTTGTCTTGTTAAACCAGTTTCTTGAAATGACACGTTTTTGTACCCGGCATTTTCTGTTAATCCTATGGATTACATTTCAAACGTGTAGAATTTCTTGTTTAACATGTACATTTTGTACGTCCAAATAATATGTCGCAATTTTATCATGTTGACGAGGAAAATGAACAAGTGTATGATCTCGGAATGAGAAATTAAATTATATCTACATTATTCATTAACATAATTAAATCCAATTTTGAAAAAAAGAAGAAAAAACTTAAAGGAGTACGGGGGCGGGGTGGGGTGGGGCTTCAATACAGGACAAAAAAAAAGAAATGAAAAAAAAAATTGGACCTATTCTTTTCTTTAAAAAAATCTGGATAAAACTTACGGTTCTTCGAGTGTGATGTTTCCATATTTCAATAAACCGAAGAATTAAAAGCTTGTATTTAAAACTCTTCATACATTTGTAGATATATGTCAGAATACATTGACACATATTTATAGAAATTCATGTACATGACGACGTTTTCTCATTGAGAAAAAAAGGAATTCATGTCTGTAATAAGTTAGGAAAATCGTAATGGCAATGAATTGTATGTAATGATCAACCACTTTTTATTGTGTTGCGGGGTATGTAAAGATATTCAAGTGTAGAAAATGACATTTAATTGAACCCGTATTGCATTAAAAACTTTTATATCTAAGAAAATACACAAAACAAGAAAAATGAGAAGAACTTGAACTTCGTAGCGCTTGTTAATCTTACAATAAATAAACGAACAAAAAGCATATATAGGATCAATAAAGTTTTTCACATGGTTTTATCAACGACTTATAAATTCACTAAGAAGAAAAAAAAAATGTATTGAATATTCACTGTGTAATGAAAGTCGATTTAGGAAAAAATTAAATGAAGACTTTTTAATTCATGATTTAATGTCAAGTTCTTTTGTAAGTATTGAAATTACACTTTCTATTGATAAACAAGATGTATATCATCAAGATATACCTGAAAGGCAGGGTGATAATCGATTTCTAATATTTCACGACAGTAATGGTGTTCAACAAGGTTGTCCATTCCCGCTACTCGCTTTCATATCTAGTTAGAAGTTCTGACATATTGCCGGTGGCACAATGACTGTATACCGTTAGGCAAAAACTTATATTTCTTATCACCAAATCTATGACCAAAATATTATAAAAATATTTTCTCAAAAGCAGCAAATTTAACAGTTACTGGTTTTGAATGAAATAGTATTTGGCGCACCGAAGTGTCAATTTTCAAACAAAGATGAATAGATAACATGTCAGAAATTTCAACAGTATATAAACCAAGAATGCACATGTCTTTACCATAGAGTTTCAGTGTTTCTACATGTTCCCGTGACCAACGTTGGATTATCAACTTAAAATGTATACTTAACTGTTTGTCTTTAATATTATATCAATATGGTTATTGTCAACTTAAGTTTTGTCTTAAATATTATATCAATATGGTTATTGTCAACTTAAAAATGTACTTAACTGATTTGTCATAAAAATTATACGAATGTGGATATTTCTACATTTTCTTTTCAATAAAATAATGTTTTTCAACATTGTATGAAGATATTAAAATCAGAGGAAATTGAAAGTTATCAAAAAGCTCTTTTTATTATTAAAACATTATATGCTGTATTTTGCTTTTAAAACAGGTTCCATACAACTAGTACGCCCGTTACAAAGAGGACCAGAGGAATGGAGCAAGTGAGTAAAATGATAAAGAGTGTATTCTTTCCTCCCACGTAGTCATAACTTAAACCAAAACCTTGTTGGAATGGAGGACATTACCTTAAAAACTTTTTGCGATATTTTATATTTTCAATTAATCAATTACTCAATCAATCTAGGGTAATATAGATATTTCTGCACTCATATTTACGTAATAGAATATTGAATTAAACAGTAATAATTTTTTTATTGAGTATAATGAATGTAAAATTAAATTTGGAGATAAAGACACTTCTAAAAACAATCTAATAATACAGTGAAGATGGTCTAAAACTTAAGTTTTTCTTCATGTACAGTCCATGATGAACGAGATGTCCCCCTTCCGGTTGGAGCAACTTCCATTTGACCTGGATGACCTCAGCCTCAGTTCCACCGACGTGTATCAGATGTTAACCCCTAAACAGAAAGGAATGAGGCCCCTCCCAGTGGACGAGGACTCCGGTCTGGGAATGGAAACGTTTGATGTAAGTAAACACATTCTAAATAATCTGAACAAGGACAGTCACTAAAAACAGTTCAAAATTCCATTCATAGATAGTAAAATACCAGTAAGAATGAATTGTTCATACATAAAATCATATAAACAAATCAAAAAAAATAATTAATAATCTGAACACACATCTATTTGCTAATTTATTTGTAATTCATTCTTTCAATGGTTACCGTACTTCAACCAATGCAATTATTTGCAATTCATTCATTCATTCATCACTGACTACCGTAGTTCAACCTACATGTATGCATACATTAAAACATTTTATATACATCCCTAAATGTATTCTTATCCCACGACAGACAATACAAGAAGAGTACACAGACCAAGACTTGTCTTTTGACATCGCAAAACAGATCACAGACACCCCATGTTCTAGAAGATCTTTGTTTGGTTTACAGAAGCGCCATCGTAGAGACAGTAAGGGTTCTCCCTTAACCAAGCGCCGGAAGCACGTGACCAGCAGCAGGAAGCGCATTCAGAAATCCCTGTCTTTTGGTGTACGTTCCAATTTTATCCTTTGATGGTAAAATCTATAAAAAAAAAGGGGGGGGGTTGGGGTTGGGGTGGATGAAATTACAGTTTTACGAGAGAAAAATACATTTCCATTTAAAATCTGACAGAATTCAAATAATGCGTAGGAAATTCTAATGAACAGGAAGCACAAATACTGACTAACCAATTAATTTACATAAAAAGGTTAATTTGACAATAAAATTTTGTAATCACTCATTTATTCTTGCTCTAGATAGCACAACTGCATAATATATTAGGAAATGACTTTAGGAATGAATAAGTTATATTGATGGGTAAAACATGCACTTTCCTCTGAAATATTCAAATTTTGCAATTCTTATTTTGTAAAACAGGACTGTCCCAGGAAGAGTCCACCCACTGACCAAAGTGAGGTTCTACAGTTTGTTGAACGAGTGACGCAGGAGGAAGATTTGGTAGGCGACGGAAGTGCAACCCACTCTCTACCCACAATACCCGGCAAACATGCCGACCTTAAGAGCGTAACAAACGAGACGGTACGTGCCATTGCAAATATTACATTCATTAAATTGTTCGTGTCCAAATGACGTATCCCTAGTATATAGAATGTCAGTTTATCACAGTTTGAGACAAACCTTGACATCTTTGCTTGTATTTTGAAAAAAATAAACTACGGGTTTAATCAATAATACGAAATTTTCAGATCTCTTTTGAAAAAGGGAAATTGAGGTAAAACAACAAAAAACACCTTTGATTTGATATTGTTCTTGTATTAAGCAACAAAGGACCGAACCGTGGTGTTGACTTCCCTAGTATTTTTGAGCTCGTTTTGTCATTTTTGTATGTTCTCTTGTGCTTAATATTCTACATCAATTTTCAGGTATCAAAATTAGTGAATGGGGAATTTGATGACGTAATTGGAAGTTATCAGATCATAGACTGTCGTTACCCTTATGAATACGAGGCCGGGCATGTAAAGGTAAACAATCATGATGTAGATTAATACTACTTAGTTTTGTAAAAAATGAACTACACTTCTGATATCATTTCAATTTCACCAAACTAATCTGTGCTTCATAAAAAAAAAAATCGAACAACTTTAAAGCAAGAAAATTTTCCCGCAATCGTCAAAATGCTAAAATTATACTTTTCAGAATGCCCTTAATCTGTATAAGGAAAGTGACGCGGAGACAATTCTCAGTTTCAAAGAGAACCAAGGAGACAATGAAGGAAAAAGGCATATCCTGATATTTTACTGCGAGTTTTCGTCCGAAAGAGGCCCAAAAATGTAATTCTGAAACAGACTTCTAAAATCTATCTTTCACAACAAAGTTTCTCTTATTGTATACAATTCATCCAATCATCTAACATAATTTTCCTCACCATAAATCTTTCGTATTCTATTCTAGGTATAGAAATGTAAGGAAAGCCGACAGAGCCATGAATCAGGACCAGTACCCGAAGCTTAACTTTCCAGAAATGTACTTGATGCACAATGGATATAAATGTTTCTTCGAAAATCAAAAGGTCAGTCTTTGTACATTTACCTTCCTCAAACTAATATTCATTAATTGAGGCTAAATTGCAGGGTAAATTCGGGCTAAAACTGAACCGAAACTTTTATTTACAGAGGTTTTGTGAGCCGGAAGACTACAAGCCGATGCTTCACAAGGAACATGCTCAGGATTTACGTCACTTCCGGGCCAAATCTAAGTCTTTCGCTGCTGGGGAGAAAAGAAAGAAAGCTAGCCGTCTTTCTTTTTAATGACATTGGTGCTAAATATATACAATTTTGATTTGATTTGAATTGTTTCATTTATGTATTTGTTGATTTGTCCATAGTTTATTTATTGGAACCATCGTGTGTTCCGCATTGTTATCTAATTTATTGTTTGAATGTGAAGTTTGTTTGTCTTGTGTGTATCTGTGAGTGACATATTTGTGTAAAAAAAAAATAAATATGAAATGAAAAAAAAATTCGTTATATCTTCATTTCCTTTTTTGAAGAGAATTCAAATGGTATGAATCAGTTTCGTACATGTATCTGGGTGAATTAACGGACGTGTGACCAGGAAGTTTTGAAAGTACTCACTTTTTTGAAACCTCATTAATGGTTTTAAATAAATATTCCGACACCTTTCTTTATCTCCAGATTGTAATGAAGAGATTGGGGATTCTCCCCCCCCCCCCCACACTACCACCACCGTTGGAAAGTAATATTAGGCTTTCAATATATTTAATTTAATTCTTGTGCTTTTGAATTCCGATTGACAGCGCTCAAAATATTCTTTTACTAGTAGTTAACAGCCAATCTGTGCCGAAACACAAAAGAGAAATTTATAATAGGTCCCTTTGAGCTTATTGACATATAGGAAATTTATTGAACCAGTCTAGTACTTGAACATGTTAAAGATTTAAGGGAGAAAAAAAACAACAACAAACGTTTTTTTAACTCTGAAAGGATACCCACGATGAACATATTTAACGAAATTATTTTGAGTCCATTCAAAAACAGAAAATGTTAATAACCTTTCCGAAATCTCTGCAAAGAAAATATGGCAACATATACTTGCTCCTCTCGCATCTTCGACAACAGCGTGAGAGTGCCAAAATATAGGGACATCAATACATGGAAAAGGGAATGTGAATACGACAATATCTGGGAGCAAGAATGTGAGAACTAAATTAATGGAGAGGGGGGGGGGGGTGAGGACGAAAATATATGTGAAGAATCAGAATGTGAGGACGACAATACATTGGAGGTAGATTATGAGGACAATAAAACAAGGAAGGGACGTTAGGACTGCAATACATGGGAGCCAGAATGTGAGTGTAAATACATGGGAGAGGGAATTTGAGGACACAATACACGGGAGAAGGAATATGTGAGAACAACAATATATGGGAGAGGGAATGTGAGGACAACAATACCTGGGAGAGGGAATGTGAGGACAACAATACATGGGAGAGGAATGTGAGGACAATACATGGGAGAGGGAATGTGAGGACAACAATACATGGGAGAGGGAATGTGAGGACAACAATACTAAGGGAGAGGGAATCTGAGGACAACAATACTAAGGGAGAGGGAATCTGAGGACAACAATACATGGGAAAGGGAATGTGAGGACAACAATACATGGGAAAGGGAATGTGAGGACAACAATACATGGGAAAGGAAATGTGAGGACAACAATACCTGGGAGAGGGAATGTGAGGACAATAATATCTGGGAGAGGGAATGTGAGGACAATAATACATGTGGAGGGAATGTGAGGACAAAACACATGGGCGAAGGAATGTGAGGGCAACAATACATGGGAGAGAGAATGTGAGGACAACAATACATGGGAGTGAGAATGTGAGGATGACAATATACATTGGAGGGAGAAAGTGAAGACATCAATGCAAGGGAGGGACATTGTTAGGAGGACAATACATTGGATCAAGAATGTGGTGTTGACATTATACGGGAGAATGTTAACCTGGTAGTGAGATAGGCATGAAGACGACAATACATGAAAGCAAAAATGTGAGAATAACAAATCATGGGATCAAAATATAAGGACGACAATACATGTGAGTCAGAATGTGATGACAACAATATTTGGCATTGAGAATGTGAAGGAAAAAAAAAACACATGGAAGCGAGATGTAAAGACAACAATACGAGAGAGCAAAAATTTGAGGACAAAACATGGTAGAGAGATTGTGAGGACGACAATACATAGGGCCAGAATGTGAGGACAATACATGGGAGCCAGAATGTGGGGACAACTAAAAGAGAGAAAGTGAGGACAAAACATGGGATTGAGAATATGAGGATGGCTATACATTTGAGAAAGAATACATCTGAGAGGCAATGTGAAGGTGACGATACATGTATATGGGAGTGAAAATGGTTCTGCATACCCAACACACGGACTCTGAGTCTGAATGTGAGGTGTTGTTGCACACAGATAACCATGTATAGGCAAGGATTCCGTCTCCCAGAGAGACGTTTTTTTTAACTTATAAGATCTGAATGATTGTGAAATGGGGTTTGCTTAAGACTTTTTATTTTTTACAGAGCATGCTCGTTCCTAACTTTTGTTCAAATCAAATTAGAGGGATTCAGGATCATGAACTAGCTTGTCTTTTTACTCTAATTAAAGGATATACTTAACTAATAGATATCAGCTGGAATTGTACTTGCCGTGAAACCAATAATTTCGTGGGGGTTTAATTTTCGAGACCCACGATTTCATGTCCAACACGAAATAAAATATATATATATATATATATATATATATATATATATATATATATATATATATATATATATATATATATATATATATATATATATATATATATATATATGTATATATATATATATATATATATATATATATATATATATATATATATATATATATATATATATATATATATATATATATATATATATATATATATATAACTACACAACAATTCTTCATTCATGAAATCAAGTCCCCACAAAGCCATATTTTTTCCTCAAACGTCGTAAATAAGACCCCACAAAAATATGTGATTTTACAATATATGTCAAATTGGGATGATTTTGTCACTTTTGAACCAGATGTAGCAAGTCTAATATAGAAGCCATTTGAAATATTTATTCTTGGATTTCAATGTAATGTTGACACTGAAAAAGTTTTTGCTGATTAATGACTTAAGCTGGGCTTTAACTTTACAGTCTCATATCATTTAAAGTGTCATCACTGTGATGAATAAAGGCATGGATTTTTATTAAATTCTTTCTCAGGTTGACTAAACTTAGGCTAAATTTAATTTAGGTTAAATTACAATAGAATTGTTCATAGTCATTTGATTCTTAATTAGAAACTATTAGGAATTGTAAAACGATATTGTAGATATATGTACATGACTGTATGTTTTACAGAAAATGAATAGGTCGCACTCATATATATAATTCCAAACTTTTAAAATTCTAAAACTAATCATTATATTGATAATGTCAAGCATTGTAAAATTTGGTTTCAGTCTCCACCTTAGATCTACAGTTACTGTAACATCAGGAGATTCTCAAAGATCCTGACCAAGATATAGGTGAATGCAAAGAACTCCTCACTCCATATATGGTATGTCATACGACTTTTTCCCACACAGGTTTCCCAAATCCGTGTCTCCCTACATGGAAAATGACACGGGTTTCTAGCACAGGTTTTCAGACTCCGCGAGTCCATATAAGAAAACTATCACGGGTGTTCAGAATCCGTGAGTCTATATATAAGAAAACTAGCTTTTTGGCACGGGTTAATTGAGTAATAAATGTGTGATCTAATTCAAATATTTCGGTCAATATCCTTTGCCCTGTCCGTGTCTCGACCACTTTTGACACAGCTTTCTATACGAAGGAGCACAACTGCTACAGTCACGGGTTTCTGGAAGCTGAATTCGCGCCTGTGCAGTGTCTAAGCCGCATGGACTCTTCCGTACAGGAAGTGTTACAAAATAGCCATTTTCCTTACTTTTATAATTTGAGAAAAATCATCTTAAACCATTTTACTTTTGACTAAAATGGACACTAATAACCAAAAATTGAAGTTACCAGAGAAAATTTTACTCAGAAAGGTTCTTCATACAAATTTTTATCCATGCACAATGGTTTATTACAAGTCTTTGATTTCTATCATGTCAATTGAGCAATAATATTCAACTTATCAGCTGTGAAAATACGTGATTTTTCGGGTTTATTGGAAAACATCATAGGAAAGATTTACTGTAATACATGTAAATCAACACATAAATTTGTGTCACTGACATGGCTTCCTTCTTTAAACCAAGGTCAAACTTTTTACATACAGAAGATCAAAATGAGAGATACATGCAAGTCTTTTGCATTCTTTAATTCCCCCTTTGCAAACCTCATTATCTCGAACTCGATGGGGCCGAGAAAAAACTTCGAGATATCCAAGTTTTAGAGATATTGAGGGTAAAATACATAAGAAATATTTGGTTAGGACTTCCCAATCCCTTTTGACATATCCATGGTATTCGAGATATCCATGTTCCAGATACAGATGTTCAACTGTACATCCATTCCCAATCACCGCTGGAAACTATCATGTTTTGGCAAATACAAAATAAAATTATTTAAATTTAGCATTTATTCACAACAACCAAATAAATTGTTTATAGAATTACACAACAAAATGGCCACTTGAAAGTATCACAGATATATATATGAAAATAATTTATAAAGTTAACAGTATATATTTCAAATTACAAGCAGAGGAAGAAATTGTATGTTAAATAAATACAAAAACATCAAGTTTCTGAATTTGTATATGTAACAGACCAGTGCTAGCACTCATTTCAGATCTGATGCTAGTGTTGTGCTTTTGGAAAAAAAAAATTTCTTCATATAAAAAAAAATACAATTTTTTAAAATAAATAAAGAAACAGATTGTATATAGCATGCACTTTTTTTTTTTTTTTAAATTTCTCTGCCTCAAAGTAATATTCATCCATCTTTGTTCATTTTAAATTAAAATATCGTTATGATAGAAATTAAATTTTCAATGTGCATGCTGCTTCAAGGAAATATACCTGGTCGATGTATAAAACCTATATTTATAAAATATGATCTATAATCATAAAAGTTATGAAAATAAAATTGAAAAAGCATATTTTAGTAAATCTAAATTAAAAAAAAATATTTTGTTCAGCACTGAAGTATATGTAGCACATTATCTGATGAAGAAGCTAAATATATATATACTGTATAAATATATCTATATTTAAAAAGTTTCGTACATTAGAAAAATATTATGTAAATCTGAAATTAAAAAAAATTCTCATGAAAACTGTAAATTATTTGGCCATAAATATGAAGTCTTTTGGCTATTATTTAAATATTTTAACTGCTCAAAGTACAAGCTCATCAACAACAAATAAATACAAATCATACTACATAATTTATAACAAATTTTAAAACAAGAACAAACTGTCTCCTATCCCAAGAAAAACAAAGTGTAAAAAGCACGGACTCAAACAACAGGATGTGCCACCAGCAATATACCATATCCAGAGTGGGCGGTGTGAACACAACAATTTACCAATAAACAGTCATAAACACAGAATTATACTAATGATGAACACTGTATTCAACTCGTTATACAGTCACGGAGAAATAATGGAGAGAAAATCAACACATATGTATTACAGATCTTTTTTTTTTAGAGGCAAAAAGTGGAGTACTATGCTTCTTCTATACATAAAATATTTATACAAAAAATATGTATATTTATTAAAGCAAACTTGGCACTAAATGTCTTGAAACATATTTTAACAGGCAGGTACTATAAATAATACTTCTTCATCTACCAGCCCTAAAAAAAAATTACCTTTGCATAAATTTCAGCTGTTCATATCTCACTCAACTGAATAATCTTATTTCAAAAACAACAAGCTTTCGATATTACATCTTAATCACCACAAATATTACAAGCTTTGTTTTTTTTTTTTTTTATCACAACCTTACAGTACAATAAAGAAAAAAAATACTTGGAATCAAGCAAATGAGGTTGAACTGTACTGAACACTTGCAACAACAGGATATATAAGCACTAATATAATATATATATATATGTATATATATCTGGAACAACACAAACAACAATTTATCACGGATGATAATGGCACATAAAGGGAGGTAAGTGTGAAAATAAAATTCATATTTCATTTTCGTGCAACAGGAAATGACCACACTAAATCAAAACAATGAATGAAAACAAAAATAAAGAAATACTTTGACTTTAAATTCTTAGAAAGAGTATTGATAAAAGGCAATGGAAGCTAGCTTTAATTAAGGACCAATATTTGAGCAAATATTTCTAGACACTTTTAGTTTTTTTTTTCTCTCAGATTATGTAGCAACTCTCAAGAAGATGGGAACATCACAGCAAAAGTGACATAAACTGGACAATCCAACTTCTCCATCTTTAAGCACTGTCAATTAAGAAAATAAAAAAAGACATCACATACAGTCAAACTTCTACATGTAACTTTCAGGAGGACTGAATTTCAGATTTAAATCAACCTGAAAAAAACCCAAACAAACCAAACCAAAACAAAACAAAACAAAAACACTAAGTTCCTACCTCACTTCTACTTGTTTTGTCTCCAAGTCCAAATTTCTGGCTTACAATTCCTGTGGTCCTTACAGAGTTATCCCCCTTATTGTACTGTTGTACCGTAATACAGTAACGAACCTCTCTGTCTGGCCTCATGGAGAATGTGTGCCTCTCACACTGACGGAAACTCAAAATGGGGTCACCAGGTCGCAGTCTCTGTTAAAAAAATATTCAGTCATATTTTTCAAACAATTTTTAAATGATCGGAGATGGATGTCCCTTTAACCTGAAATCTATACTTAACTTTTTGCAGTTGACACTTTGCATTTAATTAAAATAATTAGAAATAAAATTCCTGTAAATACCTGCATATAGAACGACACATGTCCTGCACTACTTCTAATGGCCTTCAGCTCAAAGTGGAAGCCATGAAGGGAGAGAACTTCAGAGTGATAGTGGGGCTCCTAAAGCCAAAAAAAACCTTTCTTTACACAATTTGAAAAAGGTCTTAGACAACCTATAATTCATTCATAACATGCATATTCTAGGAAGTCTAAATATAATCTAATGCAGAAAGTTGATTACTTTTGCTACTTCTTGAAAATTCATTTTCTCTTGGCTATTTAGTTATGATGTAACAGCTAGATCTTGAAAGGACAAATACCACCACAGGGCACCAGAAAGGGGGCTCACTTTAAAATAGCTTCAATAGAAACTCTGCAATCTTGCTAATAAATTATACTGCAAAGTCCCCTGGCCTAAATCTTATACATGTATAAATGGAAAAATTGGATGAAAGTTGTAATATATTCTGGTCAAGGGTAACTCACTTTGATGTGTTGAGGATAAAAATTCATCCACAGTCCAAGCATCAAAATGTCAAAGCCAAAAGAATACTAGTACATGTATTATGCAAAGAATCATGACCTACATCTTGGTCACCTGTATGCCAAGTATGACCTCCTGATACTCCTTAAGGTTTTCTTTAAAACTATTATATTTCTGAGATACTTCTCTAAATTCTGTGACCTTGACCCTGCCTTAATGACTTATTATCAGGGTTATGCATTACTCTTGTCACATCCTATGGCCATCATCAACCCTTCACTAGAGAAATATGATATTTGGAATTTGGTTCATTGTAATGTAATGGACAAGAATTTTACACTCCAAACCCAGTTACCTTGACCTTGTCCAAATGACCATGGTGCAGGGTTGATATACATACAATGGTCACCAGCAATGTTTATTTCTAGCATAGTCTTCTAATGTTTCTATCTACATTAAAGTAAGGACTATAGCAATGATTTCATATTAATTTTCTAAAACCTCTGACCTTCACCTTGTTCAAATTATCCAGGGTTGGGTAAGGACATGTCCATGAGTCAAAAACTTCTACAAGCTTCTGCTGAGTGTAACTAGAACAACAATTTAATACTTTTGTACTCTAAGACCTTGACCTTGTTCATAATGACCTTGGTATCGTACCGGAGCAAATTTTCATGATAAAAGTGACCTTTGAATTAGGTATGAGCCTCTCAAGCTTTTCAGTTTCAAAGTTAAGTTCAGACAAGAATTTCACTCCTCTTACTTAGGAGTTATGCACAGTGAAATCTTTGAAAAGTCATAATTTTTTTTTTAATTTTGGCAAATCAATCCTAAAATACCAAATTCAAATGGTATATACTAACTCTACAAAGTTTGAAAAAAGTAGTTTCAAAGGTCATTCCTGGACAAAAAATATCTACAGACAGATGTATATTGTGTTTCCAGTAAACAACCCAAACTTCATCTACAGGGGTGAAAAAATGGATACTGTAGACATATTTTTTTTTCCACGTGGGATCAATTTATGCTATGGACGTGGTCAGAAATTTTCTGCGGAAGTTTGTAACAGCATACTTAAAGTGCATTTAAGACATATAATGGCACTCCAAGTAATCCACATAATTTTTACCCATGGATTAAATAGAAGTTGTGGTTCCGAGGAATTATGACCCTGTGGAAAAAGTATGTTTACAATATACAATATATATTTTATAATTATTATAATTTAATAAAAATGATTAATAATAATTAATTCTAGCTATTATTCTTAGTACTTCAGTATCAGTTTTTGACAAGAACTATATGGCACACTGTTAAAACACATATATGTATCTAAGTATAAATCTTTTGTATTTTAGCCCTGTATATATACAAGGCCTAGGGTGACAATCTTTTCTTATATTCCTGAATGATATAGAAAGAATTTCAAGGATATGAAAATATGATTACATTGTTGCTACTTATACATCAATATCTGTAAAAATCTCAGATTTTTCTTAGCTAGAATAAAAGTGGTTTAGAGTGTAAATTAGGACAAGTTCCTTACATCGTCTATGATGAAGCCCTGACGAACCGAGTAAGCGTTGAAGTTTCTGAGAGAGCCCATATCTCCTCCACCTTGTAGCTGTAAATATGACACACAATTTCATAGCAATAACACTAATCCTATCTACCTGGTTAATAAAACATACAAAGCACCATTACCTACGTGCATATAGCCAGCCATTTTGTAGAGTACAGTTCTAACTGCACATGTGCAATGGTTCAAGAAAAGGGGGCAATGAAATGGTATTTGTATCTGTTCCAAATGACTAATGGTATACCTATTTAGAATCTATTGACTACAACTATAGTCAATACTACAAATACATGTATCAATGAATTGGTAGGACTGATGCAAATCATCTTTCAGAAATAAAATGTGTCAGTGTAATATTTTCAGGATCATGGATTCAAATATTGGGGTCAAAATATATTGAAAAGATTGGTTGGGACTTTCAATGTTCTTCTGTAATCAGCATTTTCATGGTATTCAAGATATCAATGTTCAAAATACTGAAGTTCAAATGCATTGTGTTTGAAATAACATTAAGGGTCAATTATGTAAATTCTTTATGCCAATTATATTCTGACAAGCATTCAGGGAATGGAATATATTGTACATACTAATTAAGCATTGTAAAATATTGAATAGTGGAACAATATAGGTCCTATTCCAATTGCAATCAATGCAAAGTGTTACTTTTTGAGCAATTTTTCAGATTTTAATTTCAAACATTATAAATCTACGAAATGACTGGCACTTAGGTACTTATTAGCTCACTTGAAAATTTTTTGACCCCAGTTTATAGTCTTTGATATACTAGGGGTCAAATGTTTTTTTCAAGCACACAGCACCTATGTAACTTTACATACTGCAGAAAACAGTCTCATACATGTATTGTCAAATATGACATCTAAACTGATCTATATAAATCCATTAATTCTAAATTCTAACTATGATTACAGTACTAGTGTTATATTGTAAAACACCAAAACCATCCATCCCTTTGAAGCAACATGTTACACATGTTTACTTACTCAAGAATATCATCAACTTACAAAACTGTCCATTGTAAAACCTTGTCTTTTTGCCAAAGTTGCAAAATGGTCTTTATTTGCTGTAGGACTATCACCTCCATTTTGAAGCTCAGAACAGGAAACTCATAAAATTATTATTCACAAATATGTTCTCAATAAAGGGTGAAAATCCCATCATTTTATTACAGCAATTCTTACATGCATATAATCAAAATGATACAGAATGGTAATACTTTATATCTTGAATCTTTATTTCTTTGCAATCTGCTAGATAGAAAAGAATTAAGGTTCATCATCCCTCTGCTCTGCACTTTTATGCAAAAGATTTTCCCAAAGGAATTTAATTTATAATTAAAATGCATGCAATATCAGCATACCTTGCTGGCCTGGACAATACATGATAAATTAAAGGAATTGCAGTAATTTATTCCAGTGAGAGTTATCTCTCTTACATGGTCAGTGAACCTTAAAACTTCTCCTTTATTTCCCCTGTAAGACAGGAGGAACATATTCTGTCTATATATATGGAGTTCAGCATACTTACTGCATGGTAGTGTTGGGAAAGAAGGTCAATCAACTGTGACTGGGGCAAGATATTCATGATCTGCATATCCTGAATATGATTGGCTGAAATTCAAAGAATAACCACAGTGATTGTATGAAATTTGCAGACTAAGTAACAAAATTATGATAGAATGTTCTTCTTTCAAGAGGTAAACAGCTTTCTGATAAAATTTGTATACACAAATCAAATGTGAAACATTGTTGAAAATAAAATGAATGAAAAAAAAAATGATGCAGTTGGTAATGCATGCAAAAGAGGTTGTGTTGAGTTGAAGGGTGCAAATTACTGTGTATATCTTAATCATTTTTTTTTCCTTTTGGTGCAATATGTTTGAGAATATGTACATAGCAGAAGAGAATTTGAAAGAAAAGTATGGAGTCTAAAAATCTTTTATTCAAAGTAATAATACAGACATTAAACGTGGCCCTATACATTTTTCTACAAAATTTAGGTCTAAAAATACTAGAGAATGACTAAAAAAAAAAAATTCTACATGCATCTACTTTTAAGGAAAGATCCCCAACATTTTACACGAGAGTCTAATACTTTGGCACATCAACAGTCACCAATTCAAGCTTCAACTCAAAATATTGTCATCTATATTCATCATATTGCCTTGTTGTTTTGATTTTTTCCCTCTTAAATTTACATAGAATAGAAATAGGTATATTTATATCATTAATTGTCAGAGAAAATTAACATTTGACTAAATGAAAATGAAACCATGAAAATTTCTACTTTCATGCAAGAATGAAGAACTGGAAGTTCAATTAAAAAAAATATATATGTATATATACTACACAGATTTGATAGACTCATACTCTTACCAGAACATCTATAACACAAAAAGAAACACAATACAACATGTTGAATTGAAAATATATCAATGAATTTACAGGCTCTATGCAAATAATGGTAATTAGCAATGCTAGAAAAAGTTACAATGCAAAAACACAAGACGTTTGTAAACACTAATGCCCCTGTAATTATGACAGCTCAAAAGTAGGTCAAATGTACTCCAAGGGCATGAGGTAAAAAATGTTGGGACCCACAGAAATGTCTTGTAACAAGGAACATACAATTAGTTATGAGAAATAGAAAGCCCTAGCATCAACTGTTCAGAAGTTAAGGCCAAGGTTAAAATTTTTTTAACAGAAAGTCAAACTCAAAGGTCAAAGGTCATGAGGTCAAAAAATGTTGGTACCCAAAGAAAAGTCTCTTAAGGTATGTCACTCGTCAGCCTTTTAGAAAAGTTCAGTAAGAACCTCTTACTTAAAAACTATTTATTACAATTCAACCTTTATAACATATTTAAGTTAAACAATGTAAAATGTTCAACATTCAATTAAAAGACTGCTCGAAAATTGATAAAGAAGCAAGATTTATAAGGGACTATTTCTTGTGGTGGAAGGATATTAAGCAGAAAATTCTGCAAATCTACACATATTAAATTTAATATCTTGGAACTTTAGCCTCACATACTTTTACTCAGAGAATATTTTCCATTATGATATGCCTGGAATATTAAATATAGGTCTCAATTTATATTTTTATAACAAAATTTACACCTTCGCTCAACAAACTTTGCCAAGAAATGAAGATGTTTTAAAGAAGTCAAGATAAAATTTACACATTTTTTTGCCAGAAAATCGCATATTTTGACCAATATTTCAAAATTTACATCACTGACCCCAACTTTTTCTTTCATTATTTTAAACTACTCGATACTTTTGACCGATCAGCACTTAAGTCGTAAAAAGTTTGATACAAGAAAATATTCTATTGCCTATTTAGATTTTTAATACCCCAAATATGAGACTTTTTTAATGCAAAAAGGTCATTCAAAAATTTACGCGCATTAATTTGTATGATTTGTTCAATGATAAATATAATTCAAACTATTTTACGTAAAAAAAAGATTATGTTCATTGCCATGGTTACATCTGATAATTTTTTTTTTTTTAATTTTTTTTTTATTCACATCTCTTTTACATTATTGTACATTGAAGTTAATACAACATGATGTGTTTTTTATAGAATAAATAGAGAGATAAAGGAGAGAGAGAAAAGAGAGAGAGAGAGAGTTAAGAAAAAAGCTGCTTCCATCTGTTCCACTGGGCATCAAACTTTTCCTTTCCACCATTTTTATACGAAATAAACTTGTGTGTTTCATAATAAAGATTCATTTGTGATATTGCAGCACATAAATTCAAAGGTTTCTCAGTACATCTTGCTGTATAAATATAATACTTAAGCCAAAGGATAATAGTATTTTGAATATCAGCATAATTCTCTATATAACCTAAAATAAAGGATTTTTTCATAATATTTATCACTACACCAGTCTTATCTTCAAGAAACATTACAAATTCTTCTAGAAATAATTGTATGTAATCACATTCCCATAAAAGGTGTTCTATTGTTTCTTCTTCTGAGTGACAAAAATTGCAGTATTTAGAGTCATTTCTTTTAATTTTAAACAAAAATGAATTTGTTGCTAAAATTCTGTTTGTAATTCTATACTGAAACCATTGGAGTTTGCAGTCTTTTGTCACTTTGAAGGGTATTTTGTGAAATTTTTTCCATTCTTTATCATCAACCTGTAAAATCTCACTCCACTTTGTTTTACCTGTTGACATAGAAGAGTTTTGATTAAGAATTTCATAAAAACATTTGGATTTACGACATTTCATCACCTTGTAAATATTTGACATAACTAATGGATTTTCTAGCTTTTTGATAGGTTTGTCAAGACCAGAATTTTTTATCCAAAATTTAGTAGCATGAATAATGCTACTATATTCTAAAAAATTAATCTTTATTTTTGGATAAGTATTACAAAAAGATTCAAAACTTAAGAGTGAGCCATCTTCATTAATAATATCATTAATCCGTCTAATGTTGCTGTCAAACAGTTCTTTATTATAAAAAGGCTTTCTCCCAATATGAATCATTGGATTATAAAATAAAGGCGAGTCACCAGTAACCTCAGACGTTTTCTCATGATTTTGTAATATTAACCAGGATTTGAAAACGTCTATCCAAAATTTATTTTTCAAAGTTTTCAGAAAAGTTGTGACATAATCAGTCCCACAGTTTATAAATTTCTCTAAGTTAAAATTTGGGATGAGGTGTTCCATGCCCCTATTTGTAAAAATGAGATGTCTTATCCAAAATAATTTCAAAGAAGATATAAAAGACTTAAGGTTTATCATTTTCAATCCCCCATCTTCATAGTTTTTAACAATAACTTCTTTTTTAACCCTGTGGATTGAATTATTCCATAAAAATGAGAAGAATGTTTTTTCTAATTCTTTACAGTATGATTCAGAGGGGTTTGGGATTGACATTAAAATGTGATTTAGTATAGGTAAAACTAATGTCTTAATAACTGTAATTTTCCCTATTGGAGTTAGATACCTTTTCCCCCATTGTTTAAGTACTGATTTAATCTGTACTAGCTTAGGATCATAATTTAGTTGTTGTAACTTATCCAGTTCCACATCAAAATGTATTCCTAGAAGAGTAAATCTAGTAGTTCCCCAGTTAAGATTGTAATTTGGCAGTAAAATTTCATTGCTAAACTTTTTGGAACCTATCCACACTATATGAGTTTTGGCATAATTAATGTGTAATCCAGATATTTCTGAAAAACTCTTTAGTGTTTCCAATGTTTCTGTAAGGGATTCTTTACTGCCATCAAGAATAAGAGAAGTGTCATCAGCTAATTGAGAAATCTTTTTTTCAACATTGTTCACAGTTATACCTTTAATATTTTTGTTTAATCTAATTTGGATTGCTAATATTTCTGCACATATAATGAATATATAGGGAGACAATGGGTCTCCCTGTCTGCAACCCCGCTGGATGTTAATTCTATCAGAGAGATTACCACCTTGATTTATTGCAGATGTAATGTCTGTATTAAAAAGCGATACCCAATTCCTAATTGAGGGGCCAAAGTCAAAAAATTTTAGTGCTCCTTGAATAAAATTCCATGACAAAGTATCAAAGGCTTTTTCAAAATCAATAAGTAATAACAACCCAGGTATATTTTCTTCTTCCGTATAATGCATTATATCATATATTAACCTTGTATTTTCACCTATATATCTATTAGAGATAAAACCTGTTTGATCTTGGTTGATAATTTTGTCAAGGTATCTTTTTAGTCTATTTGCAATAGTGCCAGATGCTATTTTGTAGATGGTATTTAACAAAGTGATTGGTCTCCAATTCTTTAAGTATTGTCTTGGCTTATCGCCTTTTGGTAAAAGTGTAATAATACCATGTCTTTGTGTGATAGAGAGACTCCCACTCTTATAACTGTAATTAATAGATCTAACTACAAAAGAACCAATATATCTCCAAAACATCTTAAAAAATTCAGCAGAAAAACCATCAGACCCTGGGGATTTATTAGATTTCATTCTGTAAAGTGTATCTGAGGCTTCTTCCATAGTAATTTCACCTTCAAATCTATAGATTCTGCTTCTTTACTTGAAAGCTTTGGTATTTCTTCATTATTTAATTCATTAAATAAATCAGTATTTGGGTTGACTGCACTCTTTTTATATAGTTTTTCATAAAATAATTTTGCTTCCTTTAAGATTTCTGATTGGTCATAAATAACATTACCATAATTATCCTCCAATCTAGGTATAATCTTACTAGTAAAATTTCTAGATTCTAATGTGCAAAAATAGTGTGATGGTTTTTCACCTTCCTCAACCCATTTTGCTCTACTTCTGATATAAGTGCCTTGCAATTTATGTTTTCTAATGTTCTCTAATTCTTGTTTTTTACTACAGAATTCATCAATATTATTTTCACAAACATTTTCTTCCAATAATTTAATATTTTCTATTAAATCTCTCTCCTTGTTTTCTCTTTTCTTTTTGATATATGATGCATATGAAATAGTCTTACCTCTTATTTCTAAAAGCAGAGTTTCTAAAAATAGCTGATCATTAACAGTGAAAGAAATATTTGTGTCTGGAATATTATCTATGTTGTCAAAGTTATACACTGGTATTGCGTATTGTTTCTTAACCTCTAAAATAACATTTTTAATACAATCTAGATAATTTTCGTCATGAAGTAAGGAGTTATTAAACTTCCATAACCCCCTACCTTTCTTAAAGTCATTAAAAGCTATAGATAAGGATATTATGGAGTGGTCTGATCTATAACTAGCATCTATAGTGCACTTTTCTAATCCTGACAAGAGGGTTTCAGATATTAAAAAGAAATCTAAACGGCTTTGCTTCAATGGAGTTTTCCTTCTCCATGAATATCTACGCTCATTTTCATGCAGCTGTCTGAAAGGGTCAACATAACCATTATTTTCTATTATTTCCAAAACTTTATCTCTTGCCTTTGGATTATTTATAGATTTGTAATTGTAATAGTCCAAGTTAGGATTTAAAACTAGGTTGAAATCGCCACATAAAATAATATTACTACACTGCATATCATCAATATATTTTTGTAAGTTTTCAAAGAAAAGTGGTGTGTCATTATTTGGACCATAAATATTACATATCAATACTTCATGGCCCTCTATATATGCCTTAAGTAATTCCCATCAACATCACCCTTTTCTGAAAGAGGTTTAAAATCAAAGTTACTGTTAACTAAAATTGCCACTCCCCTAGAGTTTGTGGAGTATGAGCTGAAAAAACACTGGTATCCCCACAAATTTCTTACTTCGTTTTCAACATCACATGAAAAGTGTGTATCTTGTAAACAATAAATATTATATTTTAAGGCTCTTAAATAATTAAAAACATCCTTGCGCTTTGCAATATCACCTAAACCTTGGCAGTTCACTGAAATAATTTTAACCATTTAGAATAGTTACAAGACGTTTACGAATTGATACCCATGGAAACAAACAATCGGAGCTCATTTTGAAACTTAAAAGAGAGAAAGAAAGAAGAGAGTAAGAGTACAAATATAACAATATAGATGAATTGAATTATTTCAGTAAAAAAAATCAACTGAAAGTCAAGCTGACTACCGTCATGGAGTTGTGAGTCACAGTTTGGAAGATTTAATGCAAGTTATGACCGGAAAAGCGTTTTGGTAACTATTGTCGAAGGAGGTATGGTCAGAATTTTTAATCCCGGATTTTTTTTACTTTAAAATCAATATCGTCAAGGATATCAAATTTCACGCGTTTCCCTTTCACATTCCCATACACCGATCCATTAAAGTACCAAGCTGATGATACACTTTCGTTATCTAACAGCCGTGCGATTAATTCACTGTTTTCCTTAGTAACATCGTCACCCAGTCGAACATTTCCAGGTGCTTCCTTGACCGCTGATCGATGCCGCATGATGTGTGCCTTCTGATAAAATATGATAACGGTTAAAGTGATTAACCAAAGAGTTACAATTTAAGTGCAAAAAGGTCAACTTAACTGTACCGTAGCTCAGTTAGATGCACACTGACCCCCCATTTTCTCTGCGATTTTGAATCATACTATATGAGTACTTATCCAAAATATACTTCTCAAAAAATCCTTGATATAGCAAATTTCACGAGTGACATACCTTAATTGTCACATAGAATACACATGTAAAAAAAAATATGAAAGCCTTGGGACCCATCATTCAGAAGTTATGCCAAGGTTATTGTCTTTCAAAAGTAGGTCAAACTCAAAAGTCAAGAGGTCGAAAATGCTGGTACCCAAAGAAAGATAGAGTGAACAGAAATACACATGTAAAATATGAAAGCCTTGCACCAACTGTTCAGAAGTTATGGCCAAGATTAAAGTTTTAGTGGACAACAGACAGACAGACAGACCAAAAACTATATGCCTCAGAATCTCTGATAACAGAGGAATACAAATGATGATTCTACTTAAGAATAAAAAATTGCTTCTGAATATCTCACGATAGTTGACTCAGGAACCAGAGCTTTATAAGATCCATAATTTTAGTCTATTACATCAAACCTTAAACATTTAAAGACACCCACTAGTTGTTATCAATTTATTTGAATGATAGCCACAAGAAATCAGGAAACTGTTTTTGGTCCTCCCAGATTCTGCCCCTCCCCCTTTTCCCTACCCTGTCTATTTTTTTTCTTGTCTTATACTCTATATGATAAATTCTGTTCCCTATCTCTTTCTTGTAAGTTATGCCATTTATGTCCACCAGTTATCTGTCAGTAAAGTTAATGTTTATACATATGTATCTTGTCAGTAAAGTTATTGTTTTACTTCCTGTCAGTTATTGCTGAAATCTTGTACAGAAAGTTATTTTTCCCTGTAAGTTATTATCTACTTCTTGTCTGACAGAAAAATCTGTAATATCAGACTCAGTATATCTATTGTTTACTTCTTGTCAGTAAATTATTTTTTACTTCTTCTAAGTCATTGATAACTTCTTAAATGTAAAGTTACTGTTTATTTTCTCTAAGTAAAGTTATTCTTACTTCCTGTCAGTTAAGTTGTTGTTTACTTTGTGTCAGTAATTTTCCATCAGTAAAGCCATTGTTTACACTGTCAGTTAACTTTCTGTTTACTTTTGTTGGCAGTATTTTTGTCTACTACCTCTCAGTGAATTTATTACTTAATTCCTGTCAGTATGTTAACTATTATTGTCAGTGATGTTTTACTTGTATCACAAGAGTTAATTTTAACTCTCCATCAGTTAAGTTATATCTACAAATGTACTTGTACTTAAATTACTGTCACTGATAAGTAATATCTACATATACTTGGTAAGTAATATGTAAGTAATATCTACTTACTGTCAGTGATCCCTGTCAGTCTGACAGCAGAGAAGAGTGGGGCATACATCTGACCTTCATCTTTCTCCACAAGGGCACAGTTCTTAGGTAAACTGTAAAGAAAAACAATATAAAGGGATCCTATAGCAGTACGAGGGGTGATCAAAAAGTTCGCGAACTAATTGAATTACTTCCATAAAAGAAATAAAATTAGGTTTCAGTGTTCCTTATTTTTTAAAGTAGTCCTCTCCCCTAGTCCCTTTTAATGCACATCTGAAACCGTTCTGCCCATGCGCGAATCACGTGATCCAGTTGGTCACGTGACATGTTCCGTAGCATTCTGTTCACAGAAGCTAAAAGATTTTTCCTAGTCTCATATTTCTTACCATGCAAGTTATTTTTTTAAAGCAAGAACAGTCCATTTGTCAGAAATGGCCAAATGTCGGCAATAGGATGGGTGGATAAGGATATCCTTTCCCAGAATGAGCATGGTGACCATCACAACCCAAGTCATCTGTCTTAAAAACATCGTTTATCCAGTGTGGATAAAGCATGGACGCCTTCTTTTTATCATATCTGATAAGTTTAAAATCTAAAGTAAACGATATTTTAGGGATTTAATAATTACATTATTGTTAAGATATTCAACTATTTTTCTAACTGTAACTTGGCGATCTTTCATAACAAATTGCTCTACTCAGTCTAGACGAACTCCAAAAACAGCGTGAACTCTGAAAACGAAGTCTTTGGCTCCATCATGCATTGCGGCAAAATGGCGTTCGAGGTAAACAAACGATGGATTGTCGTTCGTTTCTCCAAATATACGTCGGCATAATGGCTGTATTTAGTACATTGTTACTTCATTCTATTTTTTGTTGAATGGATAATTGCATTTATTAAATTATTTTGTGGATGTTGACTTATTTATTGCTTCAAACTCTTGCATAATAGTGAATTGGATATATACGACATCGAATTCAATACTGCCGGTAAGAAATATTTTCTTATTTAATTTATTATCTCCTTGATTTAAATTATATGTTGTTCCTAAAATAAAGGTGCTTTAATTTGTTTTTGAAGACACCCAGCTTGTATTTATTTTAATCAGAAAATGTGCATTTTCACCACGGAGCAGAGATATTAATAGGTTCATTTTTAGAAGACATGTTGTGCCCTTAATATTTAGAACAGTGGTTTTAAAGTTTTCATATTAATAGATAATAGTTTTAAAAATGTTTTCATAATAATATCTGTTTGTATGTGATAAAAAAATCGGTAAATAACAATGGTAAGAACTTATGCGTTCAATTCCGATGTCGTACACAAATAAAAAACCGGAATGTTAATTTATGTGTAAAATTCAGTCAAGTTTTTAACAGTTACAATATATATGTCCCATTTTGCATGTATATCCTTTTTATTATGCATATTTACTTCTCAAAACGTATCATTTTCTCAGTAATTGATCTGACTTGAAACATTAACTTTGAAAGTAAATATCTCCTTTTTTGCAAATAAAATAAAAAATCTGACAAATACGATCTCTTCCGAAGTCTTTTATTTAGCAATTCTGAGTACTGGCATAATTGCCATACTTTTCAAAACTTTGCACGGACAGTTTTTGTAGACCCATCATTTTTGCCGAAAAATCGCCATTTTTTGTGTGTGTGCGCATGTGCGGACTCTATTTTCGGAGTCTTTTTCAGTCTCAATTTCTTACTTCCGGAAACGCTGTTTTTGGAGTTCGTCTAGACTGCTACTAAGGACACATCTCTTCCCCTGTGTGATTTCACTGGGCAACACGTCTTCGCTAGCCAAGGGTTTCTGATATGCTACTCTCCTCATAAGCCCTTGGCATACGGTGTTAAAAAAAGTTGGGATTTTTTTCTCAAGTTGTGATTGGAGTTGATCGACATTGTTCGACCAATCAGCAATTGTTTTTTGTAAATGACGATATCTGCGTTCGGGATATATCTCGACTCTTTAATATCGGGAATGAAAAACGCAAGTAAACAATGATCCGTAAGATAACATGCCATTCTATGAATAGCTATATGGTGTCATCCAATATCTTAAGCTGCGTGCGAAATATGTGATTAAGAATCAATACTGCAGATGTAGATTTGCATTTTAACATGTTTAAATAACAAATTAACATAACTCAATACCTTCTTGTTAATTATTCTTTAAAAACATTATTTTTTAAAATACGCTTTTTATTTCTGTCGATGACGCAATCTGTGCGTACCTGGTAAGAATTGTGATCACGTGACGAAAACAATCCCGTCTTTTGTCAGCACCGTATGCCAAGGGTTTATGAGGAGAGTAGCGTATCAGAAACCCTTGGCTAGCGAAGATGTGGGCAACAGAACAAACATCATTTTTAACCATCTCCCTTCTTTCACTAAAACAATCAATCCAATTAATGATTCAACTTCGTGCAAGTTTTTTTGTCTTCATAAACCTTGTACAAATTATTATATGCTACTGTAAAGGAATTTCCAAGATATACGTTAAACTATATATACACAGCCGTTCGTTGCTTGAGTACGACTGAGTCAACCATTTTTTGTCACAAGTCATCTATATATTGAAGTCATTTTCAAATTGTGACGTCACAAACATGGAGCAAAACATTACATATGATATGCTATTTATAGAAGATGTGTATGACTATATGTATGCCAAATTTCATTCTGGTCTGAATTGTGGCTTTGTAAATATAGAGATAGTCCGCGAACTTTTTGATCACCCCTCATATTATACATAAAATACAAAGAGGACTTTTTTATAATTAGGGTTTTTTCACTTCTTCATATCTATGCATAACTACAGTCAAACCTCGTTATCTTGAACTTGATGTGGCAGAGAAAAAACTTCGAGTATTCAACATACATGTAACTTAAAGAATAAGGGGTTGGGACTTCCAATTCACTTCGACATTCTATGGTATTCAAGATATCAGTGTTTGATATACCAAAGTTCAACTGTACATATAGGTATATGCACAAAAAGTGAGAAAATTCCATAATGAAATGTATGCATGTCATTGAAAAGTGATAAAAATTATTAGTTAAATGATTTTGATATCAATATATTGCTTATGAAAATTACAGCTTTTACCAATGTTAAATTAAACTTTTACAAAGGTGATCTGATGTTGAAACAAATTTATTGAAGTAAAAAAATTGATGCAATTATAGCCTTCCGAACTTCCTTGAGCACATACAGGTACATTATAATATACTGTAGAAACATAATTTCATGAGGACAAATTTTTGTGAATTGCAAATAATTTCCTGGTTTGTGTGGACTGTTATTTATGTGGCTAACATTTCCTTTCTATCAATATTCATTGAGATTATATATAACTTCAATGGCAGCAGCAAAGTTACCCTCTATAGCCACAAAAATTTAAACCCACACAAAATACAGTCAAACCTGGATCATTATCTCAAACTCAATAGGACCAAAAAACCTCAAGATACCGAGATATCAAGGGTAAAATACGTAAAGAATAAATAGTTGGGACTTTCAAATCGCTTCAACGTATCCATAGTTAGTGTATTTGAAAATTCGATGTTCGATCAAGATACCAAAGTTCAACCGTACTAAGCTTCCACATTACACCAAGTAACATGAGTTACCTGTTATAGTAGGAGAGTACAGTGCTGTGCGAGGGCATCAGTTGTATATGGGGATTAAGTTGTAGGAACAACCAATAAGAGAGCAGCCTATATATACTGTACTCGTTGAAAGTAAACAATCTGAAAATAAAAAAAGACCAGAAAAAGTCAAATTTTTTTTTTTAATTTTGAAAAATGTATGGTTGAATTAAAGCTAAATGATGCAGAAACAATATGACCTTGAAATCAAAATCCATTCAAAATTCAGAAATTTCACTTTAACATACATGTACCGGTAATTGATTTTACAATTGAGTACCTGTTTGACTTGAGAGTTTTCTGGATAAGCTCCATTGGGACATCTCGTAGCTGGATCTGAGAGGACAACTATATAACAACCGAAAAACAAAAATAAATTTACTGATAATGTTCATGTCAACTTATATTGCAAAATTTCAATTTTTGACACTTTATAACTATAAAATATACATTCATAGGTCTCTGTCTCTGATGAATTGAATTCGAATCTTAAAATGCCAGGTATTCTATACATGTACCGTGTATACATTCTGGCATATTAGTCAATTGACTTATAATGTGGCGTATTTTACAGAGGAAGTTGCCCATGACACGCTTAAATAAATTGCCCCAATGTACATTTTTTGCCAGAATCTGTTGCTATTTCAAGTCAATATTCTAATGTATTTACCTCTGTTTCAAAGTATGTTTTGGGTCATTGTATCAATTTGATCTTTCATCGTTATATAAACAATTATACAGAGTAAACAATATAAACATCCTAACTCTTGAGAACAATAATTGTTGGAGTTGTTAAGAAAATACATTTCATATTTCAGAAAAATACTCATGTTTCTTATAAAACTCACTGTCTTATAAGTGAGTAGCACAGTTTTGGACTCAAATTTTACACTTAAAAATGTGACTTATATCCTTTGCACAACTGTAAAAATGTGTAATGACCAGATGTTAAGATCCCCCCCCCCCCCCCCCCCCCCGAGGGTTTCTTGGTCCTAGGGGAAGATATCATATTTGAAATGGATCACAAGTGGAAGTTGTATTCAGTCAATTGTTAAAATAATAAAACTCTGTCTTAATCCTGTCTAATTTAATAGATCCTCAAACATGCGACAGGCACTGGACTTTCATAAAAGCATTTTTTTCTGGATTTCTACAGCCTTTAAACTTTGGCTGGTATAGGTTCCACTTAATAGGCACACACAAAATTTGGGGTCATAAGAAAGAGAAAAGGTGACAAAAGAAAAGAAAGGAAAAAGTGGAGAAAAATTGCCTCTTAAACACATGTATGTATACTAATGCAGTAGTTCAAAGTTTTTAATTGATTTTTTTTTTCTCTAACCCCTCTGCAGAGGAACATTCTCCAAAAATCTCTGGCCATCAAAAGGAATATTATGCAAGTATATCGGTATACATTTCCCAAATTATTATTTTTTTTTTTTAGTTTTTTTCCTCATGCCCCTTCATTTATGTGACAATAGTAATTAACTGGCCAATTTCAATGAAGAATGAGATTCAGTTAAAAGTTTGACAACGTTACCTGAGGGATAAGATTCAGCTCCAGCCATCTTTCACAAGCTAACACCACCTGTTCTTGGTGATACTGAAAAGACAAGAGTTATCTTTCTTAGAATCTTTTTCTTCAGTAAAGCACACAACTTATTGGCAAATTTAGAGGGAAAAGGTGGGGGGGGGGGGGGGGGGGGCTAAAAATATATATATCAAAATTAATAAATTTATTTTTTGTTGTTGAATATTTCATTTTATGTATGTAAAATATACATAAGTCACAAAACTGTTCCACAAAACTCCTAACACCTGAGATCTTGGGGTTTCAACCCTGGGCCCCTACCCCAGACCTCCAACTAGTGCCCCTTCCTCCCTTTTCAAGAATCTCTCCACTGCACCCCAAGTTATATTTAACATAATTGTTAAAAAACAGGGCAAAACAAACTTGAAATGAGAAATAATTAATTTTAAAAAATAGTTTAAATTTAATTATTAAAAGCAATTTGAGAAATGTATTGTTGATGATCTGGTTACCTTTGAGGCAGCCAGGTGATATATACACACAGTTCTGTAATTGATGTTTTCCAGCATCATTTTACCACAGCTTGAATGGAAAAAAAGTGTTAATGACATATGCCACTTAATTTATATATATCTTATCAAATACTCTAAATCTATGTCAGTTTTCATTATCATTTTCTGCACACATGCATGCACACCTGTACAGCATGATTTTATGTCTGTATTACAATTATTCCAAAAAATTTAAATTACTGTTTAAAGAAAGGCCTTGAGGAATTTTCTGCTTTATTTAATTTATCCTTCCAACTGCTCTTCAACTGGGAAGGCAAATGTGTAACAATGTACATGTATGTGTAAATGTACAACTGTGGCTATATATACATAAAACTTACGCATCCTGAAGTGCCTTGAACCCGAGAACTGAGGCCGAGGCCAATACATTAGCAACCTCTTCAAGCTCTACTTCTAGATCATCATGGTAGAGATTGCCCAAGGCAACAGCCATTGCTGAAAAAAGGAAGTAATTTTTATGAAAGAGTTCACAATGAGTTTCAAATTTTATAGGGTACGTAAGTTAATTAGTACCTGTTCAAATCATACACCAGTCAAAACTTTAATTACTACTGTGATAGTGTTTTTATCCACACTGACCATATGCTTGATTGTGATAACTCAAATACTAGGCAGTACTAAGCTAGCTGTCTATGATTTAAATTAGATTCCAGATAAAATACACTACAGCATAAAATTAAGAAAGTCACATCAAAAATAAAATGTAACTAAAGCAGACCTGATACATGTAGTTATGTATCATTTTACATGTAACCATATAACTATATATGTAATATGAAATATTTCTCAGGCCATATACATGAAAGTATATATTTAATTTAGAACATAAATACTGAACTACTAGCATAATATTTTAAGTAAATCAACTCAAAGTTGGCCCACAAAATACATATTCTTAAAAAAAAAATTCCCAAAATAAAATCTTTTTAAAAGTTGATGAAGAACACTTTGGAGTTTGATTTTTTTACTCCTTGCAGCAAACGATCAAGAAACCAAGAAATAAAGTGTTTTGTACCTTTAAAGCCCAGGAGAATTGATCGTGGGAACATTTCATTCCCACTTCCATTTTAAGTAATTTCTTACTGATTTGATTAATTGCAGTTCTTGATGAAGTTGTTTCAACAAATCGAATAGTGGGAGAACACTTTTATCATTTGTGTGACTGTTATCTCTTTTTCTTTTTCTTTTTTCTTTTTTGTGTTTTAGACTCCTTCAAGATCCAGAATATATCAAATTCTTTGATCATATCTTTAATGGAAAAGGACATGATAAGATAAAGGCCCTTTTTGGCCCTTGCTTTTGGGTATGTCTCAGAATGATGCATTTTTAATCTGTTAATATATCCTTTTTTTCAAAATATAAGCATTGATGCTAAGTGATATAACATAAAATATTAAAATATATCACAGGGGGGTTATGAGTTTTTTGACAATTTCTGATTTTTATCACCTTTGTTCCAACATTTATCCATTTTTAGGCATAATGAAGCAAAAGGTAGCCCAACTACCAAATTTACAGTTACATGCATATATCATGTACTAATATCATATATAAAAATCACAGACAGGATTGCTTTTGATCATTCTGTGTTTTCAAAAGAGAAAAGTAATTATCAATTTTGACAAAATTTCATCAGAATCAAGGATTAGTTGGGGAAAATGTTCTAATTTATTGCACTCTTGTGGCCTCTGTGTACAACAGAATAAATGCTATAGCTGGTTTTCAAACAATCATTATACAGGATTCTTAATTACAAACTACACTGTATAACAATTTTTAAATAAACTATTCCATTTTTGTCAATTATAGCCAAATTTGGCCTTTTCCATACCTTATTCTTTATATCAAAATCTTTTCTTTTTTTTTAACAATGAATAATATATACTTTCATACTTTTTTCTGTAGTATTTCAATCTAATAGTCTAATTTAAGACAGTCACTTAAATTGTCACATTAAGTATTGATACACCAATTTACTTTGTCAATATAATTAATCACAGAATTCTCTCTTTATCAGATTACTGTATGGTTTTGTGTACTCATCTAATGATCAAATTTTCCTCGACACAATTTTCTTTTTCTATTTTATTCGTGCCCACATATGACCAATTTAATTAGCACAGAGTGTGCACAACTAATGATAGGGAAACCCACCAGTGCCAATACGATAAACTCAAAATAGAACAGTATTTTTTAGAATAGTTACTATTTTTGAATGTGAGTACACATCTACACTTTCTTTTTTTACTCGAGTACTTATCTGCAATACAGAAATAGTTGTGGTACGGTGATGAATTCTGCGAGTCGAATCCAAAAATAACTTCCAATCTCCTCAACTCCTACCATTAAAATGGCACTGATTAAAGTAAAACTACTTGGTTATGACTAAGTCACTGGGACCCATGAAATAACTTCACTTTATCTGTTATTCTTATATCCAGATAAGGAATGCATAAAATTTATATAGCTAGGGATCCAAGAAAACTGCGCTATATCCATGAATTTGCAATATCCGTGTTTGTACTAAAGAAATTTTACTGCACAATTGACGTTATTGAAGTCTTATAAAAAGCTTGATTTTTTTTCAATCCCCAAGGAAAACATCATTTTCATTCTATTGTATTTAAGAATATTAATTAAATTAACTAATCTATTTCATGAATAAAAAATAATAGGAATTTCTCCTCCTTAGCTAATTATCATACTTAAGCAATTGATTTGTGTGAATTTTATTAACAATAAAACTGATATTATTGGAGTTGACATTTCTTAAGCTACATATAACATTATGAGATGTTTAACATAGTGCTACACAACTACAGTAAAAGTTGTCTAATCTGAATTCTGTGTATTTTGAAATCTTGCCTATTATGATGAAAACTTTTTAGTCCTTTTCAGTAAAATTCAATTCTTTGAAATGTTTTCTAATCCAGAATGTTACATGTATCTAATTTTGCAAATCTCGGAAACTTTGCATGACCAGATCTAGCTAACTTCACTGAAGTGGTGTCCCAATCTAGGGAAATAGTGGTGCCAGATCTAGGGCACCAGTGGCCAGGTGCCAGATCTAGGGAACCAGTGGCCAGGTGCCAGATCTAGGGCACCAGTGGCCAGGTGCCAGATCTAGGGCACCAGTGGAGTCTGGATTAAAAAAGATTTACTATTTTATATACAGTCAAACTTATCTAATCAGGACAATACTGAAAGGGTAGGACTGAACTTGCAAAATTTTTAACATTTCATGCCTTGTATAACACCATTTTGTCCTAATTAAGTTTAAAAGAAGGTCATGACATTAACAAGTAAATTAAGGTTTCGTCACGATGTTCTAGGATTGTTTCTAGAAGCCGATGAATCATAGCCAGAAAATTCGTGATCCTAGCTTTCATCTTTCATTGATTAGTGCTTAATTAATTTACTCACCCACACTTAATGGTCCAGGTGTGTAAACTAGCTACCTGTCAATAATTGCCATAACATCTTCATTCAATATTTCAAAGAAAGATACTTTATATGGTTGTCTCTCCCATGAAATGTATTGGAGTGGCATATTATTTATTTTTTAGAATGAAAAATACAATGTACCTTAGCCTCCTATTCACTATATTACATCTCTTTATATTTTTATCACTCGATCATGTTAGTTGCAGCAACTGATCCTTAATTCCAATGTAATTTAAAATCACAATGGGCATACATGGAGTCTTTTTATGAATTATCGCTACTGAAGAAAAACTATCTCTGAACTTTGAAATGATCTATTTGATTTATCACCATGGGGATTAAGTTACATGTAAGTTTAACACACTGCTTGACTATCGACTCTTTATCAACTATTTATCACAATAAATGCTTGAGATCTTCGAGCTTTAACATTCCATACTCTTTTCACCTCTAGGTTTTATGGTATCCTCTTTATACATGCAAGAGTTACATCTAATGTTTAACTTAATATCAGATACTAATGTCTAGATGGTCAAGAAATTGACTTGAAGGTGTAACTTTGAATTTAGAATAGCTGTAATGATATCTATCAGACCTCAATATCATTAGAGGTAATTTATTTGTTAGTCAATAGAGGGTACTAGTGTACCAATTTGATGTTTGTTAAGGAAAAGGTTCTCAACATACTGAGCTGTCAATATCTTTCTATGTCCAATTTGACCTTGACCTTTAATAATGTGATTTCAAGATCAACAGGAATCATCTGCTTCTCAAGGGAACAAGTGTACCAAGTTTGATGTCTGTCAAGCAAAGGGTTCTCAAGATATTGAGTGGTCAATAATTTCTTATGTTCTGATTGACCCCTGACCTTTCAAATTGACATTATGACCTCAAAATTAATAGGGGTTATCTTAACTGCCTAGTTGGAAGCAATGTACAAGTCTGATGTCAGTCAACAAAGGGTTCTCAAGATATTGAGCAAACAAAATCTTTCTTTATCTTGAGAAGCTTGACCATTGGCCTAAATGTGACCTCAAGACCAATCATCCTGTTTTTTCCCTTATATAACTGGTACCGATAAACGGTACCATTCACAATGCCAAAACATTAATTTTTCCCAATTTTGAGTCTAAAAATTCCCAGTTCATCTGCTGAAGAACAGATTTACAATGACATCGTAATTCTTTTCATATGAAATGTATGAGTTACGTAAATGTTTCACTTCCTCTTTAATCAGTAGTAGAGATCAGTGGTAATATGGCGGGATGAGTGTTGTAGACAGCGTAGTCATGCTAGTGTCTTACATTTTCGGTAACTTGAAAGCATGACAATGTGAGAACAAGGGACATTAATATGTAAAATAATGAATACTTGTTGATTATTCTTTCAAGCATGGATTTATAAGTAATGAGGTTAGAATAAACTCGAAATAAATTTCATTTGTTGACATGACAAAAAAATTCCCCTTGTTCTACGTACACTATTTTTCCCAAATGGATCAGTACTGGATGCATTCCCAATGGGTAGAAAAAAATAAGGGTCATCTGATCATTTGGGGGAACTAGTGTACCAAGTTTGATGTCTGTCATCAAGATACTGATTGGTCAGTATCTTAATATGTCCAGTTTGACCTTTGACTCTGTGACCTCAAAATCAATAGGGGTCATCTTCTAAAGGGGAACCAGTGTATCAAGGTTGATGTCAGTCAAGCAAAGGGAATTGAAGATATTGAGTGGACAATACCTTACCAAGTCCAGTTTGACCCTGACCTTTAACCTTGACCTCAAAATCAGTAGGGATTTACTCCTTAGGAGGAACCAGTGTACCAAGTTTGATGTCTGTCAAGCAAAGGGTTCTCAAGATATTAAATGGTCAATATCTTAATATGTCCAGTTTGACCTTTGACTTTGTGACCTCAAAATAAACTGGGGTCATCTACCTCTTGAGGGGAACCAGTGTATTAAGATTGATGTCAGTCAAGCAAAGGGTTCTCAAGATACTGAGCAACAATATCTTTCTATTTCTTGTGTAGTTTGAATTTTGATCTCAAATGAAATAGGGGTCACCCATTCCTTAGGGGGGGACCAGTGTATCAAATTTGATCTCAGTCAAATGAAATATTCTCAGGATAAGGGGACAACACTAGGTCTACAAATGCAATATGCCCCCTTTTCAGGAGGGGGTGGGGGGTTGGGGTTAAAAAAAAAATTAACAGAGATATGTTGGATTTGTCTGCTAACAAATTCTTAGCTAAAAATGTGGACAGAGGGAGAGAGAGAAAATATTTATAACAGATTATTTTTTCATTCTCATATTTAAACAAATAAGGAAAATGTAAATAGAATACAAAAGACAGTTTATGATTTTAATGAGAATCATTTCTTAAACTTCAATTTATCTGGTACATTAAAGAAATTAAGGCCTTTAAATGGTAAAAAATAGAGAGAGGTAATTGATTTTCTTTCTTCATCTTAACCTGCTGAACTTAGAATGCACTTCACGATATTGATTTGCAGAGTACCACACATCTTCCTGGGAGATCCTATAGATTAATTCATTCATCTTCACGTTGTTTCCCAACCCTCCATTCATTGGACTGTCATTTACTACAAAGATCGCGTTAATAATACATGACCAAAGCGTGTGTATTTTATAGTACATTTCTGCAGCATCTGCAAATGTTAAAAAACGTGCCCTGAAAGTATTTCTTTGTGTTTTGTATTGATGAATGATTAAATAAAGTCTTAATCTCCATTGCATGCACTAACAACATCAGTGAATATGCTTTAATGAGGGAAAAAATTCATGCCACTACGGGAAAACCTTGAGCTTGAGGGCTCCAACACTACTGGTATATTGATTACCAATTTTCAGTTTTCATTCAGAAAAGCAGAAAATTGCTCGGAAGAAGCAGCTGCGTAACCTTGAAAAGTGTCATTAGATAGTCAATGTTTTTCTGGTAGAAAAGCTTATTAGAGTTGTTTTATATCTTGGGATGGAAATCGTCAAGAAAAAAAACCCCTTTATCTTGATGAAAGAAAATGGTCACATCCTTTCCATTTAAGAAAATTGCTATCACATGACAAGATGCTTGGGAGGGAAACAATATAATGCTAATTATAGATCTCATCTCAGAAATTTTACATAACAAAACGCAAGCCTGATCCTGACTTGTCATACAAAGATACAGTCATTTACAAAGGATTACAGACCAAGACTCCATTAATCAGAGGGGATTATGGGTAAAATGATATGACAAAGATACTGAAATTACATATATAGGCTTACCCTAAAGCAGTCTGATTGGGGAAAAAAATTGCAATATCAATAATGTTCCATTTGCCTATATTCCCTTGATCAATTGTAGTACTTTGTCTTAATATTTGATACTATACTGTTATAATGACACTGATTTCATTCTTTGTGCTGCAATGAGCTGTCTCCATGGTTGTAGATGACTAAGATTGCAAATATCAATATAAAAAAAAAAACTGAGGAGATTAACAAGTCATCAAAGGGAGTGGTTGACAAGCTGTCTTAAAAGCAAATATTTGTATTTTCTCATGTTTTTTTGTCTTTCAGGTGACTTTATTAGGTCTCTCATTACGGAACATAAAATCTTGCTTTTGTTTCATGCTTTTAATCCTATTTCTATCTGAAAGATCCCTGTAGTTTTGTCCACAATCTCATGCATTGTTTTGCCTTAAAAATCCATATTTCATTAGGGATTACGAATCCACCAAACTACTTTTTAATGAACTTAATTATAATTCAATATTTTCTTTTATCTCACAAGACGTGAAGTTTTTAATTTCATACTTTTCGAAATCACCACTTTTCCTAAGCAGAAAAAAATTCACTTGCATGCCAAGAATTTTTTTCCATGGATATATGCATGGTTATGGATCCTTTACATCATTTCAATTACATGTATTTGGAAATTTTATACATTTATGCATGTCCCATAATTAAGACTCAATATCATCCCAGCAATTAAGCTACACAGCTATAGATTACTTACAATTACAAGATTTAAGGCTTAAAATGGCTTATCATTTGCATCATCTTAAACAAAATGGTTTGAAGAATGTATCACTACATTTGGAGACACAGAACTTAATCTGGCTTTATGTAGTTGTAGATCATGAAGCAAGTCTGGTCGTGTTGCATCCCAAGACTAATCGTTCATTCAAGTTTGGTCTAGGTAGGTTCATGGTTACATAAGAAAGGAACTCTTCCAAAAACTCTAACCCTGCTCACTAATCCAGGAAATACAGGTCAGATGCAGCATCCAAAGCAAGTCTTCATAGTGTGTTTCCCCAGGTTTCTGTATAGGGCTTATAGTTACTTGAGAATGGACCTGCTCCAAAAAATAAGGTTATACACAGCTTGAAGATATAGGCCAGTTGCAGCATCAAAAGCAAGTTTGGTAGTACATCCCTATATGCATCATTCAAGTTTGGTCAAGGAAGGCTAAAAGTTACTTACAATATAATTGGACATGTTTCAAAACTCTTACCAGGTTAGTACTTATTTTGAACATATAGGTCAGATGCAGCATTGGACTGAAGTGCTTCATCCATGCCTGTTTGGTCTAAGTAGGGCTTATGTGGAAATTGGCCTGCTCCAAAATCACTTAATCAGATGAAACATCCAAAGCAAGTTTGGTAGTGTACACCCCTATATGCATCAACCAAGCAAGTTTGATCTAGGATGACTTACTTGGGGACATAGACCTACTTCTAAGACTTAACCTAAACTTTTTCCAGGTGAGCTAAAATAGCAATTACTCAACCAATCATAAGTATCAATTTTGAGAATTGGCATCCTAAATGCAAGGATAGTCTACACTAAAGGTATTTCTTCTTCTTCCTCATCATATCATATTTGTTGATCATTTTTTTAGTTTCATGAAGCAGTAGTCTTCCTTCTAAATAGTTCAATGAAATAAAGTGTGGTTTATCTCAAGAATTTTCTATTTTTTAAAACGAGATTTAGGAATACCATTTGTTTAAAACATCACATTATTGTAACACATTATCTTTACCATGAAAATTTATTGAGATTATGCTTGTGTCTAATTTTTTTTTTAGAAAAATGTTTTATCATGTTTTGCCAATAAAATAAACCCAATAAAATAAAAGAACTGGAAACATAACATAAAAAAATTCCAAATGAATTACAAACAAAATTCTTTTATGAGTAAAACATTCCTTCATTCCGGCTTGCTCAGCACTGACTTCCTGCATATTACAGGTAGCCACAAAGCCCCTTAGGAAATCTGTGGAAGTCTATATACATCCACCTGTCTTTTAGCCCAGATAAATAAAACCCCAGTCATAAAATAGTAAAATGTCTTAACACCAGATAAACCTGGCCTGTAACCTGATAGCTGGTAACATTTGGTTACCACAGAACACTAGCTTTCCAGTGTGTTGGTAACAATGGTAACCTATGGTTACTGCTTATACTTCATACATGAATCTTGCAACATTTGGTTATGCCTAGGTACTGGGCTGAGAACATTTGGTTACTGGTGCTACTGTTTATTTGGTAGCAGGTATTATTTGGTTACTTGATGCTACTTTTTAGCTGGTAGCTGGTAACAATAAATTTTGGTTATTACTGGTAATGCTACTGTTTACTTTGTAGTTGGTTACCTGCTTACCTGATAACTGGTAATATTTGGCAGTCTGATGCTAATGTTTATCTGTTGGTAACATTGGTTACTTGAGGATACTGTTTACCTGGTACATATATCTGGTAACTTTGGTTGCCTGGGTTACTGCCTTACCTGTCTTAGTTATAAGGGGGATCCTTGTTTACCTGGTACATATATATATATCTGGTAACTTTGGTTACCTCAGGTTACTGCCTTACCTGTATTAGTTATATGGGGGTCGTTGTTACCTGGTACATGTTTCTGGTAACTTTGGTTTCCTGCCTTACCTGTCTTAGTTATAAAGGGGTCGTTGTTACCTGGTACATGTATCTGGTAACTTTGGTTGCCTGGGTTACTGCCTTACCTGTCTTAGTGATAAGGGGGGGGGGGGTCCTTGTTTACCTGGTACATGTATCTGGTAACTTTTGGTTGCCTGGGTTACTGCCCTTACCTGTCTTAGTTATAAGGGGGTCCTTGCAATCCAGTTTTATAATGGTGACATTGTTGACTCGTTTCTCAGAAACATGGGCCGGATGATTCACTCCTTTAACTTCATCCTCCTCTGGATCTTCCACCAGACTCAACCTATAATCATTCCAGAATTTAAAGTTTGTAAAATTTATTTTGTATAAAATTAGTTTCCAGCTTGATCTTAATCAAACTGAATAAAAATCCTCCTTGGAACACATCAAGACATTTCACATATTGTACATCAAATAAGATATTATAATAGCTTTATTTATTTATTATCGAAATGCTTTTATTTGTTTTGCAACCATTAATTGATGTGTTTAAATTGGGAATTTTTCCGTGAAATTTTAGCCTTTTATTAGCCATTTTATTTAGCCACAGCTGTATCACAACTGAAGTATAAATTAAGCCACATTTTACAAATCTATAACTGCATGGAAAAAAAAACTTCAAAGCACAACAAAGAAAATGAAACTATCAGTCATTATACATCTTTTCTACCAATTTTTTTTAAATTAGCATTTTATAATACATTTACAAGTCTTTTTTTTAATTGTAGTAACAGCATAGAAGTGGTTTTCAGGTATATTATCTTTACTTATTTTCACTAATTTTACACTTTTACAGTTTTCTTAGCAGACACTGTTTAAGAATTCTACATCTTACTGGGACTACTGTAAAATCCTTGCTGCTTATGGTCTTTCTGTAACTTTCAAGCCTTTCATGTTCTAATTTCGAATTTCCTTACATACAAATACACTATAAATATAGTAATTACTATTAACCACCTATCTACTGCTGAGTTATTAAACAAGAAACTTACTTTTAATTACATGCATGTACAGTCATTTCTGTAAACTGTCAATATCTTTCTACTTCTATTACAGAAAGAAATTGAAAACAATGTTGTATTTCCCAGCTTTCTGCCCCTTTTTTAAGCACTAAGCGCTTTCTGGCATCTTAATTCTACTTCCGTTCGCGATCCAGCGCCACTAAGCAAGTTAGATAACTCCACTGGGTTTTCTAAAAATATGCAACTGGAAATCCCCGACGCTCTTTCGGCTATTTTAGTGTAATACTGCGTTACGTGCAGTTCTAATAATAGGAGTCAATTAGTAAGGTAAAGAGTATGCATGTACATTGTACGAAAATCCACTGTTAGTAGACAGGGGCGGTTCTTATCTCTATACATTGTAGTTCATTTAAAATCATGTCGGCTCATACCACTTGTGTACCATGTAGCTAACAATTGCTGCATCTATGGCGCAGATACCTTAGAAACGGTTAATTATATGTCATGTACATATAATGTAGTGATTGAATAAGTACATATTTTTAAAACTGAGATGGGATTTTAATAAGTATTTAAAACTCAAACTGGAATTAAGTTATTTAGTAGAAAATTTCGCATAAAATTGATTTACAATGTACCTACATATGTACGTTCTATATAATTTATATCAATATTAACTAATATTTCTTCTTCTACACCCTTATTTCAGACAATGAAACTAAAAACAATCTTCCTATTATCACCCTTGCACCATGTAGAGAGCTACCAATAAAGTTGATTTTCGCATCTCAGTGTCAATATTAGTAACAGACTGGAATGCATTCATGAACTGTCTTTAGTTGTGTTGTATTCTATACTTGTAATAGGGGTAAAAAAATATGATGTAAATAATTCGCAATGAAAGGCAGTTTGTGGCTGTACGTACACGTAGGGAACGTGGAGGCTGTGTTTTCAACGAATCCACTTAGATAGGAAAACTAATTTCTCGGAAATATTGATGACAAATATTGTGCTTTAAAATTGTGTGTGCAGTGCGAAAGATCTGGCGGAAAATGCTAAAACCTTAATTAAACGTTCTTAGCAATGGACAGGAATAGCGCTGATGAAATGTTAAGCATACTTGTGTTAGGAACTTAGGAAGAAATAGTTTAGGTAAAGGTGTGCGTGTGTTGCTGATTTGTCTGCTAAGCGACTTAATTAGGACTAAGTAAAAACAGAATAAAACAATGTTGCATACCTTCATAAAGACTTATTCATACTTGAGATTAATATAATGTCTTTCTTTCTTGGGCTGTTGAATTATTTATCATGGAATTAGCAGAAAAATTACGGGTCAATTATTTTCAGTACTAGTATTCCTTTTTAACACACCACGTGCTGTGGATATTTTTTCCCTCTCAACATGTTTTGCATGGTAGTTAATTTCATACATAAACAAGTAAAGATTGGTGTAAAGTATCAAATATCCGTAAAAAAAAAAAATACTGAAGCATTTTAAGTATTTCAACAAGAGTCCAAAAATTACTTTTGGGGTTTTAATGACATATTTTTATTCCGAAGAAGAAAAGTATAAAAATTTTATTTTAAAAAAGTTAAATTTACAAATTTACTTATATTGTAGATCAACAGAAAAGACTAATTTTTTGATGCAAATACATTATAAATCATGTACATGTATATGAAAATCAGATGTAAAGGATAGCTTTGAATGTGTTATCATCAAACGAAGAAGACAAATATAATATCCTTAATTATAATCAAAATGTATATTTACCAATTATCTCTGACAAAATGACGTAAAATCTACGGGTGCTCATTTAATAGATTTTTTTCACATGATGATGCTGATATGCTGCACAGCACGATGAATGTGAAGTGTAAAAAATGTATAATGCACAGCTGTAGCATATTCAAAACAAAATGATATATATAGTCTAAGTTTTATTTATAAATAATAAATACCGGATGCTCGTAGCGATTGTGTAAATATCTTACACACTCCATTAATGTATTTCTTGTAAAATCCTTTCAATAGATTCGTAAATTTAAAAATCGCTCATGAATATGAAAAAAAAAGAGATATACTAAAAAACAATTAAGTGAGAATACTAGTATTCGATAGTTTTTAGATCTTTAATTCATAACTTTAATAAAATATGTTATCAATAAGGAAATATTTTATCGACGCAATAAAAAATAACATTTTTATTTTTTAGGAGCACTTTCTAAAATTAATTCACAATCACAAACAGCCATCTTCAATTTGAAACGCTCGTGAACACGGAATGAATTATTAAAAATTATCACCAGAACATTTTAGCTATCAGTGTTGCACATTAATGAGAGGAATATCAGCGACATTTTCAAATGTTCAAAATTATTTAAAAATATACATTTTCCAGCAAACGTGTAACTACATTTATAGTCTAAATTTGGTTGGAAAACTCGTCGACCCCCCAACCCCCTTCCTCCAATGAATTGCGATTTATACGCAAACCTACCTCTTATAGACTCCTTTAAGGTGATGGAGAATGAAAATATTTTTACATGTTCTTTTTTTTGCTTCTTTCTTTTTTTTTTATTAGGTTTGAGAAATACATTACTGTTTGGACTAAATATCTGTTATTTAATTTTTATATATTGTTGGGTTTTTTTTTAAAGAAACGGAGAATCTCTAACCTTCAAATATTTCCCCGTCTGGTTTGAAAAGGCGGATATAAGTTTTATTTTAAATTAAGTGAATATGTATTGAAGAACTGTGCTCGCCCCAGCGCAGTTGCACTGTCAACATAATACTTCTTCCAATACAACAGGCAATTTAAATTCAAAATAATTCTGATGAATTTCAAACATTGCTTAGCGCTTCCCAGTACTTTCAGTACTTTGATTAAGTTATAGTAACATTTAATGACAGTAACTCTTCTAAATTAGAACCAACCCCATTTTGACATTCCAATAAAGGCTTCCTGTAAACAGTTTACCTGTTACTCATTTCCTTGTAATCATTGCTGTAAAACTTGTTTTTCTTTATGTACGTGTCCAGTGTTTCAGAAGCAGGACTTCTGTAATATTTCTGGAATCTAGGATCATCTGCTTCCTTTAGTAGGCTGGCTAGGACTTCTGCCTTCTGTAGGAAGGGCCTATGAAGTTCCCAGTCCATGTTTAGGCACTTTAATATCACATCTAAATTAAACAGATTTAGAATTAAAGCAACTATGATTGTATATTAAACATCAGTTGATATACTGTGAATTTACTTTCCTTATTGTGTGCCACACATTTTTTTTTTTAGTAAATAGAAGAATTCCAGATGACTCTAGCAGAAAATGAGGCAAAAATTCAATTTTGAGTTTTTAAAATATATATTTTTATCTTAGATTTGGAGAAAAAAAAACTGATATACACTCATGTATCAAAGACTATTAAAATTGATCAAAAAAAAAAAAAAAAAAGAAACTTAAGAAAGAAGATCAAATTTACATTAGGCCATTCCAAGTTTTTTCTCTGTTTAGTGTCCATCCAACTTTCAAAAACCTACCTACCTATTCGCAAAAAACACACAAGCAAAAAATAAAACACAGACATTATAGCAGCGTTTTTCCCCTTATATAACTGGTACCGATAAACGGTACCATTCCCAATGCCAAAACATGTTAATTTTTCCCAATTTTGAGACTTAAAATTCCCAATTCAACTGCCAAGCAACAGACTATGATGACATTGTATTTCTTTTTATATGAAACATTGTACAAGTGGACTAATTGTTTCACTTCCGCTAAAATTGAAAGTAGAGAGTCAAATATGGCAGGACATGTGGTATAGATAGCGTAGTGTCATGCATTTTTGACAAATTGAAAGCATGAAAATGCGAAAACAAGGGACATTGATATGAAAAATAATAAATACTTGTTGTTTATTCTTTAAATCACAGAGTAATAAGTAATGAGGTTGGAATAAACGCAAAATACGTTTCATTTGTTTGAATGACAGAAAATTCTCTTTTGTTCTACTTCGATGCTATTTTTCCCAATTGAACCGGTACCGGACCCTTTCCCAATGGGTAGAAAAAAATCGCTGTATAGTCTTTAAAATTACGTCATTCAAAGCATTTCATTTTATTATTCTATTTTTCATGTACCAAAATCTATTCTTTAGCAAAGTCAAGATATTAAATGCTTAAAATATACCTAATATGACATATTGTAAACAAATATTTAGAGATATTAACAGAAGTGAAAGATTTTGACCAGATCGAATAATCTATTTCATGACTCCTGATTTTGTTTGTTTTTTCTCATATGGGGTGTCAAAAACCAAGCTGCATGTGGATGCTTATAAACATAGAAAAAAATTGGAATGGCCTTAATAAGAACGTAAAACACATTTTTTTGACTGACAGTTAAAAAACACACTTTTTAATGAATTATTTTGATCATGTATCCATATGTATAAAACACACTGAATTATATTGCTTGAGTTTATTAATTGTTTTGTGGTTGATTTCTCATCCAGACATTTCTTCACTTTATATGTAAATTAATCTATAAAATATTAATATGATCACTTTCAAAGAGTACACTCACATAATTAAAACATGAAATGAGAGCCATACATCAAATATACAATGTACATGTCAATGCTATTACAGAGTTGTGAATATCAGATACTTTTAATGTACACTTTCTTACAATCAATTAAAACTGCAATAAATCATTAATATAGCCTCTCACCATGCAGTATTGTATTAACATAAGCTCAATAAATGATTCCTTTTAAAACTGCACACCCGGCAAAATTTCCGTTGTTACACAACCCAGAATACAAGTTCAATACCAGTTAATATTGGTGTCGTATTTACCTTAACCATTTTACAAACATTACTTTTACACTAAACTATGTGTCACACCTTTGTTTTTAATAATGCTCACTTGAAAGCTTACATAAATTTTTGTGTAAGAACTGTAATAAAAAATTGCTTTGGGGGGGAGTGGGTTACTTTTCAATTATATTGTTCAATTAAAATGGAAAGAAACAAGAGGCCCATGGTCCACATCGCTCACCTGAGCACACTGGCTAAGAAGAAGCAGAAATCAGTTCAGTATATTGAAAAGATTTAAACGGGGGGGGGGGGGGGGGGGGGGGGGAACTTAAATTTACACTACCTCAGGATGCTTCTTTATCAGTATTACTAATCATGGCTTTGCTGTCCTTAAACAGAAGAATTTTAAAGATTTTTTTCATATGTAAAACTCTGATTGGTAATTGTGGCCCCACACTATCCATCCTAAATTTGAACAAATTTGAATCTACACTACCTGTGGATGCTCCTATAATAATATGACTAATCATGGCTTTGCTGTTCTTGAGCAGCAAATTTTTTCAAGATGATTTCTATATATTCTTATGCAAAACTTTGATCCTCTGTTGTGCCCCAACCACTGGGGGTCATGATCTGAACAAACTTGATTCTACAATACCTAAGGTTGCTTCTGTATATATATGACTAATAATGGCTTAGTTGTTCTTGAGAAGAAGTTTCAAAGATATTTCCTATGTAACGTGTATGATCAGGTTCTTACAAGGGATATATAGGTTTTCCTTTTACTCTGCCTGAGTTAATTCTTTTTTTACCTTCAAGTATAACCTTGGCCTTAACCTCTGTTGGAAAGGAAAATTTATTATGAAGCCTCTTCCTCAAACAGTTGACTTTTCAATAGTCAAATACTGAATAAGAAATGACTAAATTTAAAAATTGTTGATCAATATTTAATACAAAATACATAAATACCTATACTATAAAGTCATATAAATTAATATAATTATTACCTACAGTAGACAAAGTGATGTTCTAAATTATTTATTACAGTGTCTCTATGCAATAAAAATATATGAAGAAGTAGCTTAATTCTTTTTTCTAAAAACAACATACAGTTGAACTTCAGGATCTCAAACACCGTTATCTCGAATACCAAGGGATACGTTGATGTGAATTTCAAGTCCCAACCACTTTTTCTTCATGTTTATTAACCTCCTATCTCACATTCTCAGATCAAAGTTTTTTCTTGATTCCCTAAAGTTCAAGATAATGAGGTTTGACTGTATCAATTTCCAACAAAATTTATGCTGGGCACTTTCAGGTGAGCATATGTGAATTTGAATTCTTTCAATGCTTTAAATAAATAAACCAAACCAAAATACCCCCTTTTTTTTAGCTGTCATCAAAATTCCATAATTTTTGATGAACAGAGTTAATTCAAATTAACAAAACTATCCATGCTTTGAAATAAAGTAATGAACAAACCATATTGGGATAATGGTCCCACAAACCCTACAACAGCATATAATTAGGAATATTAAAATATAATGATTTATCTTCATAAACAGTACTTTTAATAATTAAATAGGGCCTAGTACCATGAAGGATTAAAAAATGACAATACATTTCAGAAATGTTTAATCACATGCAATCAAAAGGATAAATAATAAATAAAATATGACAAGTACCTTGCAAGTAACAAAGTATTAAGTAAGCATGAAATGATCATAGCGAATATATGAAATCATGATTTAAATTATCAGTGTAAAATGAGAATATCTAATTTTTCTTTCCATTAAATTTTCAAAATAAATATTCAACGTTTAATTTCCAACAAATTCAATTAAAGGAATGGAAATGAGCAAAGTATTAATTTATGAGTTAAGTTGATTGTCAGAAGATGAAAGGAAGAAATGGAATTCCTCTGTGTCGAATGACATATGAATATAGAGCACTATATGACATACAACAGATTAAAACACACCTATTTAACTCCACCAAGTCTCATATGAGAAAACAAACTGGCAACCAAACTACTATAACCACATGAAACTACATGATGGGAATTATAGAAAAAAAAATAGGATTAAAAAAATACTATACTAAAGCTATAATTTAAATTATACTTTGATGAGTATGAAAACTAAAAAAAAACTAGGTATAAGTTAATAAACTTGATACATTATATGGGATTTGGATGTGTTAATTTGCTATGTTAACTATCGTAGTATGCAATATATGTGTTACATCTGTATAAATATTTCATATATATTCTTTTTAGAAGGTATAATATCATTCATGTTCAACTATATCATGATAAATAAATCAGCTTCAGTAAACATTTCAATTTAATTCATACAATTCATACTGCAACTATATCATCCTGAAATTATGTTAACTGTGTAATAAGAATTGAAAACCAAATTGGTCATTTTTTTTTTTTTTTTTTTTTTTAAGTTTTGAAATGTTTTCTTACTACTGATACAGAGTAGATAATTATACCGTAACTTTTAATAAAACATTGAAAAGCATGTTGTCATGGTTACTGGCAATTTCTACTGGACTTACCAAATTCAGGAACTTTTTGACCTACATATACATTTAAGTGTGAATTATGATGAAAGAAATAGTCTGAATGCAATTTGTTCACAAAAGAATAAAATTTTGCTTCTAGCTTTCATAAATTGTGCCGATAGATGCAGATTTTAACCTGTCTGATCCCACTCCTTTATCAAACTGCTAGAATTCCCAAAGAAACACTGCAAACATGAATTCTAACACTTATGACGATGGAGGATACATGTTAATTTATCACACAGTTTATATTGGATTTATCAGGTCACAATTCACAGCTTTAGGTTAGTTATGTATATTATTTTATATATATGTCTTCCTCATTGTGTGGGCCTACACTCTTTTTCTGAAAGTAATAAAAACGAAATGAGCCAATCAAGACAAGCCCTCGGTTCGGTTAAATTTTTTTTAGATATGCAAATGATTATTCAAGCACGATCAAACCATATGAAATGAAATATGGTAAAATATTATGAAAACAAAAATATTCTGGTGATGATTGCTTTAACAATTTTACCAAGTAACTACCTACTTTGAACAAGAATTGGAACAATTAATGTATACATGCAATTTTCAGCAGTCTAATTTAAATTTGTTATACATGTATTATCTCTTAAATCTGTGAGTGAGCAGTGGCGTAGCTTCCATTGAAGCACAGAAGCACATGCTTCCACACTGTTCGGTGGGGGGAAATGAATTCATAAAAAGTTGAAATGTTTCGAATAAAAATTTTAAAATAATCTTCGAAGAAAATACTAAATTGTAGGAAAATCGTGCAATATTTAATGTTTTTAATTTATCAATTTATATTAATTCATGAATATAATTTATAAATTAATAGGAAGAGCTGCTGCTGTCGTTCGTAAGATTTTTTTCCTCGCTGAAAATGCATTTCTGACAATATCAATATCTTTTGAATTATAACTACCAAAAGTATTTAGAAAAAATTCTGAAAAACAATTAAAATTTAATGGCTGATAATGTTATAAATCTTTTTAAAATTTATGGATAATATGCATTAGCGACTTTAAAATTGTCCATTGTCAATTGTCTGAAATGCACCAGTTTCCAGGGGCTTCGCACCCTAAGTCCCACCAGGTACTATCCTGGCCTTATGCTGGCCCCCAAACCTTATGCTTCCACATTGATCCACCCCAAGCTACACCACTGGTGAGGACCCAATATTTAATTCAATTCTTAAGCTTACCATAAATACCATCTGATGTCAAGCAAAGAAAAATCTCTGCCACTTCAAATTCATTTATTACATATATTACGTGTATGTATATGAATGATAGTTCATCTGTTTTCAAACTTAAAATCATTCCCAACTAAAATTCTTATATCGACATGGTGTTTGCAATATGTCAAATATCTTTTTTTTCTGCGCAAAATACGTCAATGTTAAGAAACATAAACCAATGGCTAATTGCCTGTCCTTTCCAATCGCATTAATATAAAAAAAAATCATGAATTACAACATGCGAGTATATTGAGCCAGTTAATCACTGGCCGGCAAGGATTGCCTTAAAATCCCCCGATCAATATTTCATGACCAGGTGTGGCTCTCAATTACCTGTTCTTCGGTGGCTAAACAGATGTGTAACAGTATTTAGATATTAATTATAGCAGCAACAGACTCGAAGCTTATACTGATAACATGCAATAATGAAGTCTCGTATCTCATTCAAGCTAGCTTAATAAGAATAGCTTTAAAAATAGAAATTTCATTCCAAATTTTTCTTTAATTGTTTATAGGAAATTCAATTTTCACTTTATCATTCATGACTCCAAAAGCAAAACTTTAAAAATATTTTATATGTATGTAAAGTAATATTCTGGTTGATAAATTAATTCTTGAAACTGGGAAGGGAAAAAAATAATGACTTGGAAATAAAAAAAACTAATCCCACATTATGAATTTTTAAAAGATATATGTATGTGACATGTCAAGGCTACAGGATTATTGTAAATAAAGCTATTTCATCATACTGTTTCCCCTAAACTACAAAACCAAAAAGAAATTAAAAAACTCTGATGTATCAATAATGTAGATTGTAATTTCCCCAGTGCACTATAGTTATACAAATGTATTATTATCAAAGAGGTATGAATGGTAGAGTTCCAATCTCAAGGACAATTCATAATTAAAATTAATGGATATGAACTCAATGAACCTGGTGAAAAAAAAATAAAAATAATTTAAGTGGGATGGAGGGGTTTTTTTTAAGAAAAAAGTCAATACCTGGTCCAAACTGACTCTGGCTTTTCTTGGAGTGGTAGAGAAATATGTCCTTTGGTGTGGCTGGTCTAGCAATTGATGGTACATACTTTTTGATTGGTCCAAGAGGAGTAGGTATTCTAAAATTATAACATTTTTAAAACACATTGTGAATAAATAACTGTTAATTTATCTCACTTTAAGTTGAATTCCTTAAAAGAAAATTTTAATGCATCAGAATAAATATCATAAATTTAATGGGCATCATGTAAACCACAATCAAACAAAATCAATTTAAGGTCAGATGACACAATCAAGAAATCCATATTTGCCTGGAAACTTCAGTGCTTTCATAAAGATTATAGAAACAGCTGGTACTTTTGTGAAAATAGTTGGTACCTTGCGGAAGGAATTTTAATTCAATATGTTTGCATATGGAATTTATCTCCATAAAATATTTTGGCCAGTACAGGTACCAGTAGATTTTGAAAGGCCTGAATCTTGTTTGAAAAAGCATATATTCAATTATGTCCTTATGTGGGATATTTTGAGTTTGGACAGAATAAAAGTGATTTCCTATAGGATTATATAGGAAATACCACCTATTGAATCTTGCACAAATGCCTTGTAATGTACCTAAATGTTTTGTGTAAGGAAACTTGCTAAAGTAGCAGAACTACTGTAAATGAGGAAATTTATGTGTGTTTTTATATTACGCGAATTAGAAGCAAGAACAGGGGTGGGGGTGTTATTTCCCTGCTACCAATATACTGATTAAAATATGTATAGAGGCATTGGTTTGCTGGGGGATATTTACATCGAAGCTTTCTTATCAAATATTTGCATAATATTTACATCTAATGAAGATTTTTGTCTTTTCTTTTTCTTATGGAAAATCACTTCTTTTATGAATCAGTAAATGCCAGTTATAGTGTTGAATAATTTATAGGAAACATTCCCTCCGAGGGCCGAACCAGTTTTTTCAAGCCACCTATATAGTGTGCTTTTCCCCTTAAAGAAAAAAAAAAAAACAAATTGACTTTTGTATCAATAATGCCATATTAAACGTACTTTAACCTATTTTTACATGATTATTTGTACAGACATAAATATAAGCAATGAAATGTCTTTCTTTCTCCTTTAGTATGGAAATTAACAGTAACTGTTGCAGTCATTGCAGACAAAAAATTACATAACGCATGTAAGTATTTACGGTACTGTAATTCAATCACAAATTCTTTGGGAAAATTTATATCTGATTGAAGAATATGCCATACAACCTTAAAAAGATCTATTTTAATATGTGTTTTTTACTTTCTGAACTTCACTGATGGGGCAGAGGTTGGAACAGCTAAGGTATCCACAGACAGCCTCTGCTGACTCAGTTTTCTTTCGGGCTCTGTGATTGGACGATCCTCAATCTGACGGAAAGTGTATGGTTTACTTACATCAAGGTTCATATTTAGAACAGGGCTTTCAGCTGTTAAGAAATGTCAGATAAATTACCGTTACGATTATGATCAGACATAACATGGTACATATATCAATTTTACAGGTAAAAAAAATCCATGAAATTTGAATATTTACATGAACATAATGTAAAAATTTTGCATGCACATTGACAAACATGTGATGTTCTTGGTTTAAAATGTAGCCCAGAAATATGACACACTGCTTGCATGCTTTATCTGCTAGATCAAAAACTAGCTATAATTTTTAGTTTTCCTTAAAATAATTTTCACTTTATGCATGTAGCTCTCATTTTGAATGTTTTCCATCTTGGTTCTTCGACAGAGTTAGTTTTGTGATTTGGTTTCTTCGAAGACTTCAGAATGTGACAAAATGACACTTTAATGCAAGAAGATATATTTAAGGCTTTTTTGGAGACACTAACCAGTAATGATATTGACCAGACTGTTATTATAGCTCATCTGGACTGCTTTTATAGCCTGGGAACTTCCCAACAGGTCACTCCCAAGGGATTCTGGGAGTCGCCATCTGTTTGTACTTCCCACGTTTTTCCTCATTCGACATCGTGGAGTCACTGGGTGCTAGAAAAAAATGAAAGATTTTGTTTTATATATATATATATATATATATATTTCATGGAAATATTTGCTGCTATCAAGTGATACCAATGCTTGTAACAGATTATTTACTTTTCATTCCAGTAAAAGTGTGACCTGCTATTATATAATATAGCCTTAACGAGGTTCGCTCCTGAGCTTTTGAGCAGATTCTTATCTTAACCTATATTTCAAAAATTCTGCATAATGTTTTAATTCTTACAATAAATTTGGATTCTACAATGCCAATTTAACTATATTCAGTTAAAACTCCATGATTAAATTCCATACCAAAAGCATTAAGTGAGGAACTATATTTTGTGGCGGAAGGTTTTTTAGAAGAAAATGATCATTTTTTCTCTTTCGAAGAATTAAAAGTATGTCAAGTTTGGATTCCTATTTTTACATGTAGTCTGCACACATAGTTCTTTTGTGCAGTGGACTGTTTTATACTGGTCCTAAATTATCTATTAAAAAAACTGCCATGAATTCTATCATCATATTTGATAAATATAGCAAATATATTGTGGAAATGAAGAAAAAAAATAGCCCTAATTTAAGCTTAAAATTAGCACTATTTTAGTAATATCTAAAAATTAACATCACAGACCCCCACTTTTGATTTTCTTTTCTGAATATATACGATACTTTTAATCATTCTTCTTAAATTCAGTAAAATGTCATTACTTTCAAATGATTTTTTTTGCTTGTTAAATTTTAATACCAGAAAAATGAAATTGTTTGAGTGCAAAAAGGTCAAATAATTGAACATGCGGAGTAATTCAAAAATTTCTTCGTTGTTACAAATTTTAATGTGTCTATTTAAGATGAAATAAGACTGTGTTTGTTCACCATAATTTATTTGAACAAAAAATATTGAAGGAAAAACTTTAAAAATTGATTTATGTGTAAGACGTATTTACAGTACAAAAAGGTCAAACTAAATGCTCTGTAGCGCCAAAAGAAGCGCATTGACCCCCATTTTTTGTTTTGATTTTTAATAAAGCTATGTGTATAAATTCTAAAAATATACTTGATAAAATATTCTCATTACTTTTGATGGCAGGATCCAACCTCCTTAAGTTTTTTTTTCTTTGTCTTTTTATCAATGTTCCTCTTTTGTTTAACTATTTATATAGTACTACATATGCAAAGAGCTTATGACAAAAACCATCATAGAATTATAATGTGTGGATTTTGTCTCAAACAAATGCACCAAAGTTTGCACAAAAAGAATAATGGTTTGTAGATAATACAACTGCTTGCATCGCAGGGCTCGACATTAACTTGTTTTCCTACTTGTCCATTCGGACAAGTGACCAAGACATTTACTTGTCCGAACTTCAACTTCACTTGTCCGAAAATTTTTCAATAAAGATCTAATACTGTTAACTGAAAAACTAAAAATAAAGTCCATTACATGTGCATGATGTTATTTATAAATACAACAAACACATAAAACAAAATTTTATCTAGACTTCCTGTCCTGACAACATAAATGCTGTCAACATAAAACAGAGTACAAACTTTGTCAGTTCCATGCCTTTCCAGTAGTATGCAATTAGTGAACTTCGATCCCGATCGAGTGTACTCAATTACATAGCAATCTATATTGGGATCGAAGTTCCGTTTTTATGTACTGTTTCCGTCTTAAAGTACCTGTAAACTTTCAACAGTCGTTCTTTTAAATATTTAGAGACTTATTTACATAAAAATGCACTTGTCCAATCGGACAAGTGCCCAGCAATATTCACTTGTCCGCATTTTTTTTTCACTGGTACCGGACAAGCGGACAAGTGTTAATGTCGAGCCCTGCATCGATGTAATAATTTTATTCATTTATTAATATACTACATTATGAATAATGGTTTAATGAACTAATCCCACATTAAACTTATGAAAAGGCCTTTGTACAAATGTGAATATTGATTCAAAAGATTGCTTGAGTATACCACTTTCTTAAAAGATCAATGTAGCAGTTTCATTTGTAAATAAATTAACTAAGTTCGTTATTTCAAAAGAGAGTGATTACTGCATGGCTGCATTAGACAAGTAGCTATACTGAATTGAGTGAAATTGTAGTTTAAAAACTACTGGATGGTGGCCCAAGTCAACATAACCCTCTACATGTGATGGCAGATGGCAACAGTGAACTAGACCAACTTTGCCAACAACTGAATGTATATTTTAATTAGCAAAATGAAATTAATTTTAAGAACAGCATAACTTATCAGCATTCTTAAATGTCCAGTTTTTCAATTTTTGCCCATCTTATTGGGAAACATTATACTTCTTTCAATTCATCACTCATGTAACTGGCAGATACTCTTTCATCAGGCAGTCATGAGAAATTAGCATGCCAAAGCTTTATTCATCACAGACAAAGCTCATTCAGCTTAGAAATGTGAAAATACGGCTCTTCTTGGAGTAACCGATTCTGTCCACGAATAAGAAATCGGTCTTCTTCATAAGCCATCCAGAGCATGGAAGCTTAGGTGATAGAATTTCTGTTCTGACGTAGAGAAACAATGTAGGACACATCCAACATAATGACGCACTTTTCGTCATAATGCATTAAAATGATGCCTTGGGATTTTGGATCACTCCTTAAACATATATATCAGAGATGTCATGGTGACAATATCTTAATATAGAGGGACAGAGGAATAGGCAAATGAAATGTATATCCACTTGCCTAATTAGCACAAAAAAAATTCCCAACTTAGCATCTTCAGTATAGTCTGCAAATAATAAAAAGCAAGGGGAGTGTAAATTTTAACCACTAGAAAGCATATTATTGGAAATGAAAATGGGGGGGGGGGGATGCAAAAACAGTGTGTATCTTGGAGATCCATAGATTTCTTCCCTATAAATAATGTATATGTTCTAATCTGTTCAATACAAATTTTCTGATAAACTATGGATCTTACTTTGAACAATCCCATTCCTAGGACTTATTGTGGCTTATAACGAGCTATACCACTTCTTGAAATCTTTTTGAATTCACTTTCTTATAAAACTGCTGAAATTTGGACTGGGATTATATTTTGCCTGACTCCTCAATCTCTGCTTACAACCTAACAACTGTCAGAAAAGATTCAACAAGCCCAACAAAGTATTATTCAAATATCCATTACAAACATTTACATCTTCTCATATTATAATGCTTCTATTTTAATAAGCATTTTGAGAGTATTGCACAAGCCATGCTAGTCCCCTACCAGCAAATGTAATCTGGTTCCCCTAAAAATGAAAAAAGGCAGCAATTCCATCAGAATCATCCAAATCAAGCAGAACCAAATGCAAACTTGATCGGTAACTCATCAAGGATAGACTTGCATACCAAAAATCAGGCTCAGCTCAATATCTTCAAGCGTTTAGGGAATTGAAATATGTGGAGAAAGTGAGGAAACCCATGTGGAACAGACAGACAGATGAGGAAGAAACCTATAAAGTCCCCTTTGGTTCCACTTGTAGGGGATTAATTAAGCAGATTTAGCACATACATGTATTATATACAGTCAAACCTTGTTATCTTGAATTCCATGGGAACAAGAAAAAACTTTGAGATATTGAAGGATTTGAGATATCGAGGTTAAAATATATAAAGGAAAGGTGGTTGGGTCTTCCAACTCTTTGACATATCTATGGTATTCAAAGTTTGAGATATCTATGCTATTCAAAGTTTGAGATACTGAAGTTCAACTGTGTGATATTTTGTCAGACTGAGGTAACATTTCCAATCTACAATGGAATATTGCTTTAATTATCAATGTCATTAATGCAAAAATTCTTCATTTTCAGAATTCCCAATATGGCTTGCATTGGTCTCCACAAAATTAATTAATCATGTACCACTATTATATATATATATATTAAACCTGTTACACGAACCTAATATAAATAACAGGAAATATATATTAATTAAATAGTGCTAAAATGTGCCAGATGTATAACATATGGAAAAAAAGTGTCAAAACTTGTTTTTTTAAGCATCTGCATGCAGTCATTATAAATTGTAAAGCCCTTTGTAAAATGACTGGATACCCCGAGATCAATATTAAACTAACAATTTACTCTGAGAGAACTGATCAGCACTTTATTTTAAGATCTGACGGAGATCTGTTAAAAATCAATACCCTATAAGAGCTTAATATTTACTCTGGTCTTAAATAATACTTATACGTTCTTGTGTGTTGCTGGTTTGCCCAACACATTTAAAATTTAATCCTCTCAAACCAGGTATTGTGCTTCGAAAGTTTGTTTTTTCATGAAGTAAAACATTACGGTTAAATCGATTAAAGCTCAATTGGGCATTGCCCATTTCTAAACAACTAAAAAGATATCAGTACATGTATATTTCAATATATAAAAGCCTAGTAAAAACTATTATCGGATACTTATTAAAGTTAAATAAAGGTCTGGGACAGAACTTGCAAAGAAAGGTTTTAACATATGGCCATGCAAATTTAAAAAAAAAAATCTCTTCTTTTAATGTGTGTTTAAAGGGTAATATGGATTATTTGAAAAGAAAAAAAAAAAATATATATATATATATATATATATATATATATACTTAAAAAGACTGTATTACTGTAAAAAATATAAAGATCCTTTTGATAACCATTGAAAATAGGCTCTAATTCCCCTTCTGATTTTACATTTATTTCGTTCAATTTCAAATCTTTACTTACCTAAATCTACATGATAATTATTCTTAACTTTTTTTTTTTCTATGATACACATTCATGTTGCTAAAAGTGTTAAAACCATGGCCATTTCATACTAGGCTTTCAAAAATGTTTAGCAAGATGACCTTTCATTTTATTTTTTGGCATTTGTAATCTAAATCTGTGATGTAAATCAAGAAAAAAAAACAAAACAAAAGGTGTTCCCAATTAACTTTGTTTGGGGAACATAATAATTATCAACAAACAATACAATTTGAATTCTTTGTCTTTCAAATTCAAATAAACATTAATTAAAAATTATAAAACATATTGAGACATTTTTTACAATTTACATGATTAAAAATAAAATTTTAGCAAAATAAATAATAAACAATTTTAAATTAACGTTGGTAAAGCATTTTTTAAGTGCATATATCTAAAAATAATACATTAATTAAAGATTTATACAAGTCTCTCTCTCAGTAATGAAAGTAATTCCAATGGGAAATGATAAAAATATTCATTAATTATTCTTTATATATAAAACAAATGAACATATAATATCAAGGAAGGGTCTAGGAGAACCAATCCTCCTATAATCTAGTTGGATTACAGAAAACTGAACGAAAGGGGGAAAAGTCATAAAGGAATGACAAAAGGTGCTAATTAGACTCTTCAGTGAAAATATAATCCAATATCTCGCATCATACAATTTCTATGTCCAAAAAAAAAAAAAAAATCAATATATATTTTTTTTTCTGCACTTGTTTACAGTTAATGAGTGTACTATTTTGCAGTTAATGAGTGTAATATTTTTGTTGACAACTGGGATGGTATTCCGATCAATCAACATTACATTGAAACTTCAGAAGAATAAAAAATATGACAACAATCTCTGTTTAATCCCTATGACAAAAGTGATTTGGTGCGGCCATTAAAAGGGTGATTGAAGTCAACTCCCTTTAATTGAGAGAGAAAACTTACAATATTACGCACTATAATGGAATGATAAATAGGGAAATTTTTTCTCCATTCATGATTTTTTTCTCTCAGGTTTTTCTGACAGGGTAGCGTAATTGCTTCATTGTTTATGTAGTGTTTTGGAATAATAAAATGATGTATTTAGAGGGGGTGGTTGTAAAATTTTTGCACTTTTGACAAACTGCGTAATTTATATTTCAGAGGTTGAGACGCAGAAAAATCTTCTTGATAATATAAGGTTGGTCACGTTGGTGTTGTAGATCGGTAATCAGGGATTTTAACAGTGCACGCATATAAAAGATTTTTTTCTCATCAACTTATCAAATCACTTTATCATAAATCTACAATTTCATTTTTCTTTGTTTTGGCTAGGAGGTGTCATCTTAATATCCATAATAGTGATAATACAAATGTATTACTTAAGGATTCATTAAATCTTCAGAATTTCTTAATTGTTTAATTTATAAAATATGAAATATCTGACCAAATCTATCAACAGACATCACACATTTCACAATGTAGAGAATTCAACAGCTTAAGCTATTAATATAACATAAGACTAAACAGTTGACTTTTTATATTCAATGACTTAGCTAAATAGCTATAAACACTACAGGAAATTGGTGTAAACTTCAGCCATATAAAGTTAAGGGAGTAATTAATGAACTGCAGAGAGATTGAGGATGACACAAAAGTAGGGCATGTAGGAAATGAAAAATAAATGTGGACACATGTTAATTTATACTGACAGGTATAATATAAAAGTAAAGATAAACATATATAATTATAGGGATATCTAATTCTGTGAAAATGAGACCTGCTTTTTCAGCAGAACTCAACATTCACTAGAAAATGCTTGAATGAGGATTGGAATGCTGACTTTCTACGTGTACATGGAACAAGGAACTTAAAATGACCCCCATCCCCACCCCACCCCACCAAAAAATACAAAGATGTGACAATCTAATGGCCATATAACACAGGTATATTATGAAGATTTATGTACCATGTGTACACTTAAATAATAGCTTCACTTACACGCTCTGGAATTCTAGCATCCACAACCACTCCTGTCAGTGCAGAAAATGGCGCCTCTTGAACAGACCTACAAAATTTGAAGAATTATTTTTTTTCAATTAAAAACTTTTTTCTGGCTAATTAGCAACAAAATTAACAATAAAAAAACAGAAGATAAAATATTCATTTACTTAGGCCAAAATATATGATAATGTTTAAGGTTTCCAGTTAAAAAATAAAGAGGGTTTGTAAATAGATTTTTTAATCAATGTATTTATATAGGGTACTGTATACTTTTATACAGATCTACAACTAATCTCTCGTTAACGTTTTAATGCATGTAAATATTGTTTAATGATTTCTTGAGGAAATTCGAAATGAATAGTTCGACTCACGTGCGTTCTTTAATATTTCCTAAAACACACAAAAATATCTGTAATAAAATACCTGCAATATGATATAGTTGCCTTTGGTGCACTGGGGGGAATTGATGGAAAGTAGGACTGCGCCGATTCTGTCATTCTCAGCTGATTTTTATCTTGGAAGTCTTGAAATTTGTATGCCACTCTTTTAAGTCAGTCTTATATACAAATAGTTCACTAGACAAGTCATGCAAACCAGTAAATCATGATATTACCATATGATTACATCCAAATGCAACATTAGATTGTTTCTATTCCCTACAGCACGGAAAAGGCGCGCTTATTCCCCCTCAAATTTCCACAAATGTTACTATGGACGCTCTGTGACGTCACAACCGGTATAAACAATAGCACGTGTTCTTTCCCTTTAAATAGTCTGCGCAATGATTTTTTTAATGAATGTCTTCTCGATCTACATAATTGAATATTTGCATTTCCCATGATGGAATACAATACATTCTTCAGTTGTTCTTGCGATGCTCTTAACATTGTATAGAAACTTTAAAATTGATTTTTGACCTAATTTGAATATCCAGCGTACAGATAATGTGTCGTCTTCTCCGCCTATCAAAAATAAAACACAAAATTTAGGAAGAATAAATATAACACCTGCAAGGAAGGAACTGTATAAATGTACGGTCTTTTTATCAAATGCTACAGTGATTGCATCACTGACAGTGACAGATGCCACCAAAGTCAACGTCCGCACCAAGTGCGTAGGTGTTTGGAGAGGCCATGAAGAAATCGGACAAGGAAAAATTCGATCTGTGTTTCTAGGGCGATGAAAGAGATTATAAAGCTCCAAAACCGTTGTCAATCATTGCGGGGGATTCTTCGACATCGACAGATATAGCATTCATAAATCCTCCGCTCAACTCTTCTTCTCCTTAGCTTTGATGGCATACAATTACAATTCGCGTGATAATAAAAAAAATGGTCTATAGATTAGCATCAGTCAGACAGTATAGAGGTTTGACTTGTTTAAAACACTTAGTCCATGCAGACAAATTGGTATTAAGCCAAATAGGTTAACAAAAATTAATTACTATTAATGTTTTTTGTTATTTGTACAATTTGTGCATGTGTTATTCAAAAGTTTTGATAGTGTTGATGAATGAAAAGAATATTTGGGCCTCTATTAAATGAATACGCGTAAATGAAATGATAATAAGTTGTTTTTTTTATTATGAATTTATATGAAATACGTTCTTGCAATTTTGTATGGGAAGTGACACTGCATGACCTATATATTTATATCCACTTGAATTTGTTCTTCTATTACATGCCAAAATATTTAAAACATCGACTCAGGAGCCCTTGTATAGCATCCAATTTCTCTTAAATATAGACTTCTATGAACCAATTTGCTAAGGTTATTCAACCCTCTTGTTTTGGCAGGGGGGTTAGTTTTTTTTCTCATCTTCTCTTACAATTTTTATTAATTGTTTACAGAGCCAATGGAGGAAAGCATTGATAAACTTCCCCTCAAAATCACAAACACTTAATTTACAAACACTTCATTGTTCACACGCTTTGAAAAAGAAAACAAGAGGATCATTCAACTTTTTTTTCTAATCTGAAATTACAACATTCCAACATTGTAGTATGACTCATCACTGAAAGAAAAAAAATTTCCCGACATTCGATCCACTTGACTGCACTGTTGTTATATAGCAAGTCAATTATTATACAAAAAAGTACTAAATTCATATAGTGACTATCAGAAGAAACTTAGGTCTCCTGATGGACCGGATAGATGTGTTTTAGGGGTTCAGAAACCAGTGTTTACTATGTACCAATCTTGTAGATGATAAAAAAGATAAATAAGGTATCAAAGGAAATCTCCCTGTAAAAATGTAATATAACACAAATTGATTTTTTAATGATCATATATAAAACAGTATACATATTATATGTTTCTGTCTGTGTATAATTGCGTGTATATTCATCTTAAAATTCCGTGTACTTTTTTTCTTGCTCCTTATTTTATTCATTAGAGAGAGACAGAGATTTACAGTAATAATGTAGATTGTCTTGGAAATTCGAACACTTTGTAACTCGATCTAAAAATCTTTTCTGTTGCTAGTCTTCTTCATTGATCTAATTCTGCAGAAATATATAACTTCGTTCAATATTCTATATGTACCGTCTTTATATTAACATCTGTTTTTTTTTTTCAAGCCATGACCTTAAGTTCCGTTGGTACTACAATTTCATTAATTTCTCTGTAAGGCCATGCCCCCCCCCCTTGTCAGGAAGGGTGTATGACATTTTAGCGGATTTTCTAAAGATGCGTATGTACATTAGCTAGTGAACATTTTAGTGGAAGAAGAATTGGGTACCTGTAAAATTTCAAAGGATATTTTAGCGTAATTTCTTCAGAGACAATTCTTCTTAAAACAATCAATGTAAAGTCAGCAAATAAAAGAAATAAATACATAAGAATTAAAAAAAAATTAAATAAAATTCATAAAAAAAAAAAGATCAATAGTCACTTTTAAAACTTCTAATTTCATGAAAATTTCCTCCAACACTAGTTATTTCGTTCGGATTCACTTTTTAATTGCGTTTATTTAACAACTTAAAACTGCCTAATCTTATTTTCTTGGTATCATGTAGTATTGAGCAGGGGCACAGTCTATAGTTACCTTGTAACAAGGCCAAATAACAATTTACTCTCGTCGGCACGCGATTGTGAGCAGCTTTGTTTTTATTTGGATTCTCCTAGAAAAAAAATCAATAGCCCGCCCACAACGATTTGTAGTCGACATACTGCAGACAGAATCCCTGGCCTCTATACTATAGAAGAGAGAGAGAGAGAAAAATCCCTGGATACACGGAGAGAAAGAAGAAAAGATATAGACCCACATAGATTACGAGAGAGCGAGAAAGAGATGCATGTACAATGTAGATCCAAAGAAATAGAGAAAGTGAGAGAGAGAGACGTTCATTGATTCCTGACTTCTATAAAGAGAGAGAGAGAGAGGGAGAGCGAAAGAGAGAGATGTGGGCGTCCTCTAGCTTAAGATACACTACACGTGTCTACAGTTCTCAATTCACATTCTTACAACACGAGATGAACAGGATGTTTGGAAGGAAGAGCACTTTCTACATTTCCGCTGCATAAATATTTTTGTCTTTTTCTCAATTGCTTTTTACGCCTCGAATAGCAGAAAATAACCATCTGAAGATGGAACAGTATGAAATTACATTTAAGTACGAAAAACATACGGAGTCACTTTGACTCGAAGTTACAGGCCACATTGTTGATCTTCATCAGTAATACGAATGTGTAGTTTCTACTTATTGTAAACTTAAACAATATTAAGGTTATATAGCTTAGTTTTGTTCAACTAGCTTTTCAGAAAAAAAAATAAATACTCAGCACCGGAAAAGTAAAAGTGTCTTCGACCCCCCCCCTCTCTCTCTCCGATTCTCTTTTTCTTTCTCTTTGCCTCTCAAATTTTTGATGGCAAAGTACTTAACGCATAGAAAATGTAAGTGACCACGCAAAACAATTTAACTTCTTAAGTTGTATGAAAGCCAACAGTCTCCGATTATAAACGGTACAATAATTGTCCGGAAAAATGTGAAGTACTGTATACGTATATAAAACAGAGTAGCTATCCTCTTCTTCTCCATTGACTTGTTAAGAAGAACATTTCTTCTACGTTGTGGTTATGTTTTAAAATAGAATGCAGTGTGACTCACAAGAAGGATAATATACTACATTAATTGTCACTTTCATATTGCTAGAATGCGTGGGAGGAAAAAATTGTTTCAGTAAACCTATATCTAGTGAAACAAGGTTTCGTTCAATTATTTTTTTTTATTAATGTATTTCATAACAAAGTCTGTTTTATCACAGTTGTATTTCAAGAGACAATTTTTGGTATACATATATAAGTACTGTACAAAAATTCATATTTACAGTAACAATATATTTATGAACTAATTATACTTAAATGTAACATAAAACATGCACATAAAAAGAAAATCATATCGCTGTAAACATAATCATGTGTAGTGCATATATGTAATGGAGAAAAATTCGATTGTCTGAAGACAAAGAATAAAACACTCGATCTCTCGCAAATTTCGCTTTCTAGAGTCTGTCATGCCTTCGTCTCTGTCGCACACTACTTTTCGACAAAAGTTGACTGTCGTTTGCTGTAACGCAAACATTGACATGCAAACGCAAAATTTTGCCATCAATGCAAATCTTCAACAAGAAGGTTTACCGATGAATACCAATTAGACCTGAGTCTATAGAAATAACCTGTCCAGAAACTGATCGTATCACCACTTGGGGAGGTGTAAACATTTCCTAGAACTCCTGGCTCAATCTCTCAGGTAAATGCCACCATGGGGCTGGAAAGAGCTGTTGGCGATGAAAATGGCGTGGTAAATGGCGAAGAAACACTCGTATCCATAGAGCTACAAAAACTGGAAGATACAGAGAAAAATCGACATGGGGGCGAGCTGGGCGGCGTAAGAGGGGACATACGGCGATTCTTTTCCGCCAGTTCTTTTTCAAATTCCAATAATTGGTGCATAAAACCTGCATTTGGTGAAATCTCGCTCCGACGGGATTTGACGAATTCAAAAGCTGCATCCAATGATATGTTTCTGCTGTACATGACGTAAGCAATACAGATTGTAGCCGATCGACTGACTCCCGCATGACAATGGACCAAAGTTCTCCCGCCCGCACCTTTCACTTCATCTACAAATAAAAAACAGAAATTGTTATTGGCAAATGCAATCATCAAAAGCTTTGTTTTTTACAGTCCATCTGCGTTTGTTTGATGACGTGTCAGCTGATACACTATTTTTCTTATTATTGCTTTCAATTCTTTCATTACTGTCAACAGAATTTCTGATTTCATCTAGGTTTATAATTATTATACAGGATGCATTTTGATTTAGGATGGTCAAAACAAAAATAGACAGATTGGAGCTGTGTGCTTTATTTGCGAAACAAAATAGTTTATATTGCGCTTATTTGGAGCACAACACAGAAGAATATTTAGTATGACATTTCTAAACTAATCGAGTGCCAGATTCATTCTCATGTTTTCATTGAGCGATTAACCGTCCTTATGATGCCATTAAAGATAATCATTTAAACATCGAGTTATCTTGTTCATGGCCTCAATTAAACTGTTCGACTATTTGTTTATAACGATGTTACATTTCTGAAGAAAAAAACATGTGATTTCACTGAGAAACTTTTTTTCCGATGTAGACTTTTAACAATGGTATAATTTTAAACAAGCTATTTGGGGGGGTGGGGGTGGGGGTGGGGGTGGAGTTTACGTTGACAAACAATAAACAATTTGCCTTCATGCATCATTTATAGAACAGTGAAATACAGAAATATATGTCTGCTTGATATATATGTATATACATCGTATATTACTGTGACAAATCAATAAATATTTTGTTTATATCAAAATATGCATCATATTATAGGATATCGAAATGTAAATGTATACATTATATATATATAATTATATTTATATCACAATGACTAAGTCAAATATAAATATTTTTAAATTGACATTTGAAATGTATCATGAAATTTTAAATGTTAATGTATATTGCTTGATTTCTCATACCTACACGTACATGAATGTCGAGAGACAGGTTGTCAGGTTATATAGCCAATTAAAAACTATTATGTATAAATAAAATTCACCCACCAATGAAGGAATTGGTGTCTGTAAACCATTCGGAGAGTTCTGTGCTGTGGTTGTCGTCGACAGGAATGTTTTTGTAGACAAAATGTTTTGTAAAATGGTTTTTACACGTGGAAGAAACGTTCAATATAGCGGTGATTCCAAGTCGCTGGAGCTCCGGCATGCTGGCGGCGGAAAGGGCGTTCCCGATATACAGGTGGGGGAAAATCTCCACCGGGTCCGTCTGTGGAAATATAAAGATCAAACAATGAATAAGAAAAGAGTTTTTGTGTGGCTTCAAGTGAACTGAAATAACAGACAAAGCATTATTAGTTAAGGGTGTGTCAATAACTTTGATCAATTTAACGTGAATGCATACTTTAATTAATTCAAAATAAACAAATCATATTGTATTGTTAATAAATAAATAAATGTGAAATCCTATGATTTTTTTGTTCTTTTTTTTTTTTTTTTTTTTTTTTTTTTTTTTTTTTTTTTTGCTTTTGGATAATAAAAAGTCCAACATAATTCCCCTAAACCTTTGTACTCATTTGTAATAAAATGCTCTTACGTAGAATCAAATTTACGTGATAAAAAAAATCCAATTGATTTCTTTTGAAATTTAAAATGAGTGAATGATTATCGTTAGACCTTTTGAAATGTTACATCCGCAAACTATGTAAAGAATGGGGTCAATGAAATAAACTCTCCTGTCATAGGAGTTATGATGTTCAATTATATGGTTTTCGAATGAATGAATGAATGAATGACGAAAAAGAAAACGAGTCCTTTCTTAAATCAATCATTTGGTGAAATCTTTTCCTTTTTTTAAGTTTTGTTTTTTATGCTTATGTTTATTTTTAATTTCTTTTAATACATACCAGGGTGGAATTGGTTCTGAAAAGTGCGTGCCTCTGAGATTTTTCCTGGGCGGTGGGTTCTGGCGGGTAATTGTTTATCGAGGTATCATCAGCAGACGTACAAAGCAGGGGGAATCTTTGCTCAAATTGGGCAAATCCGCCTGCAACAAAACAGAGACGTAATCACACGGCTGTACAGCTCTGCTCATCAAAATTAAGTGATTCCACTCTGAACAAATTTAATCCTGGCATCCGCAACCCTCAAAAAGATACACGTGCTCTCTCTCTCTCCCTCTCTCTTAGAAGAAGCACAATTATACTAATTCCAGTTGTTAAATGGGTTATAATGAAATTCAATCTTCTTTCATATTAACCCCCTCCTTTAAAGTTTCTTTTCTATAAATCCAATTTCAACCTGACTAGTATTGCAATCATTATTTAGATATGTTTGAAGATCATAAAGTCATGTATTTCACTAAAAATATGTTGTTGTTTTCTTTAATTTACGGAAGTATGATCATGTTTATATTTTGGTTCTAGAGTTTAATTGCGACGTTTATTTTTATTTTTTTCATGAACAAGACGTAATTTTAAATCTGACATTTCAATAAGGAAATACAGAAAAAATTTTAGAGATAAGAGATATCGGTATATTGAGCCGTAAATTTCAGTTCCATCCGCATTTATGATCAACTTCCGAGATTAATGGGGAAAATTTTCCTCTTCGTGTTTGGATAAATGATAAAGCGAAATAAAAGGAAGGGCTAGAGGCGCAATAATCTGTTTATTGAACTCTGCAGAGAAAAACAATGTAGATATACAGTGACTATAACTGCTGCATTTACGTTAACTTTAGTAAAGGTATTTCAAGAGGTATTGAAGTTGTCATATTGTTTTCCGGCACGTATCGTTAAATTTGGTACCAACTCTCTCTCTCTCTCTCTCTCTCTCTCTCTCAACCATATTCATTAATGCTTCACAAATATCTTTGCTGGAAAAATCTAATTAATCGACTTAGTATTTCCGGGATGCGTAAATTTGCACCTTGCTTCGTAGCTTCAGGGGGTGTGTTGAACACGCTTTGTATTTTGTTTTATCTTTGTAAACGCCTTTGCCGTATTACATCGAAACCTTAATTTCCTCCCTCCAATGATCTTACTGCCCCATAACCTCCCAGCTGTTTCCAACAATTAATTTTTTCCGATAATTGAATCAATTTCCGGTATTTGTAACCCCTAGCTACGTCCGGTGAAAATTCAATAATTTGTGGCAATTTCCCTGGCCCTTCATGCAGAGAGCATAAATGGTCTATAAATTTGAAAGGTAGTAAGCAGTTAATGGGAAATCCAATCATGCAAAAAAATAGTAATAACAATTGTATTTTTTCTTTTGCATGTATCAACTTTACTAAGAAATTGGTGTATTTTTACATTACATTTAAAATTTGATATACATGTAATAATTAAAATACACAATCCGTCGTATATAGGGAGAAAAATTTATACGTCGTTAATTACTTTGAGTTTATTTTCAACCATTGTTGGAAAAATTTATGTTGAAAGTTTATTCTGCCCATCTATACACTGTACTTTAATTGTTTTACACGTCCTTGTCGTATTAACACGCCTTTGTGGTTTCAGGATCCCAGGAGAAACCACATGTAGGAAGTTGTGAACAGATAAGTAATCTTTTTACTTATATACACGTGATATTTTACATATACGGGCGTAATTAATTTTATCAATAACGGGATAGGTCAGGTCCAATCTAAACACACAACAGAAAAATTGGCCAGGGGTCAAAGAATTTAATCTGGCCATTTAAGGTATAACTTGTACACCGTATAATACAAACAACCATAAACATTACTCCTAAATGTTACACGGATCAATCAAAATCAAAACGTAAACGCTTTAAAAATTCCAAAAATGAACATTCAGGAATAAGGAAAAAAGAAAAGAAAATGAAAATTTTTAGTTTATAAATATTTTTGGAAAAACGAATCACGTTTGTTTTAACATATTAATTAATTATATATATATACATATACATGTACACGTATATATATAAATGCATAAGTGACACAGCGATTTCCTTCCGTATAAAACAACAATCGAAATATGCGTGTGTCATTGGTGAGAGTCATTATAGAATTGTTTTCTATTTATAAATAATAAAGTATTCTTTTGTTGTCTATTTTTTTTCTTCCTAAATCTATCAATCAAAATCTATATCTATTATATATTTAGAAACGGGACTATTCATTTCTAAAATTAGTTTTGTCGGAAATTTGTGAATATTTTTTCTCATTTTTATATTCTTTTGTAATAATACATGTACGTATACATGTAGCTTATAAGAAACGTGACCTTAAAATCTTAAAATAGTGTTTACTCGGCCAATAAAATGTCACGCAAATATAATGAAATAAGTAAAACTAAACCCCGCTTTAATAAATAACTATTAATCACAATCGTGTATTAGGTGTACAATTTTCTACAATGTAGCTGCATGGAACATTTAAAAATTCGTAAAAAAATTTCTACAAATAATTATGAATGAATAACCTAAACAAATGCTCTAATAAGGGTTGAAAAAATCTATTAGATGTGTACCTTGTGTTAAATAAATGAGAAATAATTATATGTTCTGAAATGAACATAAATTATTTCTGACAAGCTAGGGCAAAGCAACACTATCTATATAACAACAATGCAGACACACGGTTGTAACTGTATCACGATACGCCTACGTAAATTTCTTCATATTAAAAACAAAAAATGTGAATAGTTTTATTTTAAATATATAAAATACCTTTGCAAACTAGAAAACAGTTGTATATATTGAACAGAAACTCAATTTATCTTAACCAATTAAATTGATAATTAAATAGAAAATACCTTTCAAAAGCTGACATATTCCCCCAAATCCCAGCTGTTGTATGGAATGCCAGACGATGTTAACATTGCTGTCTGAGTGAAGAACCTCATCTTCATTTTCTCCATAAATAACGATATGTGAATAACTGCCAGACGTCAGTCTATGCCTGGTTTCGCTATCTAACATTTTCTCTAGATGAAGTTTTCCTCCATTTGCAAATCTTCTTTTTGATATGGGAGGGCAATACATGTTCTTAGCACCAACAATATGGCCATCATTGTAGGAAATATACGGTCTTGAGTCAAGGATAAGAAGACGCAAAGATTTGTTGAATTTGTTTTCGACGAACATCTGCTGAAAGTCACTAAAAGATAGAGTTTCCATTGCACCGTTTGTGGTTTCTGATAAAATAGTGCGTACTATTGAGCATTCCATTCATAAATGATAGTAAAACTTGACTTGCGCAGTAATATATTTATCTGCTTCAATCTCCTTCTTAACCAATCAAATTCGTTGAGGTCAATGATAGGTTGATATAAGAATACGCGGTCAAGATATATTCCCAATTAGATATCGTCAATGTTTGAATTTTTGAAAATAGACCGATTTTAAAGGGAAACATTCAACACAGCACTGTATTGAAAACCGCTTTTAATCTTATTTTTTGGTAAGAAATCATATATTGCAGGGATAGAGCCTGAGAACGCAATCATTTAAGCCACGCCCTCTAACCATATATGGATAATTATCAAACCGCAAACGGAGCGGAAGTAAACAATTGACATGCGATCCCACATTTCATTCATTCTCACCCCATTCATAGCGGAAGGAACGGAAATCAATAAATAAGCCATTGTTTAGCGACGTGTGAGAAAATTCCCAGCTGCAGTGGCCGCATCACTGATGAATAGCGATCCTGGGGATTTCTATGAATGACCCGATAGCAACCGAGAAATGTCACGAATATTACAGGGATGAATGAACGGTCACATTCAGATACAATAACTATTTACTATTGGTGTCATGAATTATCAGATAGTCAATAATGGGGTGCATTAAACCTCTTATTTTTACCTTCATAGTTCTTTCGTCCCTTTTCTGTCCTTATTCTTTATAAAGGAGATGGGTGAACAAGGCGTACAGAATGCCTATTGCTTCAGATAGATTTTGTAATATTTGCAACACAGGAGAGATTAAAGATGAATTTCATTTTCTATTCAGCTGCCAAAAATACAATAATCCTAGGTTAACTTTTGAAAGGAATTTGTTGATTTTTTTTCAAGGGAAAATATCAAATATGTCTTATACTAATTTAAAAGTTAAGCTCTGCTTTAAAAGCCAATTCCCTGAAATAACTGAAAATAACACTCATTCATAAAAAAAAAATGTCATCTGTCTAGAAATGATTGTATTACATAATTATTGTACAAATGATTATACATATGATTTATGCATATCTTCACATTCTAGAATATTGTTTAAGTGTATGAACAATTGATGATTCTTGTATGTTGTGCCTTTGCCAATTATTGTAATTGTGTTTGCGCCAATAAATATTGTATTGTATATAAAAACCATATTCAATTTGTGAATTTAGTATTTAGAGTTAAGTTCTTATTATTGAAATTTATGAAATTATGACAAACAAAACTTTTCTGAGGAAAAATTTCTCAACAAAAGTTATTCCTGTTATTAAAATATATAATATATATGACTGTGGTATTCGTGGGATTCGAACCCTAGCAATAAAAATCCTGAGTATTCTTTTGAGACTAACACACTAACCATTAAGCTACACAACTCCTGAAGAATAGTGGCATTTAAATTATGTTTGTGATACGACCCTTGCATGACTAAATAAACTTCAAGTTTTTCTCGGAAAGATGCGAATGTTGTGTCATTAAGTGTATTTCTAACGTTGTTTCATAAAGTGTATTTTTAAAGTAAAATGGGTCATTGCTCTATATTTTTGTTAACTAAAAATGTACATTTTATGCATACTTTGAGGATAAAATTTGGAAAAAATGGATCGAAGACCCACTCATATCGAAAAATTGTGTTATATAATGAGAAAATGATCCCTTTTGCCCTCTTTAGTGCATGTGTGAATGCTTTTTCATAAGCAAATGAATTCGCTGTGAGATTTTTGCTAATTGTGGAGATTTTACATAAAGTATACTTTAATGTTAGATGTTGCCTTTTAATTATTTTTTTAATCTGTTATAACCCATGTGTGTATAGCATACATAGTACGTGATACGAATTGAATCAGATGTTACAAGCTGTATTCACTAAATATTAAAACATTGAGTCACACAAAATGAATGAAGTATTGCTAATTGCTATTTATTACCACGTGCAATAACATACGTGATTAATTGCAAGAAACAAATTAAAGTTAATGATCAGTTCCGCGCCTCCAAAGAAAATAATATATTATAATTCGGTAGTAATCATGGTAATGCAATTATAATTATTATTTACAAGACATTGTAATTGACATAAACACAGGCAGAAAAGCAAGCTCAAAAGATGTTCAAAGTTTATAGTTTACTATAGTACAATAAATTGTATTTCGTCAGTTAACACGTGTGTGTGTGTGGGGGGGGGGGGGGTTAGATAGTCTGAAATGATTATGATTTTTATGATTTTTTCCGACATGGAAAAATAAAATACTTGAAAATTTAAAATGTACTGGAAAAACTTACTGCATATACATTTAAAAAATTGCCTTCACCTTGCATGGTTTCATTATAATGCAAAAGCTACATGTAGGTTAAATGCCTCTATATTCATTGAACATAATATATTACAACAGTTTTAACACAGCTGCGAACCCAAAATCTTTTCCAAAAAAATTACTAGAATGTAGGTGTGTGGCATTTAATGGTGCTGGGCCCACAATATTCATGCAAGTTCTTTTAATTTGCCATTCAGCCGTATCGTAGATAATATCTGTAAACAGCCGAATCTTTGTTGGAAAAAAATCTTAGGAAACTCTGCTCTAACATGGATTTACCATAATTTATTTCTGATTTTCGTCAGAATATTACCTGGTGTAAAAAATAAAGCATGACGTCATTGTTGTGCATAAATTATATGCATGTATCAAAGAAACATATAATCAAATAATAATTATATAAAAACCTCATCAACAGTTAACGAATGTCCTGTTTAATCTTTAGTTATACTAGATAAAATCTATAAGATATATATATATATATATATATATATATATATATATATATATATATATATATATATATATATATATATATATATATATATATATATATATATATATATAATGGGGAAATTCAAATTTTATTTGATATAATACATGTTTTAAAATATGTACACCATGTTCTCCTTTAATATGTGAGAACACAAACCATAAATGAAAAAAAAAAGTTGAGACAAAAAATCTTCAGGACTCTATCTCCTTAGTATATCTGCACTAACTAAAGATATTTTGAGTATATACATTAATCTACAACCCCCATCGTCTTTGTGTATGTTTTCTCATCCGGATCCGTTTTCATAACTTCTACTCTTTTGGTTGGGGATGGGGGGGGGGGGATATGATTGACCCTGTGCTGCAGATGTGCGATAAAGTTTGAAAATTTCGATTTTGGCTCAGAGGTCTTATCGAGTCTATAAAGAGGTGTGGTTAAAAAACTGAGTTTGTCTTTAGAACTCCTTATCCATTGATAGGTCCGTAACTACACACATCTTGGATTGCATGGCTTGACCTTATATATAATTGCATCTAGAGATTTTTTGTACTTTGAAACAGGCTGGGAACCGCTCAGCGATAGACGCAAGATTGAATACTATGTATAAAATTCATAATAATTTAGTTCCCGATTATACCTGACATACGATATAATGCTTCGGAAGTTCCGCGTATACAACAAGAAATTCTCAAAATTATAATAATATACCCGTATGTAGACTGCAAACATAAAAATCATCACTTGTACCAGCTGTAGTAAACGAGTGGAATTCTTTATCGCTAGACACGAGACTTTCGAGCTCCTTGTGTGCTTTTAAAAGTAAAATCACACAAAAAAATATAACAGTAGCCCCGCCTTACTTCAGTTTTGGAAAAAGACGCTACAATATACTGCACACTAGACTTCGACACAGTTGTGTGCTAAACGTTGATCTTTATAGGTGTAACATAATATCTAGTCCATTATGCTCTTGTGGTAAGGTAGAAGACACACATCATTATATTTTCTCATGTCCCAATTACACTGAGGCCAGCAAAGAGTTCTTTGATAAGTTCCTGAGATTTAATAAAGTTCATATTGTTGACACTCATACTTTACTCTGAGGGGATACTTCACTCGGTATTGCTGAAAATGAATATCTCTTTTCTATTGTACATTCTTATATTCTGCATCCTGGCAGATTTAATTGATTGTTCTTATACTTAAAATGTGTATAGACAATAATTTAGCAGTATATATTTCTATTTTGTGGGTTAATTTATTTTGTACACACTGTTAACGTTGGACACGTCTAATTCAATTTTTTGTGATATTATACATGTAGGGAGAGGGCGAATTAAGTTTTTAGAACTTGTGCCCAATCCTATTGTATATATTTAATGCAATAAAATATGTTCAAAGTCAAAAGGTCCGTACGTAGAAAGGAATTTCAGTTGGGGGTCGGGAGGCACAACTGAACATTTTCAGTTTGGTAGGGCATTAACAAGCAAACAATCCTTCAGTGTTAACTAGGAAACAAAAATTGAGGGGGCACATCCATAAAGTTGCTTTGTTTTTTATAGTATACCACAGGTCTATATCAGCAAAATTAAAGATCCCCCCCCCCCCCCGGTTCACAGTCCTATACGGCCATGAATGGAACAAACCATGGCAATTCTTTAATAATAGATTTTTAAGCGACATTTATCAAATTTCATGGACAACATTAATTATACCATTAGCAATGTGTCAGATCTCCTATTTGTGGTTAAATTTTGAGCAGACATTTGTTAAAACTGTTGACATGAACGATTTGACAATAAGGACAATGCCTCCATGCAACTTCTATATCAAATGATAGTGAGGCCAGAAATAGCACTATGCCCATGCTTCTATATACGTTATAAAACTGGATGTTCAGACAAACGGAATCTCGTTGCCGATTTATATATTTGGTAAAATTGAAAACAGACATATATCATGTTGTAAATGTTGAATTTACCAGGGGGAGGTAAATACAAAATTTACAACAAATTCCCCCCCCCCCCAGTAAATTCAAAATTTACAACATGATACATACATAAATTTATGTGTAGATTATGAACAGGCTTATGGTAAGATCATTTATAGTAACGATGTCCCCGATGTGTATTCAAGATGGAAAAAAAAAACGCCCAAAATATCATAAATTAATTATTCTTATCATAGAAGCTACATGTATTTGATTTAAACTACACCCCCTTTCAAAGTGATTAAATACATACATATACAAAGTTTAAATTACATCCACTTGGTGCACAGGTACTTGTTTCTGTTATAAAAGTTTACTGACATAGTGTAATAATTATTATACTAAATTGATGAACAATTATTAGTTTTCAAATTCTAAGAGCACTGGAGGACGCCCATTGTGCCTGGAAAGGAGGGGGGATCCATGGATTTAGCTCCATATATATTCGTTGATCTAGTCCACTCCTCGTAAACTTTTAAGCGGATTAAAATACCAGAAACATAAATAATAGACATTTGCAACTAAAACATCGCTATCTTATGTTTCTGGAAACTTTTGCCTGGCGAAAATAGAAAAGCACTGCTTAATGTACAGTTAAAAATATATTATCACAGGTTTAAAATCGAAACTGGCAGACATATAGGACTAGAAACAAGAAAGAGATAAAAAGAATATTCGAAAAAGGTAATTTGAATAGGCATGTAATAGAAAATGAAATACATTTTCTTAAAGATTTTCCTTTCAACCAAAATAATAATAATAATAATAATAATAAAAAATAAAAATAAAAAAAATCAACTTCTAAATAAAGCATAGAAACATAATATAAATTTTAAAAGCTTAGATAGTTCTCAAAAATTTTGATATTTTTCTTTAACTTGTAAACCACCTCTCTAATCATGAACCATTGTAAAGCACAACAACTTGCTCTGTTTGTATTTTACTTTATGCAATATTATTTTTTTCTCATAATTGATTACTGTCTTCTTCTAGAATTGTATCTCAGCCTCTCTGGGGGCCCTTGCTTGTTCAGAAATAAACTATTGTCTATTGTTTATACATGTAACTTATGTATATCTAATGTAGCGTTTCCGAGTAAATCCTTTTCACATTCATATTTTGGTAGCTCTCAATCATAATTCCTCTTTGTAATAAAACACAAAATAACGGTAAAATGTTTATTAAATCCAAATGAAAATAAAATATAATTCAAATCAATGTCACAAAGTATAAATCCAAAAGAATTGAATGAAAGGCACTTAAAATAATTATTCCAATGTAACTCAAGTTAAATTCCCATTATTAAACTACTCTTTCAAATTACTCCCCCAAATTACTCCCCTCTCATTATAAAATGAGCCTGCTTATATAGTTTATGACTCCTCTTACTCCTCCTAATGTCTCCCCTAAAGTAAACTAAGGTCAAGCTATAAAGTCTAAACACTATAAATCACTACCATTGTATAAAACCTCCTCCTAACCTAATTAACAGCTCCCCATGACCTGTTCGCAGTCTGGGTCAAAACATTGATAAACAATCTAGTCTAAGAATAAAAGTAAAATAATAAAAACATACTAATCTACTGAATAAGAAAAGTAAATATAAAAAAATAATAAAGATAAAAAAAAATCATTATGCTACACTAAAATATATGTTTCTGCACTTCTTGTACTGTGACATTTTATTTAATTACACAAAAAAAACAGTATATAAAATACCAGGAATACTCAATATTTCCACAAAATATCTCTAAATTTAAAATCGTTCCACATTTTTTCCGGAAATACGAAAGTTGTAGAGTGACAGCAATATTGGTTTTCTTTTATAGAGTATGCCTACAACATTAATAAAAAAATTGTAGAATTCTTAATACTTATCTACTCAAGCTTTTGATCATCTAAGCTGGTTAATGACATTTTTCAGGAAATTTTTAGCTGTTTCTAACGAACACTGTAGAAAAAGAAAGACAAGATCGTATATTTTCTTTGATATGTGAGACAAGATGGCGGATGGTGATGTGGGATTGAGAAGAAGAAAAGGATTTAACGCCGAAATTTCGTCATCGGAAAAAGACTCAAAGAAAATATCAGAGGACATTGACAAAGAGAAGGGGAAGCCACTGCGAACAAATACTTTTTGGCTGACACGCATTGTTTTGCTGCGTTACATCGGCTTCATATACTGTAAGCACAATAACACAAAGTAACCATCTTATTCGAGGCCAAAAATGTAGTCACCACTGCAATATTGTAGCTGCTAGGTAGCACCTAGATAACAAAAATATATTAAGCATACAGGCCATTCAGCAAACCAAGATATCAAACCGCCATGCTGTTTTTCACAAGCACTTGTTTCGTGTACAGGAGTAAGAGGACACCTCACTTTTCTCTTTCTACAAGCACAGGAGTTCGCAATTTTATCAATAAAGTCAATAGAAATCACTTGATTGACCAAGCCATGAGCTATGCTCTAGCATATGCTATGCTAACACATAGCTCATAGCTTGGTCAATCAAGTGATTTCTATTAACTATATTGATAAAATTGCGAACTCCTGTGCTACAGGGTACCTAATTAGAATAATATAACTGTGTCATGGGATAAGCCTTCACCACAATTAGAATACGTCCCATATAGTTGTGGATCCGCTCTCAGACTGCTGAAACGATTATGAAGAATACAAAACGAGTTGCACTAAAAAAAAAAATACCAAAATTAACCATAACAAACCTTTTTGACCTTATATATGCGTTTTAACCCGAAAAAATCCATACAAAAAAAAAATCAACTCATTTTCTCAACATTTTTTCTTCCTTCGAATTTAATGCCATGTTGACATTTGGAACTCTCTGGATTATTTGTAGTAAATGCGTAGCTTAGAATTGTCTGCCAGTTTGTTTTGCTATACATTAATTGCCAACGCAAGGAACAAATTCTATTATTGAACCAGGTCTCTAGGACAGTATCATGATTTTAACGATAGAATGTTTTATCTATAAGGTACCTAACTCAATCTGTCCTTCAGCAAGGCATGAAAATAAACAAATTGACTCGAAAAAGTTTGTTGCCACCTTCAGAGTCAAATGGTCTTTCCCATATTAACCTACATTATTATGATATATTTTGCCAGACTTTTCTCTTGTTTTATAAACCATTTCAGATGTCCTTTGTCAAGGCCTTTTTATTGTAAACCACTCATTTATTCCCTGGAAATCTTGAGCATAAGGATGAAGATCTATGAAATGCAGTGCTGTAATATATACAATATAATTTGTTAAAATTGTCTACTGTGATGAATTTCTAAACTAATATACAGAAATCCAAAGTTATGCTTAGTGAATAAACAATTTAGTTTTGTGTTTAAATATAGTTCTCTAAACTACCATTTAATCCAATGTTTATTAAATTGAAAACTTTTTTTTCAATTTTCAATTGTGGATTCTGTTTTGATTAAATTCAATCATTTAAAAGATAAGTTTGTGAATTTGTGGTTTACAGGTTAAGACTTTCAGACTAAAGGGAAATAACTCCTTCTCAGATTGTTGACTTGCAGTGTACACTTTACTGTATTTCCCTTACCAATCAAAAATTACTGTAAATTGACTGTATGTTACAGATATTTTGAATACTTTCAAGATTTTAGCATAATGATATTTGTTCCATTTTTGCAGGAAAATTTTTAAAAGACTATATATTTTCAGGGGTGTGCAATTAGCATCGCCCGACGCCCGGGGCTACCATTTTTTGGGGTCGGGCTAGTAGTTTTCTGCACGGAGGTAGCCCCTTGGGCTAGTAAAAATTAAAACTACCAATGTAATACATGAAAATCACTATCGGTATTTTCTCTCATTTTTGGCTATAAAATTCTTAAGCAATGAAAATTTTTCGGCAGCATGCGCCTATTATTCGTAAATCTACATAATATTATCCATTTTGCAGTACTACCTGACTTATTTACTTCCAAAAACGATCGTTTTTATCTAATTCGAATTTCCTCTATTCCTCTGTTTATGGTAAATACGCATGCAGATATCTCATTAAATTATTTACGATCACTCAATCAATTGAAAGATAAGTGTTATGTGGTTTACATAACATATACTCCAGCGAATTTAATGATTTAAGATGAAAAAAAATGATTGTCATTTCATTTTAGATAGGATAATTTATTTTAATTCATTTTTATTTTCTATCATAATTATTAATTTATACATGATTTAATTTTACTAGTGAGAATTAAAAAGAATCACATTTAAACCCTAGCTGACTTTTTCAACAATAAACTATTTTCTTTTAATATTAGAACTTTGTTACCCCCCCCCCCCCCCTTTCCCCTACATTTGGGCTAGTAACTTTTTACTTGGGGCTAGTAACTTTATTTCTGCCACTATCCCGTGGACTAGTGCTGAATTTTTTTAATTGCACACCCCTGATTTTTAATAAATATTTATGACAAACTTGTAGAGCAGTACTCTAATTTTCAGTCGTTGCTTTTCTGGTGGCTCTTCATCAAAACAAAGAATTATGTGGACAACAAGGGCTCATTCCTGCTCAAAAGTTTTTGAAAAGAATCCAACAAGAGACCAAAGGCATCAACATGCAGACATTTACCCGGATTCCCAGCTTGGTTTGGTTGATAGATTACGAGGAGAACTTGGACGAGTTTCTGGACTACACAGCGTATGCTGGACTGGCTCTGTCTCTCTTTGTCATCATAGTGGGCGGGGCTAACTGGTTCATTATGGTTGGTCTTTGGGTTCTATACCATTCCATTGTTAATCTTGGCAGCACTTGGTAAGATAACTTATAAAAATTTTATCTTATCTCATTGCTATAATTTTACTATTTGATGATTATGCACTTTGTTTACAAAGGAGTTTATGATTTGACATTGTTGTGTTTCATGACCAAATTTAGCTTTCTTGGCTAAATTGGAGTTTTTCACTTTGATAGGTATGGTTTTGGTAAGTATATTCTCATAATTAAAGACATATTGTAAGTATTTTTGGCAAATTATTTCATTTACAGTACTTTAGAAATTATGCTAATCCACAGGGTTAACAATGTGATTATACTTGAAACTTACAATATGCTGTTTATTCAGTTTAGTGTATTCTTTTACAATTCATTGATATACTTGATAATAAACAACATTTCTAAAAATGAATAAATAAATAAAAAATGATTTAAAAAATCAAGGGGAAAAAGTATACACGTACCATGAATTTCATTCATAAATTGATTTTGAACTTTTGAGAATTCTTTTTTTTACATAACTGATTTTAAATGCTTCAATTATATCTTCTGCTTTTATTGCAAAGTAAGAAAGAAATCTTGTTTGTTACAGGTTGGGAATCACAGTTGTTAGAGACGGGGTTTCTGGCCACTTTTCTGTGCCCTGTCTGGAACTTCAGTCCCATCCCGGAGGGCACACCCACATCAAAGATAGTAATCTGGGGATTTAGATGGCTTATCTTTCGAATCATGATTGGTGCTGTGAGTGCATAGATTACCTCACTTTAGTTAGCATATAAATTATAAAAAAAAAAAAATAAACAAATGAAAAAAATATATTATTTAATAAATTTCACAATCAAAACATGCAACAGATTGTAAATATTGATTAAGAAAAATTATAAATGAGGAAAAATTTTGATGAAATTATATTTCTCAAAATAAATAAAATGTATAATTATTAAAGATTTTGTATTTTGGTAACTGGCAAAGAATTAACTTAAATCAACTCTCTGAAAATTTTATTCATTATTACATATGTATCATTAATTTCTCCTACCAGGGACTAATAAAGATTAGAGGTGATAAGTGCTGGAGAGATTTAACTTGTATGAATTACCATTATGAGGTAAGGAGTTTTATTTTGAACTGTATGCCATGTTTTGGAGAAGAAAATTCTCCTGGACAAGTTTTTTATGGCCCTCATAATATTTAGCCTTACACAGATTTATACATGTACATATTCAAAATTGCTAAATTTTGAAAAGCCTAAAGTAAATACTTCCAGTTACTGCAATATTTAGATAAATTCTGCAGTTTTAAGAGACATCAGATGATTAAACCTCTATGATATAAAATTACACTGATTATAATGAATCAATATTATTTTAATTTATAACTTGGAGGAATGTTTAACACATGACAAGATTTGTAATGAATTGTTTTTAACATCTTGTTTTACAGACCCAGCCCGTGCCTAACCCCATTAGCTATTTCATGCATCAGTCTCCTGAAGTCTTTCACAAATTTGAAACTTTGACAAACCACTTTGTGGAGCTGGTGGCTCCATTGTTCCTCATTGGACCTAGAAGACTATGTATGGTTGGAGGTGCAATTCAAATTCTCTTTCAGGTAAATTTTCCAGGAATCAGTTTGTATGTCATATTTAAAAAAAAAATTATCAGACATTTTCTAATATAAAGGAAAAGTATCAGACAAGGGAATCGATGTCTTATTTTGAGGATTTACAGCAAAAAATTATCAGCGTTGTATGAATTAATGATGTATTTTGTCATTTCTCAGTGTATTTAGTTTACTATGTTGTTTATAGTAAATGCACTGGAGAGTTGATGCGCCAAGGGAAACAACTCGTGAAAACACAGCAGGTTTTTAGCTGTCTCACATCGCACATTATACAGATTTCCTCACTGAATTATGATTTTATTTACAAGGTTGTGTTGATCATCAGTGGGAACCTGAGTTTCCTGAATTGGCTGACGATTGTACCAAGTTTGGCCTGTTTTGATGATCCCAGTCTGGCTTGGATGTTTTCCAGTAAATCAGGTTCTGTAAGAGATCAGGTGTGTCAGCTACAACACAAGGGAACTCCGACATTAAAAGTGGGTCAGTTTATTTAAGAAGTATATATAATGTATTGTACAATACATGTATCTGTAAGTGTAGTGATTAAGATTCAAGAGAGTGATGTAGAAATTGAGTGACTCAGAGAGAAAAAAAAGAGACAGAGAGAAAAAAAGGTGAAAAGGGAATGAATGGTTTGTTGTAAATTATTTTTACTTACCACTTTGAAATAAAAAAATCAAACTTTAATTGTCGTAAGGTCCACAGAGATTTGTCATAAACTTCAACCCAAGCCTGTTACAATTGATCTCTAACCCTTTACTTTGAATTAAAGGGAAAACAAGGTCATAATAAAAACATAAAGAAAAACTACATAAATTAATAATTTTTTTCTTTTACTTAATTCAGTGAATCATTCAAGCTTAAGAAAAGAACAGATACAAATTTTGTATACATCATACACTGTACAGAACAAATATTACAGACACATTCTGGATTTCTTTATCACAGGTAACTACATAAGACGAGTGTTTAACATAAGTCTTGGATGTTTGATTGCCTACCTCAGTATCCCTGTGGTTCAGAACCTTCTTTCTCCCCGCCAGGCCATGAATACCTCATTTGATCCCCTCAGAATCGTTAACACGTATGGTGCTTTTGGAAGGTTGGTCAATGAATATTGCAATGCACTGATTTCCTTTTGTACACATACATGTTTCATCAACTTCCAAATTGCTTTCAGTTTTATAGATGTTTTTAAAGGTGTTGATATTTTTTCTGCCATAATTTGAGCCACTTCAAAAATGTTAAGCACAGTAGAACCAAGTTATAGCAAACTTCAATAAAGTGACAAAATTACACATAAATAAACAAAGTACAGTTGAACCATGGATATGTCGAAGTGTTTTAAAAGATCCAAACACTTATTCCTTAAGTATTTTACCCTGGATATCTCAAATCCTCGGATATCTTGAAGTATTTTCTTGGTCCTATTGAGTGCAAGTTAACAAGGTTTGAATGTACTCCCAAATAAAGCATGGATTATGGTAAGTTTTACAATGTAGTACATGTATCTCTTTTAAAAATGAACTTTTATTGACTTTTTTTTTTTTCAGTATTACAAAGGAGAGAACAGAAGTTATATTTCAGGGAACGTATGATAACCCGTATGAACCCAATGCACGCTGGGAAGAGTATCATTTTAAATGCAAGCCTGGAAACATTAGAAATAGGCCATGTCTCATTTCTCCATATCACTATAGACTGGACTGGCTGCTGTGGTTTGCAGCATTTCAGGTAAAAAAAAAACTGTGTTGTCTGAGATATTTTCAATCATACAGAAGTGTGACAATTGTTTTAGCATTACATTTACCAATAGCCAATTTCATAAAAGTTAACTGTAGTGAAGACTTTGATGCAACTGGTGGTAATAAAAAGTATTTACCATAAATTGCTTACTCAGAGGAGTAAGGAAAAGGAAGTGTCTAGATTTTTTGTCCTTTACTGATTACTTTTATTGTGTTAGTAGAATTACCAGTATAACCCCTGGCTTGTACATCTAGCTGTAAAACTGATGACTAATGACCCTGGGGCCGAGTCTCTCATAGCTCACAATCCATTCCATAACAAAAATCCACCAAAGTGAGTATAGGCAAATCTATGGCAGTATCTATAGATTTGTCAGAGTTATTGTTAGAAGGCAAATAACTTAAAGTTATCTTTCTTGCCAAATGACCTTAAAAGATGAATTAAGTCCAGTTTAATAGACTTATACTTCTTTTTTGGTGTACGCATTTCATAAAGTAAATGCATTCCATGTAGTGAATAAATTTCTTACATTATGAGTATGTATTAAAGCATAGTGTAGATCACCAAATTTTCGTGACACCTTATTTATTGGAGTTTATATCCAATGCTAATAAACACTAAATGTAATAGACCGTCTCACGTAATTGCGCAAAATAAAAAAGTGATTTGCAGTGTTCTAATAAGCCTCCTGTCTGCAGCTACTGGTGTAAAGTTCAGTAGTAAAACATGTAACATATATGTTATATTATCATGAACTTAAGTTCTTCATTATAAGAAATTTGAAATGACCTAGTTTTATACTCATGTTTAATTAATGACCTCTACATCAGTCCTCTCTTTCATAACATTTCTCAATTGATAAAAATTCTCAATACATTGCATTGCTATTGTTTTATTTTTCAGATACATAAGAGTAGAACATTATCGATATGTGTTCACAAAAATAGGCAGCAAGGATGCAAAGCTGGGTCGCTGGTGGAAGAGAAGACACATAGGAAATTATCTGCCTCCAATATCACTGGACTCTGTTAAAGAATTCATGAAAAACATGGATTATGAATATCCTAGGATACGTAAAAGAAGGAAGCCATGATCTCAGTAGATAAAGTCCGTTATTCTTTATTTATTAATGATTTATTTTTTATTATATATGGACTATACAAGTACCTGTTAATGTCTCCATGACTTTATTTTTTTTTTCTGTTTTCTTCTACCACTATATTGTTGTTGCGAAGAGCTAGGTTCACTTTATGCATAAAATGGCCCTGTCCTTATTTCAATTAATTGACTATCACCCTCTGTCCCATTTCATATATCAAAATAAATTAGAGACTTACATGTAGTGCTTTCATTTCCTATAACAAAATTTCTTTTTGAGAATCCAGGTATTGGAAAACAGGCTTGGAGAAAATGCAATGTTCTTGAATTTTGCAGAAAATATGCATATTTGACTACCTTCAGCAAAGAATTAAAATATGAGCACAGCCCACGATCCAAAAATTAAAACATGTTTTGTGATCTTCAGAAACGGATTTTTCATTATGTAATTGCATATTTTGGATCAGAGGTTGTGCTCTATATGAAATATTGAAAAAATACCTCAACTTTTGGCCATTTTTAAGGGAATTTACAGGATATGGGGGAAAATGACACATTTTATGACGTCATAATGCATTGATTAGAGAGAAAATTACGTCATAATCAATAGATACATGGTCACCAAGGGTCCAAGTTATGAATACTGCATTTTCAACCAAAAGTGAGCAGTTTTGATTTTTCAGAAATTCTCAGGGCCAAAAAAGGCCCTAAGTGGCTCTTGCTCTTTGATGTTCATGCTCAATTGCATAAGTTTTATGTACAAGTATATAAATAAGTAACAGTAAACCTTTTTTTTTTAAATAGATTGCATATAGTCATAAATGGAATTGCAGCAGAACCAAGTGTATTTCTTTGATGTAGTTTTCCACAAATATTCTTATTACAAGTATTTTAGGATATAGTTTTTGACTACCTGTAAGCTTCAAACTTCTAAACAGAGAAAGTTTGTTGTGTCCCTTTTCAGGTACAGATATTGTCTTACACTTGCACACAAATGAAAAAAATGTCTTTGCTTTTATATTTTTTTTCAGTTTAGTGTCATAAGATATATATGAAATTGTTTGTAAAAAATGGTTAAAAGTATATCTTCTTATTATTTTAAATTTTGTTCCTGAAATAGTCACTGTGACTTTTTTTTCTGCAATTAAAAAAAATGAATTAGCAATGTGTTTCGAGTTGTTTATTTCATGATGTTTACGTCTACTGAAGATTTTCTCCTTTTTTTCTCTTATGGAAAAACTACTTTATTCATCAATCAGTAAACGCAAGTTGGAACCTGTTTTTGGAGCCCCATGTATAGATTTCTTTTGCATTGTGTTTTACTGTCAGTGAAACATACAATGACATACATATCAATAATACAATATTTAAGGTAGTTGTAAACCAGATATATGATTATTTATACAGACATAAAAGACATGTATCTTAAAGTTTCCATCTTTGTTCGTGTGGGAATAAACAGACATGCGGGCATTGCAGAAAAATTTTCATGACCCACTTACACATATTTTTTTCTTGAACAGCTGCAATGTTAATTCTTGTACCAACAAAGAAATATTTTATTGTTTTGATATATTTATACCAGGAACTGCTTACCACTTATGTATTAACTGCAATTAATATTGTATCATTGGAAGGATTTAAATTCTTCATGCATATTTTGGTGACAGTAAGTCACATTAGTTCTCCAGTGGATAAATAGTTCATTATACCTCTACTGTTTAAATGAATACAATAGAACTGTCTAGTCCCCTGAAAATGCACTACTCTCCCATCCGAGGACTACTCCGTATAAAATAAGAGCTGGGGTACAAATTGATCAGTATCTACATGTAATTGCAGATATAGAATGTTTATTGTTTAAGGTTGTAAAATTAAAAGTTCCAAAACTACGCTCATATGAAATTATGGGAAATCAATTAGTTAAAATCTACATGATCTTATGTGGCCACACCAGGGATAGACATTAACAGATTAACTTCCAGGCCCAGTCAGGTACCCTTGTGGCATATATGCAAGAAATGTAGCGATGAATGCAAAGGCCATACAATGTGACGGATGCAATATCTTGTATCGTAGAAAAAATGCAAACATTGGTCTCCGTACATCTAGTCTTCTACACAAACCTAGCTTTAGTTGAATTTGTACGTACGAGCTGCTGAATCCCACACATATCGTCTCAACATAGTGTTAAACTAGTTAACTATTCCTCCAATACCTTTTATTCAGAGCTATCCAACACCAGCAAAAGATTAAAGAATCCGTGCTTGTAAGCAGGGAAACAGTGCCCTCATCATCATACCCACCAAATCGAGTTACCTGCACCAATTCGGAACAGTAATTCTATGTCATCACATGGCAACAGTGTAATCACCGAACCAGAATCATCACCTGCAACTGATGCCATACAGTCGCCGTCATAACACAGCACAAGTGACTCTAACAACAATGATACATCACAATACATGACATCAAACAACCTGAATTGCCTCATTATTAACTTTAAAAGTTAAAGGAATAAAAAGAAAGACAAGTATTATATCATTATCATGCATGGAACCAGATGATACCATGGGTGATGAGGCGCATTTAGACTCTGATTATTTAGATGCAGAAATTCCACCTCTTGGAATACCACCTGAACAGCAGTACAAAGTACTAGTATATAGGAAAGATAGGAAAATTCGTGTTGATGAAGGTGGACGGGACAAAGTACTAGTATATAGGAAAGATAGGAAAATTCGTGTTGATGAAGGTGGACGGGAGATCATCAAGGTAAAGCCAACTTACGATTGTGAAGACTGTCCAGATCTCGATACTGCATGTGAATTAATGTGTGCCAAGATAACCACAGATGGGAAGGATGTGGTCTTAATTGGTACTTACTATCGAGAACCAAAGTCATCGATCGAAGCATTGCAACAACTCGGATTTATCTAATTGTCCAAAATAATTAAGTCACCTAGGTATGAGAACTGCTAAATATTCTAGGAGGAGATATCAACTGGATCATGGGTTGTAGCACACAGTTTACAATTATAAAAAGGCTAACGGACAGAAAGCAAAGAACGATACATTTTTTCTTAAATCGTTTGGTTACTCCTTCTTAAGAAGTTGGTATTTCTCTTATATGTATAAAAATTCTATTCTCAATGGGACGTACATGTAAAACAACATAAGGGTGAATTCAAATATAATGACCGGCAAATTGAATTAAACAAATAAACTTATCATATTTTTCAACTGTATACAACCATTCCCCACGATGAATTAAAGTCCAGGCTTTTTGACATCATTGACAGCTGCTTTTTCAATAAAAATGGAACTCGTAAATTTACTTACCTTGTCATTGGTTATTTGCAAAATTATTTTCTTAAAAACATTCTGATTGTACACACAAGTACTCTGAAGTTGATATTAAAAAGATGCTTGAATTTCTGATTGACAATATTCATGTAGTTTTTGGAGAACAGGTCTTCCAACAATCTGTTGGAATTCCCATGGGTACCAATTGCGCCCTGATGTTAGCAGACCTATTTTTGTATTCATATGAAGCAGAATTTATTCAAAATCTTATACATGAGAAAAAGAAATCTCTTGCTGTGGCCTTCATCTCGACATTTAGATATATCGACGACGTATTGTCAATTAACAATAGTTATTTCCATTCATATGTCGACACGATATATCCCAGTAAGCTTGAAATAAAAGATACCACAGAGTCTGACACATCTGTTTCATATTTGGATAGTTTACTAGAAAAAGACGTTAATGTTAATCTAACAACAAAGCTTTATAATAAACGTGATGACTTTCATTTTTCAATCGTCAACTTCCCTTACTTATGCAGCAATATACCCTTATCACCTGCAAATGGGGTGTATATCTCTCAGTTGATTCGATACGCAAGAGCATGCTCTACGTATTAACATTTTCTAAAACGAGGTAAGTTATTGACAAACAAGTTGATGAAACAAGAATATCTACAGTCTCGTTTAATGTCATCATTTCGTAAGTTCTATGGTCGATACAACGACCTTGTCAGCAAATACTATCTATCATTAAGTCATATGCTGACTGACGTTTTTCATACTAATTGTTAGGCCATTATTTACACACTGAATTGCCGACAGATTTTCCCGTTATTTCCTGATCATGACAAGGAGCACACGGCGGCTGTGACCGGTCGGCAGGGGATGCTCACTTCTCCATGGCACCTGATTCCACCTCTGATGTTTTTGGAGGTCCGTGTTTGCTCTGCTCCCGATTTGTATTGTTTCAATGGACTTTGAGCTGGAATACTGTTCGTTATCTTCATATACATTGATAATTATAAAACAGTTTATTGCACTCCTGACTGCAGTAAAATTTAGAATTAAAGCCACAGAACACAAAAATTCATAACATTCTGGCAACATCATGTTACAATGAAATTTTGCGTTAATATTATTTATAGTCCAATACTTCGTGGTTAAAGCATAAAATTGTTTAAACTTGGGTTTATATTACGAATTATTCCCTAGTAATGTCGTAAAACTATCTTAAAATATAGTAAGAAGAAAAAGAGTATATCTTACAGGACATTTTACTTCATGGGACAAACACAGTTAGCAACTAAGGTCAACCAGAAACATTCTACTCATCAATTTTTGTTTATATATATTTATAAATAATATTTCTAGTATTTTTGTTGCACTCCTGACGAAGAGCATGCGAGACCTTAAAGTAGGGCTGTGAAGCATAAATTACATCAAAATTTACTCTATTTTTTCAGTAAAGTCATGGTGGAATTATCTGAAATTTATTTAAATTTTTCTGTTTTTTTTTTTTAATTCTGAAAAAGGAGCACTTCTTTATAAATAGAGCTTGGACCTATAGGGTCGGGATTGGTGTCAGTCTTTACAAAAAGCTTGTCGCTTTCTTTACGGTCAATGGCTTTAGGCTACATACATGTAATAATTCGTTTTCATTTTATAAGAGTATGTAGAGATAGGAGGAACCTTTCCACAGACATTTATTATGAGGCATGATTATATTGTCAACACAATATGAATGA